TCAACCAATAGGTCTATGTTCGTTTGTTGTGTAGGTAATCCAGGCTCGCTATGGAAGAAGTTGTGTTGTCCACAGTGCTGTGCAAATCAGTCCTTTGCTCATCCGCGCGCTCATCCGTGCGCTCAGAGTGGACCCATGCTCCAAACTTCGGCAGAGTGCACGTGCACTAGACAAGACCCTCTGGAGGAGTAGCCCACCCTTTCTGGGATAGAGTTGTAGAGTCCTGTCAGCGTCGCGCAACAAAAAATAGACACAGAGAACAGACGGTGAAAACAGAATCACGACGAGATCAGCCGTAATCGGCTTTCACACTAACTTAAAGAGACAGGTCCCGCGCTCCCCGCCTTACTGAGCTGTGCGCAGCGCATTCTACGCTCCAGCCCCATGGAGCAAAGTTTGTATCAGGAGATAGACAGTCTGTGCCTAAAAAGAGAGGGAAGGTGAGTGATAGCCTACTGCTTGCACTTATGTTAGACTGCATGCAAGCCATGAAAATACCTAGCGTACAACATCATGGGCTGGCTGAGTGAGCTGAGTGAAATTAAATTAAACTAAACTAAACAGTCCATGTAAGGTGAAGCCAACACTTGATTGTGAATAAAAGACAGAGCATTTAAATGGGCTTAATTAAAGCCGCAAGTGGCGATATAGGCTCTTGATCAGCACACACTGCCCTTCTCCTTTGCAGTCAAGTGCGGCCGAGATCGCAAAATGGCGCCATCAAGTGGATAAAGACATGATTCTTAGCTAAAAACACTTAACAGTTTTTGGCGTTCTGTTATCATGTTTAGCTATGGCTAATCAGTTATGCTAACATATTAATGTGTGTAAATCCTGGCTGTCTAAAGCTTACTATTAGTATTGTGTAAAGGCATCTGAATCAGCATATCATCTATCTGTCTTCCGAATTAACTACAGACCGGGATAACCCACTGCCCTCAACAACTGGACATCCAGTTGTGTAATAACATTTGACAACAAGAGGGACTCCTGGAAAGGCTTTGCCCAAACCAGCCATAAACCACTGCTTGACCAGGGCTATGACAAGAAATGCCTTTCGTCCCTGCTGGGAATCTTCGGAAACTCACAGATCAGTCTAGTGATCAATCCAGCTTAGTTCAAACTAAGCACACAAATAAATGCTTCAAATTTCAGCAAGTGTGGGTTGCATGTCAAAGTATTGCTTGGACACGAAAGGAATATAGTGAAATTTTTGAGGATTGATGCTCTGCTGAACTGGACCAAACAGACTAAATAGATTGGACCAACTTTAAAAATTACAGGCTATTATGCTTTGTTTCTACAAGCCTGGTTAAATAAGAAACACTGACGAGATCAGGCTTTGATACTACTAAACTACAATAGTAAATTAATGATGAGGGAACATTGGTTATAGTTGAACGCTCATAAAAGTTTATTTTGCATAGCCCTTTTTCAAAATCTTACTATCCAACCACAGACGTTTAGTGAGACAAAAGCTTAAGATAAGATTAAACGTGTTTTATAAATATTATTAGAATCTCACCACAGCCTCTGCGTCTAAAATGGTAAAAAAAAAAATAAATGTACCGTGACTTTTGTTGTCAGAGTTGGCTAATACACAGCAATCCAGTGTCAGCCCCTATGACTATTCACCTTATTGGAGGAAAGAAAATACAGCGTGGCCATCAGGCCTGAGCAGGGGTGTCCAAACTGTGGCTCGGGGGCCATATGCGCCAATTTAACCAAATGATTATAAATTGAACGTTTTACTTCAAACTGATGCAATTAGCTCTAGCATTAACACAGAAGGCACGTCATACTCCCAAATGGCGGGCAAGGAACAGTTTTTTTTTTTCTATTGATTAGCCTATATTGTACTTCCAAATATCTGAGAGGTAAATTAACAACAAAATGTGCAGGAAGTCATCTGAAACCCTGCAGTATCTTTTTATGTAGTCCATGTATGTCTGCAAAGGCTTTCTTTTGTCTGCTCATAAAACCCGTGGGATTATGAGATTGCATCTCAAAATACTGACGATAATAAACGCATGTTTTGTTTTTTAAACTTGTCTTTCAAACATTTTAAAGTAAAGAGTAGGCCACTGAGTATCCATTTTTATTTTTATTTATTTATATATTTTTTAAATATTGTGTAAGGGGCGGTCAAGTGTTACTTACTGGACACAGCAGACACCTTGGCGCTCGAAGAGTAACTTTTGAAATAATTTTGGCACGGGATCTTGTTGAAAAAAAAAAAAAAAAATAAAATGTGATCAAGTGCTGACCTCTAGTGGTGATGAGACAAATAACAGATTGTACTTAGTTACTATGGCTACATCTAACCTAGTTAAAGTCTATTATAGCACATTATAGAAAATTTATCTCAAGAAATCTGATTGCAGCATCACAAATCACAATGACAATCCATCATATTTTTTGTTATCACATTTGTTGTTATTTTGTCAATTTAGTTAGGCTATTTAAAACAGTGTAATTATAATATAATTTAAATAATGAAAAGATGTTAGCTCTACAAAGATCTAGGTTGACAGACAGCACTTATACTTCAACACCTCCACAATGAACAATTTCCTTTGTAAAATTACAACATGTGCAGCAGCTCTGTCTCCTTCATGGTTGTCATGGAGATGTCATTGACAAGCAAGATAATGTACTTCTGTGTCTTTTTATTGTATTTATTTAATTTTCACACTCACACCTTTTGAAAACCAACATTAAATGAAAAGAAATAACAAATGTGTTCCCATAAAGCTTTGCAGGTTCAGTATTTTCAACCTCTCCTGTCCTTCCTCTCTCTAACTCTCTAGAGCACTCAAGCTTTGGTTGCTACTGCAGAGAGATGGATTAACCATTTCTTGGAGCTGCTCACCATCATCACCAGCACTCGTCTGTCACTCTGCCTTTGATTTCACACTTAGTTCGAGAAGAAAACGGGCTGGAGAGGAGTTTCTGTCGACCCCATGTGAGTCAATGCCCCGCCACCAAGAGCAGATGTCTACAAGAGAGGACTGACTGCTTAATGTAAGTACTATATCTACAATTAATGATAAGTCACATTTCCGTCACAAGTATGCTGTTTACATAAGAACTCTAGGTGCATCTGTATTAATTGTTCTGTATACAATTTTTCTTAAATGTGTTCATGTGAAGGACGATACTCCCTTGTGTGGATATAGAATGGGACATGTTACAAAACACACATACATTCAACAGTCGTGAGCTCATAGATGAGGAGTGTTGTTGAGCTGTCGAGGTGAAGTGGATTTATTCAGGATGCATAATGGGATGCCTACTGCAGGGATTGGAAACAAGCTGCGACAGGGAGTAAAGCCACAGAAGTGCCATTCTCTCTCCACTATAAGGGACATATTGTATTACAACACTGCTTTTGTGTGTTAAGCTCAGTTTAATAAGTCAAGAACATACAACATGTAAGTTGAAGCAGATGGTGAAATTAGTAGCTGGAATATATTATACAGACATGACATAACAGCAGCTTCATAATCATTTAGACTGTAGATTTAGAGCACTAGACGATGAGAACGATGTGCAAACTAAGGATTAAACAGTAAAAATCTGAATTTAAATTAAGACTTATGCTGCAATTTGTATTTAAAAATAAATGTTTGTGCAATGTGAATAACTGCAGATGGTGTTTCAGCTGCACAATCAAACCCAGCTATGATGTCAATAGTGACGAAAGCAACAGAATGAATGAAGAAAAAAACACTTACATTTTATCTGCCAGCTTCAAGAGAACAAAAACCAAAAACATCCTATTTTTTCTCAACATTCCTTCCCCAGTTATGAAATGGTTACTCTGGATTTTAAACTATTGCATAAAACACATCTCTCACTAAATAAGTCTTCTGTTGTTAGTAATCTGCAATTACATTTAAGCCTACCACATGTGCAGTCTATAGGCTATTGATTTAAACATCAAATGTGATCTCCATGTCATTCAAAACAACAGTGTTATAAACAAAATCTGCTGGACATTTTGTTGGCTAGTTAAGATCCAAAGATGCAATGTACTACAGCACATTTATCAAAATTTTACTTAAATTTGTAGTTGAAATTAACAATGACCTTGAAAATGATGGTGAAATATAATTGCAGAAATTGACTGAGAAATACCAACACACGCTGCATCCAAAAAATGTGTTATAATGCAAAATTAAAGGATAAAAAAACATTTGGGACAATCAAGCACTCTGGACTGAAAACTGTTATTCATGAATCAATTTGTCTTTTGTGGTTTCTAATTTGTGCCGTTTTTTGTCTTCCATGTACATGACTCATGCTGAAAATGTGTCTGAGACATTCATAACTGCCACATTTGCTGGTCCATTTGAGTGAACCAAGGACAAACAATACAAAAGGCAACAGAAAGCAGCAGCTGCTGATGAAGCTGCAAAACACAAGAACAAATCAAGATATGCAAAATATTAGTAAAAAGTGAATGGCTATTGGTGACTACAATGCCTCACAAACACCTGGTCTAGCCTGCAAGTTGACATGTTTTAAATGTGCAAATACAATTTTATATTCACCCAGAGAATGCCACCATAATTTGTCTTTATCCGTGATGTATGCAGAAGGTTTTGAATATCAGACCATGCCCAAACCCCTCTTTTGTTAGAAAGCTGAGGATAAAAATGGTATTATATTGTAATACCACAACATCTCAAACCTATTCATGTCAACAGTATTAGAGCACAAAAAGAAAATGTACCTTTTGGAATGCCCAGACTCACCAATGGCCAGTCTCACATTCAAATATTGTTCCTAAACCAAAAGACTGGGAACTGATAGCATATGAATAGTAATAATGTAAATATTTATGAAGTATGCAACCTGTTTTGTTTATTTATTTATTTTTTATTTACAAAAAGACTGTTGCAGACTTTTGTATATTTACTGTACATCACATCTAACACAGACATGACAATCATGTTTTCGCAAACCTCTATCCCTGCAGATCTCAGAGTGGAGTGATGGACGGAGCAGCTGCTGTTGCTGACGTCTCTCTGGACACTGCTAACCCTCTGCTCAAAGCAGTGTTTCTGCGCCGTCTCCGTCTCACTCGGCTGCTTTTGGATGGAGGAGCGTATGTGAACGAGAGCGACAGCAGGGGCCACACCCCCCTCATGGTGGCCTGCAGAACTCCACACTCTGATGGTCAGAGCGCCAGCAGGGTCAAACTGGTGCAGTTCCTACTGGAGAGAGGAGCAGACCCAAACATCCAGGACAAGACAGGCCGCTCGGCTCTCATGCATGCCTGCAGGGAGCTGGCCGGGGCTGAGGTGGTGTCCCTGCTGCTGTCTAGTGGAGCAGACATCAGCCTAGAGGACCAAACAGGGACCTCTGCACTGGTCTATGCTGTCACTGCTGGAGACTGGAAGGTGGTCAGGCTATTGTTGGACACCTGCAAGGCCAGTGGAAAAGAGGTCATTATTATAACAGCAGATAAATTGCCATGCGGCACATTACAAGCAAAACAGTACCTCAGTATGCCACCAATCAGCCCCACAGACAAAACGTCTTTGGCTGCTCCTCCTACGTCTCCTTCTGAAGTCCAGCTCATTACCTCTCCTCAGATTAGCCCTGTGACCTCTGCATCAACACTGCCCGTTTTCTCCTTCAAAGAGACTTCAGACAGTGGGGTCAGTGGGGTCAGCTCGCACCCCTGCTCTCCATCACGACTTCGAGCTGTGGGTCAAACTGCCATCAATGGACTTCAACAGCCACTGCTCAGGCTGAACTCAGAGCCATGGTTGAAAATCCCTGCTTCTATTCTAAACCAGCAGCTGCATGCTAACATCGAACAAGCTCCAGACATAAACCATAATAGAATACAGAGAAAACATGTTGCCAGTGAGGACCAAAGCTCAGCTACAGAAAGTTTGAAGATGTTTGAAGACAGCCTATCAAGGGAGAGAAAAGCAGGAGTTAAACATTTAGGTCACAAGATTTCCCTTCCTGGTCTTCTCTCTCCTCACTCAGCCTCACACCCCAACTTGCATTCTGAAAATTTAGGTGATTCAACAATGTCCACATCGGTTTCCTTTCCCAACAGAAGAACACTAGGCAGTGCATTTAACAATGCTTCCTCTTCAAGTCTATACACCATTATTCAAAAGCGTAATTTAGGGTCAGACATCTACAGCTCTGATCCACAGATAGCCATGAATACAAAGAATATTCCTGAGGAGCCAGAGGAAGTTATGGGTCAGACACTAGAGGGGAACAAGCTTTTGCCAGTACGCTGCTCCAGCACACTGGGGGCAAGGGAACCCCCACTCACACAAAGCCTGAACCGAAGAGTGCTGTCCCGATATGAGCGCAGAGGATCAGGGACGCTCTTCCAGGACTCCCACTTACAAAGCAGCAGGCCCAACATGCTGCCACCACTGAACAGCTCAAAAACATCTGTGCTTGGAATATACAGCCTGAGCTCCAACAGCGGAGCTGAGAAAGAGTCTAATCAGAGAACTTTGATTCCCTCGGCTCCTCCTGGGGCCCCAAAGGAGCTGACCAGGCGCATGCTGCTAAGGAGACACTCGATGCAAACTGAATACAAAACGTCTGTATAAAATGTCAAGAGTCACAAAGAGGAGATGTTTAATGGGAAATCATTTTAAAGTCTAACTGATATATATTAGGTCTGTATCACAGAGACGCATTATGTGAAAATGGTTTAATTTGTGAAAAAATGAAAATAAAAATGAAATTTTTTCACATAATCAAACCTTCCATAATGAAGACCCTACAAAACCGACAGTCTGACACTGCTCTAGTGTAAATTGTACTGTTTTAGGTAATTGTAAAATCTGTTTTGTGGTGAAATACGTCAAAGCCATTTCTTTATAGGTATGCTATGTAGCTTTTCTATTGGACACTTGTCTCACATGCTTGTCTCCATAGAGATGTTATTGCTTTCGCTGGAATGTTCAATGGTCTATCCACATGAAGACAAATTGGTGGTGTTTTTCAACATATTTTCGAGCAATGAACACACTTGTAACAAAAAACAAAACAAAACACAAGACAGATCAGTTTAACGTCATATTAAGGAACAATAAAATAAAAATAAGGAACAAATCCAGGCAAAGTAGCAATACTTTTACCATGAAAACAAGCAGGTGGCAGACCATCCACCAGAAGTTACATAGTGTAACTTTAATTTAGATTTTTGATTTGATTTAGATTTTTTTTTTTGGTCCCCAACATCATGAAACATTTGTTCTCTTGGTTTAGAAAAAAGCACTTAAATGAAAATAACTTTTTATGAGCCAATAGCATCACTGTGAGCGCTTTGTTAAAATGTGATACTGTCTGTCAGTGAAGCTGTAGTCTTCTCTTTCAAAGACTACTAAATGTGTTCTACTTCTACTTCTAGTCATTTAATTTTAGCATCAGTAGATGGCAGTATTGACACATGCTTTGCCTACTCCACCTCTCCATGAAACCACCACAGCTTTCCATCCCCCTTTATCTAATGTGTAATGTAAGAATACAACATTCATGTTCGATCTTCAAGTTAGAAACTGAAGAAGCATAAAATATAATTACTGTATATTAATTTATTTTTAAAAAAATTACAATGTCTTACAATGTATAAAATGCAAATGGAGATTTGATCTGTTTATATATACTTAAAAACAAACATGTAATTGAAAAAAGCAGGAAGTAAAATTCACTGTCCATGTTTCTCAAAATATTAACTGAATCAATGTAATTCATAAAAGGGCTAAATTTCTCTTCTCAAAAATCATGTACAAAAATAAAGAGAGACATGTGCTTCATTATTCTACATTTCACATGTTTCAGTATCAAAACTGAGATAAAATAAATACAAGAATACACACAAAGATAAGACTGATTCTAATATTTACATTGGTAAAATACATAACAGTGATTGTACTTTTTAAACAGTGTTTCACAAATTCACAATGTCCAGTTCATGCAGAGTACTTGCAAACAGAGCAACCCAAGGCTCCATACTGATCTGTCCTTTGGTGTCAGAAACCTTTACCACTGTGCCATATGGGACATTGTATGCCCAGTCTGCATCTGCTCACCTGGGAAGGGTGTGTAGCTTATACCTCAGCCACTGCGGTCATAGTCGCTCACCATCTTCTTGATGTGGTTCAGTTTGGCCTTCAGGTACTTGCACCTGCGCTTCTTCATCTGATAATCAGCTGTCTGTAAAGAGATCATAATAAAGTTCATGGTAAACCCTTCTGCATTATTATTATTATTCATTTGATTTTTATGGAACCATACAATACCTTTTTCAAATCTTTTATCCTGTTGTACTCATCCAAAGCATCCTTTAGAGAAAAAAAATACATTAACTTTTTTTTTTACTCAAGCTTCTTTGCATTGTTTAAAAAAACAACAACATTAGAGCACAGATACTTTAACTTGTTTTCTTTTTTTTTTTAAATAATTTCTTGAAAGGCATGTAGAATTACCAGGTACTGTGGACTGCCCTCCTCCAGGTCATCTAACTCTCGGTCCACCTCAGACAGGTTCTTGTTGATGGTATCCAGTTCGGCCTGCAAGTCCTTGTACTCCAGATGATCCCGGTCAAACTCTCGCTTATAGTCAGTTCGCTCTTGATCATCTCGAATTGGAGGAAATTCGCTAGAACAGAAACGACAATAACTGTGATACAACATTAACTGCTTAGTAGCAGCATTTGCTTAAATGGTAAAAGTACATACGTGCTAAAGTCATTGTCATCGAGTTCATCCCCAGAAGAGCCATAATCTGTGTCGTATCCATCAGTGCGTCGTGGACGACCTGCTCTTCTCTTTTTAGGACGCCCAGCAGAGCTCTCTGCCTCAGAGTTACTGCTGTAGGGAACACTGGCATTAAGAGGAATGGCTTCCTCCACTGCAGGCCTGTAACAACAAAAACAAAAAAATATATAACATCTGATTTTTCCATGTTGTCTTTTGAAGATGCTTTGAACATAATTTCTTAAAAGCATAGGCTGTTTTCTAATCAAGTACGTGACTCAGATATAGTTTTATAGCCTTGTTTTAACCCCACACATAATTGGTCCATATTTGAACCACTAACAAAAATCATCATTGCACCTTTTCAATTGATGGCTTTCAGTGACCTCACTCTGTTCTGCTGGGGGTTGGTTACCATAGCAATACATTACACAAGAGGAAACATAATGCTAATCAGTCAATCAATCAAGTAAATAACTTTATTTATCCTCAGGGGTAACTCACCGTTGATTATGTTAAAAGAACACTTAGATTTAAGTTTAACACAAGCGATAGGGCTTCAGACAGAGCAATGCCTCGGGTTATCCTTCCCCTAGGAATGCTAATAACATCACTTGAAGGGTATCAATATGACATTCCAGTGATGCACTTTAAATGTGGAACTAATAATAGATTGAAGGTACCAATGTATTTTTAACCGAACTAGCCACATATCTTATGTTTGGTAGGGGTGGCTGATATTGACAATACAATATTGAGATGATAATTTAACAATGCATCTGGAATTCTTTAAAATGTATCTGCAAGTGTATTGGTACAAAACATGAATGGACCATAAAATTAACCACAGATGGGAAAGAATATCACTTTATACTCTTCTTTGGGAGATAACACATGGTTTATTTTTATATAGTTTTGTAATAGTTTTAATCCAAAATAACAATCCAACAAACATTTTTGATAGATCTCCCACCTCTATTTTGTACTGTGGCTGTACATTGGCATCCCCTTGGATGCCATTGGTCATCACAAAATTACAGTAATTATTGTTGTAACAAAATTAAGTTACAACAAACAGGACAAAATTAATAACTTTGATAAGAACATAGAGGCTAATTTTACTCATAAGTACATTTTAAAACTAGAGCATATGTCAGCCTTTAGCTTTTTCACACATGTTCATATAATAGCACATATATACGGTGACAAACTCACTGTGGGGTGTAGTTGTATGGGGGCTTGTCATAGTTGGAGCTTTCATCATCTAGATGACTCCTAGAGTTCCGCAGCTTCTCTGGATAGTCAGAAATAGGAAGTTCTGTAGGATCCGCGGACACGTTGTTGACCTGTAAAAGAGGTTGAGCATTTTTACTTGTGCAATTGTATGTGTTCAAGAGCTTCAGGTCCTTATCCTTTCTGGTATGGGAAGCCTGCATGGACTTGCTCTGAGAGTGTATGGCATGATTACTGCCACACCTGTAGCACACACTTGAAAATGGTTTAGACTAACAACAGTGGGCTGTTGAACAGTATGTATCAGCAGTTTCACACCAGTTTCCACAATCATGGCAAAAAAACACCCCCAGTGTCATATTGCATGGTGTTTAGTGTCACTAACTGGCATTATAGTAGACCATCAGCAACTGGATTTACAGCTCTGTAGACGATATATGAATTAAATATCATATCAAATATACTGCCAGGTTCTAAATAATTAACAATTAAACAATTAAATAACAAAATATTAGAGAGTGGCTGCTAGGTTTGAACTTTTCTATAACTACCAATTGTGAAAATCACCAGATTAACATATAATCTAAAACACAGAGAATAGTTACTTTGTTTCAGTAGAAGTATAACATTAAAATGAAAAACATATACTATGTAAATGCCACACCTAGAAAGAGTTTTGCTCTGCACTTCCCCTGATGATAAACAGGTGACTGCTGTCAAACCGGTTGTGTGACTTTTCAAAACTCACCCATGCTTCCACATCCTGAGGAGGCTCCAGCTCATCGACAACCTTCACTCGCTTCCACAAAATGTTGCTCTTTCCAAAGTGTTGGAGTTTTTGTCGAGTTTTCAAGGCAAAGACAAGGATGATGATCAAAGCTACTCCAATAAGAAAGCCAAAAACAATAGCAATAGCCTGAAAAGATTGAATAAAGTTACTGGCCCATCTTACGTTTACTGCTCCATTGACACTGAAAAAACACCAAAAGTACAATGTTTGCATTACCTCCTGTGGTTCCACAACACAGTAGTGGTAGAGGTACTGGTTCACAAATACTCCAGAAGGTTGCGGCTGTTGATACTGAGCGCATAATCCTGCAATTTGGCTTCCATATGCCGAATTATAGGACTGGGACATGGGGTTCACTGCTACTAGATAAACTATACTAGCTACTAGCATTAACAAGGCAAGGAAGGCACTGATGATAACTATAGCCAGGTAGAAGCGCCTGCTCTCGGACAGACTCTGATGGGACACAATGATGATGAAGATAACCAAGCAGTAGATGAAAACTATTGCTGCCATGGCGATGATGAACCCTTTGCCACTCCTTGGATCATTGTAGTTTCCTCCAATACTCCCATAGCCATAGTTGGTCCCAGGACCATATGCTCCCCCACCACCAAAGCTGCCATATCCGCCTCCATATGCACCTCCATATGTACCTCCATAACTTCCCCCATAACCCCCATAGCCGAAACCACTTAAGGCTCCCTGGCTGTCCCAAGCAAGTGTGGAGGCAACACAAGCAAAAGTGGCCACAGATAAGACAATGCAAATGATGGCCATAATTTTGATGATCCCTGGAGGAGATGTCCAGCGGTAAAAATGCTGAAACTCATCATCTGGGTAGTATGAGTAGGCAGGCTGAGGAGGGGCAGTACTGAGAGAGGGAAAACAATAATGTAAATAAATTTGTATTAAACCACAATGAAAGATAAATAAATACTCACTATCCATTTTCAGACTCGTAGGGTGGCGGACTCCCATTTTGCCTAGAGGACATTGTGGCAAGATGAATGAGGATCTGTGAAAGATGTGCATCATAAAAAAATTGTTACAACTTAAGGCTCAAAATATGTTGAAATGTAAAGTATTTTTTATAACAAGAGTCAGAGACAACAAACAACTGACAAGACAGGGGCTCAGAGCGTTTAACGTCATGTTACTGGAAGCCACGAAATATTTAGCCACGTTAGTACAAAATTAAACCACTAAGTAAAGTTAGAGATATAGCCTGCACCGCCACCACTAGATTTGATTCACCAAGTTGACTTACCTGTTGCTTAGAGAGCGCCAAGGGTTCAGTCTCTCTGTAATGTCTGAACTGAAACTGTGTCGCTCATAAACAATGCGGGACACACCTTGACTAGCTCGACTCTCAGCCAGGTAAGCCCCGCCCCTTGCACAGGTGTAGTATTACGAAACAAAAGTCGGAAATAGCCTATGATGCGATGAGTGGGCAGGCGTTTGGCTCACTGAAACGGAATCGCCCTCAAAACTTTTTGTAAAAAGTTTCACTTAAAGAAACTGTAAAATTTTAATTTAAAATTTTATAAACTTTACCTATCTGTGATCCCAGACATGGGGCCCACATGTTCAAATTAAATAGGCTATAGCTTTTACTGATAACAATTCTAATTTAGAATTATCCTTAATTACAAAAACATTGTACACGATGCCCGTCTTATTTCTCAAGACGATAATCCAATAAGAAAGCAGAATGAGCCTCACATTAGTCTCTCATTTTGTTGGTCATTTTGGTGTCTCAGCATACAAGCATTGTTGTTGTCACAACTCTATACCAAAATATGTTTAGTTTAATATTTAATTTAATCAACTTTCAGCCTTAAGAGTTATGTGGGCTGTTCTCTCAAAATGCATTATTCTCCTATAGGGACATAAGGATCACTCTTCATAGTAGCACCTACATACACCAAACTTCCCAGTCTTGTACTTAACACGATTTTGACTTATCGTACAGAAGGATATAAAAAAAAAATCTAACTCCAAACTTGATTTATTATCACCACAAATTATTTCATAAATCATTGTATGTAATACATATTAAATAAGATAACCAAAATCTTTTCTGTATGTTTTTAAGTATCTAATATGACAACAAAAGGAAGCAAGAAACTGAAACCTGACTCTATCTTTTTTAGGTTCATATGTCCCAAAAATTGTAAAAAAAACATGAAAGATTTTTGTTACATTTATGTGAGTAAACAAAAGTTTAAAATTAATATCTCTAAATTAAAGATTTTTTCTTATTCACCTCCAGTGCCTTGTCTACACTGTAAGGAGGCAGTTCTTTTAATATAGGCACAAACAACACAAATGCATAATGAGCAATGACCTGGTGTGTTCAACCTTATTACCCATCCTTTTTTTTCTATTCTTTTCTTTTGTTGTTGTTTCTGCTTACTGTTCTTGTTAATAGCATTTTCTTTAAACTACTTGAAGGTGAACTGTGTAATTTTTTTTAAAAACAACAAGCATTTCAGTGCAAAAGTATATGTATTTAGAAAACAGAAATAATCAAAACACTTAAGATATGAAATTACGGACACTTACATGTACAAATACAAAGACGATGAAGATAAAAGCATATTGGTCAATTACAGGTCCACAATTGATAACAGTGCCCAACATGTTTAAAATTCAATTCAAGGGAAAAGTAGTCTATAATAGCTTAAGGACTCAGTAAGTTATGTTTAATGAAATGGTGGTGCCATATGTAAAAAGATAAGTTAATACACAGATAATAATAGGACAGGGCTTTGTTGATGTTACTAACAAATTACTAAAAGTACTCATCACAGCAGTTCAAAACTCAGCTTGTCAAAGATCAGTCAAGGAATGTTAAAAGGTAATGGACTCATGTAAAATATTTGGTATTTATGTCAACTAAAAAGGTGAAATAAATGGTTATCCTCTTGTGCAAATACAGTCACAGTGTCAAACATAGCATAGTAGTTTTTCCCAAAACTGAGAGTGCATATTAAGGCCATCTTAAGTATAAAATATATCAAATTATATATTTACAAACGCACACAAACAGCAGTGTCAAACAGAGTTCTCTCCAGATTTAAAGTGTCACATTTACTGTGTCAGAACCAGGAGCTGTAGTTTTAACTGTAGCCATCGTTCCACTCCATGACTTTGTCGTACTCCTGGATCTTCTGTTTGATATGGGACAGTTTGTTCTTAAGGTACTCACAGCGCTCCTTCTTTTCAGTGAAGGTTGGGTCCTGTAAATTTATAGAAAATGTAAAAATGCTCACTTAATTTAACACTGTCTTTACAAAAATGATCATAGTAATGACAAATAATAGGCTTACATTTTTCTTTCTCTGATATTCTTGAAGAATCCTGTTTATTCGATCCACTTCCTGGAAAGAAAGAAATGCTTTCAGGTCAAAAGTATTCACACTCAAGGCATGGCACAGAGAATATGCTGAAGTGGTGAAACCACTCAGTTAGTGTGGTTCAGAGTGAGCATACATTTGAGCATGTACACAATGAATTCTGTTCTGAATACGGTGTTAATACAAAGCTACATATGACGGAATAATTACAAGTCAGGTAAAAATATAATTTATAGAGGGAGAAGCTCAGCTTGGAACAGGAAGCACATTCATCTGAATATATTCGAAATAAACTTCCTCACTGATCACCTGTTTATTGGTCAAGAGTCTAAAACTTTTCAAAGCAAAAAAAAAACAAAAAAAAAACAGAACTTATCTAAAAATTTGCATAAGAAGAAACTCAAACTTAACACTTTTACACCAAGTCCCTAAAAAGTTTGAAAATGTACCATCTGGCTGGTGGGATGCTGTGGCAGAGTGCGCATCATTGCATCCATCTCATCAAACTTCTTAAGTGTGGCTTGAACATCTAAGTGCAGTTCTTTGTATTCAGCATACTGGTCATTGAAGACAGCCCGGTACTGGTCCCGCTCTTCATCTGTTCGGATTGCTGGATACTTACTGTAGTTTGCAGAGAAAGTTATTACATTACAATATTTCTGAATTTCGTCTTCCTGTTATAGGACAACATAATGAGTGCATTACACCATTCAGATGTTAATTAATTAATTAATGTTTGTTACTATGTAAATCCATCATTTTGAAACCCATAATAGGCCTAGGCTAGAGAAATAATAAATAAGCAGATAAGGTAGTATTTTACACATATTTGCATTAATAGTCCTTTTATTATATTTTATAACCAAAAAGTACTTACGCAATGTAATCAGGCACAATAACAGGCTTTGGGATGTATCCAGATGGTATGGCTCCCTGCAAAACCTTTTTAGGGGTTGCTTTAGGACTGGTTTGTATAGGAACAACCGAGGAACCCTGGACTTGCTCGGGAAGCTTGCGTACAGTAGTTGTTTCAGGAACAAGATGCTGAAACACAGTCATATGGAACTGTACATCTCCTATTTTGAATGTTTAGGTGTGAAGGGATGGAGAAATGCTTACCAATTCCTGGGATCTCTGCACAGGTGCAGTCAGCATCTGTGTGATTAGAAAAACAGCAGATGTTTATTTGTTTTATAAATTAGGATCAAATATTAAAAAAAAAAAAAAAAAAAAAAAAAAATATATATATATATATATATATATATATATATTTATTTATTATTTATTTATTTATATATTTATTTATATTTATATATAAATCCACTGTGTGTGTGTGTGTGTGTGAGACAAACCAATACCAGGCAAACAAGTACAAAGTTCTGAGCTGAACACTATGCAAATTATGTGGCAGGACTATGCTCACAGATTACGTAATGCATTGTACCATTTCAATAACAATGCTACAATGTTTCTGTCAAATTAGAAAAACTCACCTCCTGCCCATAGCGCTCCCTATATCTGCGAGCTGCTTCATGTCTCCAAAGCTTAAGACACACTAAGGCTCCAATCAGATACACCACCATAGTGACAAAAAGGAAAATGATGGCTGCAGTCTGTCCAGCCTCTGTCCGGCAAAAAGCACCATTAATGCTATTGTTGAAGAGTGGATAGGAGCAGAGCCCACCTCGTGTTGTGTCTCTGACATAAACAATGCCTGTCAAAACAAAGTACTGTTCAAATATTGAATTTTTATACTTAAAGCAAAATGTTCTTTATGTAGCATGAATATAAAAATTATGTTGCACTATTAAAGTGTAAAGAGTACCTGCAGCCAAGTAGAGCACAGCCAGAGCCAAGTTTATAGTGAACTCTGTCAGAGGCCACCAGTTGGAGTCCAGGAGGATGGTACGGTAGTACATAGTCATCCCGAGCACTAGCATAATTACAGTGACTAGCCAGGCCAGACCTGCCACCACTAACACAAATGGCGTCTTAGGGCCAGAGTAGTAAGCCCCACCTGTACCTGCCCCATATGCCCCATATGCCCCATATGGCGCCCCTGGGGATGAGTATCCAAACATATTAAACCACTCGTTGTCTTTATGAATGTAGGCACACACACAAGCAAACACTGCCGCCCCAAGAAGAAGCTCCACACAGCCCAGGATCCTCAGCAGCCCAGCCCAGGACTTCATGTAGGCGTAGCGCTGATGGTACTGCTCCACTCGCTCACTGTAGGTTAACGCTGTGTGGTAAGTGCGTCCTGAAACAGACTCATGAGTGTCCTGTGCTCCCAGGAGCTCCTTGTGAGAGTTGTAGCTATCACCTGAGCCTCCATAAGGATCACGATAGGACCCTGGGATGGGAGAGGGTGGGGGAGAGCAGGGCACCCCCTCTGTGGTGCTGTTGTTGTTGTTGCATGAGGAGCCCAGCATGGACCAAGGTTTCTCACTGCTGCGATTACTTGATCTGAAGAAGTTTTTCCAAGAGTCGGGAATAAAGCGATGCACTGGTTTTATGTCTATTGCAGGGTCGATGTCTGAGTCAGCGGTGGCCTCACTACCACTGGGGTCAAACTCTGGGCCCACAGGGGGCTGGTCTGGTAGAGGCGGTGGTGGAAGAGGATCTGCACTTCGAGCCAGACTCCTGGAGGTGTGTTCTCTCATTGGCTGAGCATCTCCAGGTAATGAGTCTTGGGGGACCTGATCATAGTAGGGCGCCTGGCGGGCTCGCTCAGTGCGTCCGGTATTACCTCCGCCATAGGACATGGGGAAATTGGTGGGCCCTAAGAAGAAGCCAAAGTCATCAATAAAACCTTGCTTACACAAATATCTTAGATTTGAATCAGTAAGAATATAACTATAAAACACCATAAAATCACCTTAAGGAAGCCAGTGATTAGAAAAATGCTTCATCATGAACATGAAACAACCCTTCACCAATGTCTTAGCACTCCAGAGAAAACCCTCAACCACAGCCTGCATGAACAGCACCCTATCATGGCAAGTCCAGAATGTATTTTTGTGCTTCAAGACCAATAGACTACAAACCAATTAATTTTTACTTACCAACAAAAGTTGCAGACAGTACAAAAATACACTCTTGGCTGTCAAGACGTTTTTTACTATGCCAGTCTTTTAGTAGTGATCTTCAGCGGTAATTATATGTAAAAACAGTGTTTAAATACCTCTTTCACACGCAGTCACTCAACACGACTTACATTGGCTTGCAGGTCACTATGCAAACCATTCATGAACAGATGGACAATCTAAAAAGAGCAGAGAAAATTATGAGGGCAAATATATTCATTATAATAACATTTTATGTAGTTTATTTACCACTTTAAACTAAATTACAACAACAGATAGGGCAAGCTATTTTGTCTGTTTTCGCCCCCCAGGACCTAGATTGACACTTGCCCCCGCCTTTGGAGTGCAGATGAAAAACAAGTGCTTTATTAAGTAGTAGTAATAGTCTGTCTGTGGCAGTCTTGTCATACGTATGTATGACCGAATAGTTATAATTACAGGCCTACCGTAGATATCAGTTTAAATCTTCGGCTACGTTAAGTGGGTAATCAGAGGCCTATTGAACCTGTTGTTGTGCCGCCCGTGCGTAATGCTTTTTGACACCGTACCGGTGTATAGACCATAAGAACAACAATTCAACATAGTATTGAACATATTATAGGTCCCGAAAAACTGAGCTGATCTATTGTTAGAAGTGAAGTCAAATTTAGGAGTTAAAAAAAAAAAACATTACAAAGCTACGATCTGCAGTGACGCCGCGAGGAAGTAAAGTTTTTAGAGCTTCAAGTCGGGTACTGACTTTATGGTCTTAAAGTGACTTTTACAACTGTGTTACTACATTTAAGTTTGTAATGACTGTATCTGGATGTTTCTATGGTATTTAGATAGGCGGAAAATACAAAGGTTTCTTACCTTGTCTCCAATACTCCCTTTTCTTTTCTTTCTCCCATTTCAGTAACGTTAAACCCAGGTTTCCTCAGGAGCACCACGTGACCTGCCCATCCCTGTGACGCTACTGATACGAGGTTCAGTGTTTGTAAACGAACAACTCACCTGAGGCTTTGATACCATGACAGACTAATGCAAATGTAAACTACACTGTAGTCCTGCTATGTATCCTCCTGCTGAGATGTTTGTATATACCTACATTTAATATAACAATTGGAAATAGTATTCATATAATTCTCCTATTTATAGCATAGGTGTCTAGTCTTTTTGGTACAGGCTAACCTATTTTGTTTATAGCTAAAATATGAGAGAGACTGTTTGCATGAAGTAAAGATTTCCATTTTACAAAGTCAATGTAAAAAATAGGCATACATAAGGGAGATTCAATATACTTTTATTGTTGAATCAATGTAAGACTGTTCCTGAAATGCTCTTCTGACAGAACAGATTTGTGCTTGAGTGTGTCATATTTGAAATGACAACATATTGATGTCACATTAACCTGGAGACAGATGATTGTCGTCTGAACAGTACTGAACTGAGCAAAAACTGCACACTTACATTAACATATCAAACCAGTAGCCTACAGACATCGGGACAGCTCAAAGAAACATGGACACACTGTAACTTGGACAAGACAAAACACAAGAAATGGCTTCATCAAAAAGTACTTAGACTGACAGAGACTTCTTTACCTTTACAACTTCATTAACCTTTTTACTGCTGTTTAAACAATGCAGCCTAATTTACCCTTAATATGCATTCTTTTGCACTAAATAATACTTGCTATGTAAGGTGGGAGTTAGTTACAACACAGCCACAAATGAATACACTATTAAATATTAATATATTGCATAAGGTTAATCATCAAGTATTACTACAGGCTGCCACAGTGTCTGTACTAACGTGGGGAATGGCTTTTTAATCGTTTGCAGTCATCGAGTCTGTGCAACTCAAACAGCATGTGTGACTAGGAATGTGACATTTAAAATGACATACACTCCTGTCTAAAGGGAAGTCTACAACGTCTACACTCAACATAGATATTATGACACATTTACTGTTATGTTAAAAGGAGTGCCATTTGGGAATGTCAAAAAAGTCTAAAAGATGCAGTTTTACCATAAAAATAAGCACAGCTAAACATTCCCAAATCCTGTCTATGTCTATGCAGTGTAATAGTTCTGGGAGAAGTTTGGTTTTCCAAACACCAATTAATAACAAACATTCATACAATGTAAATTTTTGATTTAGTCTTAGATATATTTCAAATCAACATAGTGTGAATAGTTAAAAAAGATGAATTTATAATTCTAAAACCTAACCATTGAGCAGCTGAAGTGAATTAAATACTGTGATCTGTAAAGTGCATACCAGCATTAAGTGGACATCAGCATAATGACAATGATAAAATATCTGCTTTAACACACACTATACAGAAATATGGCTCCCTTTTGGTCAGCTTCCACTTGTGTTACCACAAGTTATTCATTGTAACAAATACCAGCAATGTGAAGAGAACACTTAAAGGGAAATTCATATACCTCTTTTGATTTAAATAATTAACAACCTTAAAAAATTAACCACAGGAAAGCAGCAGACTGGAAGGTTTTGCATTGCAGTGATGTCCATGTAGACGTTTTAGTATGGGATTTGATTTTGATAATACTGCAGCATATCATAGGTCTTGCTCCTTAAATTGGGGAAGTTAAAAGAAAAAAGATTAAGACAATCTGAATAAATCTGTAGCCAATCAAACAGAATGAATTATGCCTCACCTGCTACTAAGGAAACAGCTCTGAATGACTTTGATCATGAATGCTGCTGCCTCTTTCTCACTCATTTGTGGGTTGAATCGTCCTCTGAAAAGCAAAAAAAAAAAATGCTATTAATCTTGAAGGTAGTTAGATGCAATTAATACTGTATAAATTATCTTTAAATGCAGTGCGGTACTTTAAAAGCTTAATGGTTTGCCCTCTGAAGCATGGCAGTCCAGTGTCCAGCATCAGCGTCACTAATGAAACTACTGCATCCATGTAGGGTCTGTTTAACAAGAGCAATTTTTAAATAATTATTTCTTTTCTAAGCTGGAAAATTCATAGTGCAGCATGAATGGCTTACCGTACAGCAAGGTATCCCCTGACACACATCTCCATGAACCACTTGAAAGGTGTAGCTTCCATTTTGCCTCCCATAATCATGACCATCTCATCAGTCAATTTGATGTCTGGCTCCCAGCCGAGGTTACCACCAGGGGAGCTCTCAAACATGAAGCCGAAGTCTAGGAAAAATCAGGTTCACAGTTTTACATATTTGTTTACATAGTGGAACTACTACTTTTAGAGGTCTATATTTCTGTGTCGTACCAATGTGAATGAGATGACCCTTGCTGTCTAACATGATGTTCCCATTGTGCCTGTCTTTGATCTGCAGCAGAAACAATAGAAGACTATAGGCAGCCATACTGCGAATGAAGTTATATCGGGCCTGTGAAAAGAAAAAGCATAAATTGTAAAGTTGTAATTTACAGCATGTTTACAAAGATAGTATGAAAGACTATGCACCTTTTGGAAAGCTAAAGTGGATTCATCTCCGTATTGGTTACGGAAGTAGTCATACATTCCAAAGTCTGTCTGTCTGCCGAGTTGGTCACGGGACTTACAGTCGGGGATGCATTCAATGACGCCACACTATGAAATATGAAATGAAAACATTTTAACCATAGTGGTAGGAGGGTATTATATAAAATGCATTATAAGTCATATTAAAGCTTTACCCCTGGAGCTGTTGCTACCACTCTATATGGAAAGACAAACAGATCCAAACCAACCAACTGAAAAATATTTTTAAAAAGGCCAATAATTTGTAGAGCAAGCATGTCCTAAAAGGTGCAAGAGGCACACAGCAACAATATGAGTTTACAATCATCAACAATATGTAATGCAAATGTGGGACAAAGTCTCAATGTTATTACCTGTCTACAGTCATCTCCCACTTTAAAAATGGCTGCCTGCCAGCAAACTTTGCGAGAGCCATCAGGATTTTCCTCTCCATCTTCTACTGAGTCCGAGGGGCAGCGCAGGCCTTCCCTCTCCAGCTCACTCACACCACAACGCTTTACTTTGAACTTCGCAAGGTAGGGTGCTTTAGCAGCACTGCAAAAAAAAAAAACATAATCATTTTAATAAAGAGCATTTAACAATCAGTACAACAAATGCAACATGTAATAAGTCACACCTCTGCATAGGTGTTCCGGATTTATAATCAATATCGAGAACAATTGCTTCAGGATTACTTGGCAAGTAGCACCCTGTAGGCACGACATCAGTTATTCAATGCTCAAAAAATGTGAAACCTGCAAGTTGCATGCCAAGAATGTGCTAAATATACTGTACCTGGTTGAACCTTGATGTCAGATAAAGCCTTAAGACAGGCCCGTTTTCTCTCCTCACCCTTTGGAACAGGCCTAAAAATATACATAGTTTGTACAAAGACTAATATGGAGAAAATACTGTATATTTAAATTGCTAAGGGCTTTACTTGATAATGGCTGACACATTGGTGATCTTGTTGAAGAAGTCAAACTCTCTTTGGTAGAAATCCTTTGCTGGTCCGGACAGTGAGTTGATGATTTCCTCAACCATTTGCTCCAGTAGCTCTCCAATGTCAGCTAAACAGATTCACACAGAAGTTTTAGATCAAATCACTTACACATATATTTAATAGGGTTGGGCAAAAATAAAAAATCGTAATCGCATTAATCGCATGATTAATCTTGATTAATCACGTTATACGCAAAACCAATTAATGAATTCAAAAGAACAGCATTTCTTTATACAGTAGCAGGACACTAGTCTGTAAAGTCCATGTTTATATTTCTTCCTTTGGAGAAGCTTACTCAAAAAAGAACCAGTTTCTGTGCAGTTTGTCAATTCTTAGTATTTGACTTAATGAACTGAATTCAAAAGTAAAAAAGTGCTCAACAGCAGTAAAATAAACTATTCAATGTAAATCTCAACTGAAAATACCAAATCAGACTAAATACAAAACTGAAATTTATTGCCACTGCCAGGCATTTATGTTATCCTGTTTGATATAAAAATAAGAATCTCAGTCAAAAACAATAACCAGAAAACAGTACACATAACCAGATTTTCAGTGCAGTTTGTCAATTCCTAGAACTTTAACATTTTTGAACAAAGCAAGTTGCTAAGACATACAAGATTGTTATTGTTATTAAGAAGAATGCGATTGCTGGCACCGGCTTCTTGTGTAAGAAAAGTGAGACCGGGGTTGGGGGGTTGTGTGCCCCCGCAAGCACTTGATGCCCTACGCGCTGTGCGTAATGTACGGTTGCGGAGCGACAGCTCTGACACATTGCATTTAATGTGGTCTGTTGAAGCTTCACTTGTTTCATTGAATGATTTGCCGGCATCAACACAATGTATTGCATTTAGGTGGTATTTCATGAAACTCCGGTGATGAAACAATTCAGCGTTGCAGTGTTACAAATGACTTTGGCTGTGTTGACTGTGCCGTTTAGAAGAACCTTAAAATGAAAATGGCCATGTAAAATATCCTTACCCTTCTCCATGTTTGTTTATCCCGCTTTCTTTCACTCTGTTTACTGTGAGCGCCGCAGCAGTAAGCAACATTCTAGGCCTGCTCACGATGAACTTTTTCAAAATAAAAGCCAGTGAGCAACAGACGCAAAAAAAAAAAAAAAATAATAATAACAAAAACTGCATTAAGGGGAGAAAAATAATTGTCGGCGATAATGAATTAATTAGTTAACGCAAAATTAACGCATTAAGGTGCCCGGCCCTAATATTTCATAAGACTTTTTGTTTACGATCTTTCTGATGTCCCTCCTCATCCACGAAAATGTTGGTCTTCATGTTCCAGATAAACTGATGAGCAAGCAGCTGGGATTTTTGGGCTGCCCAAAGGATGTACTCCCGCACATAACCCATCTAAAAAAAAAAGAAGAAATCCATATGTCAATATAGTCTCAAACTTGGCACCTACACATTCACATAGTACCTTTAAGCATTGCTGGCTTTATTATAACTTTTCTAGTGGATGGTCCGTCATCAGTTTATATCCATGTATATGGCTTTGCCTTAAACTTACTCAGTGTGGTATGACTACTTTGTTCAATCACATCATTTATTGCTCAAATATACCTTGAAAAACATGCATAAGAGGCCACGCCACTCAGAGCTGAGCCGTAACTTAGCCTTGTGGCATCACCTACTTGTCTTGATGGAAATAGATAACACAAACCTAACACATTTACCTTATCATAACGCAATGCTTGTACAATCTGAGGAATGTAGAACAGAATAGCATCCTAGAGAAAAAACAATGACAACATACACAGTGTTAGGTTTATCGATTGTGTAGTACCAGTGAGATGTAATTAAACTTACCGGGGGGAAAGAACGCAGGACCTTGACGCCATACTGTGCAGTGAGCGGATGTGGTGGGTACATGCTGCTGAAATAGGACAGACCAGTGGGAGGATCAGCTGGTGCCCAACATAAGATATGGCTCAGCTCAGGAGAGTCAGCATCAATTGTGTGCCAGGTCACTAAAAACTAGGTAAAAACAAACAAGTTTAACAACAACCACCAAAATACTGAAATCATTGCTTAATCAATCACTTTCAAAATTTTACTTTTACAGCTTCTGGTACATCGCTGACAGCTCCAGGGTCAAGTCTCACCAGCCGGGTCACTTCAGCAACAATGGCGTCATTTTTGAACCTATCAAAAACACCAGTCAATTTTATATAGGCTTAAAATGTGCCATAACAATAAGTGAACAGAAAAAAAGACCTTGCTGGAAGCTGCATTGCCAGGTATGGTGCAATGCTCCAGGCCAAATTCACATTGTCCTTCCACTGTTTCTCAGTTAGACTGATGTATTTGGATCTCCAGTTGGAGATGCTAGTTTCCACAGACTGTTCAGTGGCGATGGCTAGTTCCTGGGTGGAAAGGGGATTGTACCATGTGGTCAGCCGCTCAATCTCACTGGCCTGCAAAAAACATATGTCTTTTTTTTACTCAGTATTTTGCAGAATTGTAAAAAAAAAAAAAAAAAAAAAAAGAAACGTCCCACACATCAGATGATTAAAACAAGGGAATTAAACCAATCCACTGTCAAAGCTCTCACCAGCAATGCCAACAGCAGAGTTCTGCGTTTTGTATAATACTTATGAAGTTGTGTTCCTCTGTTACTTTTCTTTGATGTGCCTAGAAAGAGGACCAAGCAAATTCAAATGTGGTACCAGGTGTAGTTTTCCTGTGTTTTCCTTTGATGCAAAGATTGCATGTAATTAACAATACCTGACTTTTTAGATGCAGTAGACATTCCACTGGAGAGAGGATATGTGTTAATCCACCCCTGACCACTCTGCTGAGAGCGAGAGCTGGAGTCCATATTGCTCCGGAGGTCAGCAGCATTCATCACTGAGAGACTGTTCAATGATGGGTCTTGATTGTCTGTTCAGAGAGAAAACAATTTACAAAAAAACTCTATAGCTTTAAGTTAAAACATGCCCAATGGTGTAGATGTTCTGAACAAAAATGTGTCCTGTAAGTGCCCCGCTGTTTTAATGGTCATGCAGGGAAAGACAGCAGGAGATGATAGCGGTCCAAACCGTTGGCCTTGGGTCAAATAGTATTTACATTGCAGGGTTATTGTAAATCTGGCCCAGGGTCAATAGTTTAAGATAAAGATAAAGTTAAACTAGAACATGAATGGATGTATGACAATGCAACCATGTCTTTGTCTGGATTGTTGGAATGAAAAGGGCTGGATATTTGAGAAAAAACACTTTTTAATTTAAATTTAAAGATTATAACTGAGAAATTTAGTAAATTGTGAGAAGGGGGCAGGTGGAGGGGCTGATAAAATGAATACCATGCATCTTAACACAGATGGCAAATTTGCACTTTCCTCACAGTTGCTTCAAGTATTTTAGAAAAGAACAAGAGCAATAGGAAGTTGGAAAAAGAAACAAAAAAATTTAGGGATCACAAGAAAAACACAAAGAATATATTGGGTAAAAAAGAAAACTGAAAATGGTTTGTTAAGAACAATAAGTCATCAGCAATGTGAGGATATCCAGGGACAAATTTGACATGTGCAACAGCATGCCCCTGCTGCAGTGCAGTCCAAGCTCCACCACGTTAGGCTTACTCAAGATAGATATCGGAGAAGTGCTGGACACAATTAGCGATCCAAAAATTCCAGCAGAGAGGGTGCTCGGGACAGGGCTAGTACCAAGCTCACCGGGTGGGACCAATTGACACGCAGCCAAATATTTCTTGTCAGAAAGGATGCTTGCGTAGAAACGGATCATTACACTGATGTCTTCACGTAGTCGCTTGTCGCACTGAGTTGGGAACTTTGGGTTAACGCTAAATCAATTTTAAAAGCAATTAGTTTGTATACAATCACAATCACAGATCAGTAACTACATGGTTAAAAGTTACCTAAAGTAATCAAAGGCAGTAGAATAGATTTTTTCACGAAGAACATTTCTAACAGTGGCATTTGTGACCACATCAGAATGAAGCAAAGCCAGACCCAGAGTAAGCAATCTGCAACACAAAAATATTACAACAATTAAAAGCACAAAATAAAACCCAACAGAGTTGCATTAATGTAAAAACTACCTGAAGCGAGGTCCAATAGCAGCTACATGGCGGTTGAGACTACTTTGATTGCCACCAACATTAAGAGACAGAGAACGCTGAAGCAAGCTGCCAAAAATCTCCACTTGATCTGCACTAGAATATTTTGCTATTTCAAACCTCTGGACTAGAAACTGTGGAAAGAAAGTTACTTAAAAAACAAATGAAGATTTTGAAAAACTTTATCTTGAAAAATGTAAAATCAAACCTCTATCCAAATGTGGTGAGGGGTCACATCTGGGGGACAGGGCACAGGTTGACTTTCTTCAGATGCAGCAAGAGGATCAGCCTCAACCTGAGCATTGGAAAATAAGCCCATCTTCAACTCCACAGTCATCTGCCAAGCTCCTGCCATCTCCCGCATAAACTACACAACCAACAATGCACCAAAGGTAATAACAAATCTGTTGGTGAGGAAAAAAACAAAACAAAACAGAACATAATGCTTTCAATCATCTGTACCGGGACTTCAATTCCAGCACGGGCAGCCAGCAGCCACTCCCAGCAGGCAATAGCAGTCTCCATGCCATGCTCTGTAAACATCTTGAGAGGAGACCAACAGAGATGGTGCAAGAGCTGAGGGTCACAATCTAAAGAAAATGGATGCCACAGTCAATATAAACACTAGAGAGAAACAAGGCAAAAAGTGGAAATACGAATTTTGAAAGGAAAGTGAACCCTTTGTGCTGATGAGCAATGCAGCCAGTTTGAACATGGCCTCAGTGAATGCTTCAGGCTGTGCCGAATCCAAAGCTTCCCCCATCTGTTTGATCATCAGTCGACTTAAATCAGACTGTCCTTTAACTGCTTGGACAAAGTGGATCATGCCCGATACCTACAAAAACAATTTGTTCAAATATTAGTTTAGTTTTTAGAAATTTAAATTATGTTTTTTTTCTTGAAGGTAATTACCTCTCCAGCATATCGGTTTCTGAGGTTTAGTGATGCCATGAAATTGGAATAGTCCTTCTTGACACAGGCAGGCCTTTCTGTCAATTGAGTGGACTGTAGTACGATAAGAAATGCACAAAGAAGCTCATTAATTTTAATGATGTTATGTAAATTATAATGTATATATTTACTAATACAGTATATTATAAACACATTTAATAACATTTTGTTATTTCTCAGAGTATTCGTGGCTTTCCATCCAGTCCAGAAAAAGTGTTGGCAGGAGTGTCATTACCCACCCCCAGTGTGGTGCTCTCTCGGTTGTAGCCAGCAAAATGCAAGATACTCTCTGTGGCCATAGCTAAGCCTGTGTGCTGAGACAGCCCTGACACCCAGTTTTGATGCTTGTTTAGATATTCCTAAAAATGAACAAAAAAATACTGATTTGTCCAAGTATATATAGTACAAGTCTCTAATATATGTTATAAATTTGTTACCTGTAGATGTGATTTGGTCACAGATGGTGCCCACTTCATGGCTTCTTTAAGGATCTCTCCACAGCGTGCTGCAAAATCCTTCACTATACTCTACAGTGAGAAATTTTAGATTATTGCATCATTATTGTAGTTGCAAGACTGCATTTTGCATTTGGTGACAATTTTAAGTTGCAGAATAATACCTCTCTTGCTTCATATGTGTCTGGGACAGTGACTCTGTAGGGTGTGTCTGGGATGTCATAGTATGGTTGGTCTTTGTGGATGTCCTGCAGGAGAATGAAGCATTAATATAGCATATATACCCTGTTGTGCATGTAATGAAATGCATGTACTGTGCAATTATAGCTTATATACAGGAAATGAGGTCTGTTTAATTTGGGACAGGGGTGAGGTTAAATAAGTATTTAAGTTATCACTCCTTTTTGGACACAAGTAAAGTCTGCGTGACATTTATTTTTATTTATTGTTATGGAAAAGAAGTCTTTAATTTTTGTATTATATCTATTTATTTTCTGGCCTTTCCGCTTGGGTCTGCCGGAAAGACCTGGCAGGCCCAAGCGTGTAGTAAGGGTCTGCTGGGAACGTCTGGCAGAGCCCTCTGTCAGAGGGACTTTCAACTCGCACCCCCAGGAGGACTTCTCCCAGATTCCGGGGGAGGCTGGAGATATGGAGTCCGAGTGGGCTTCATTCTCTGCCTCTATTGTCAATGCGGCCGCTCGTAGCTCTGGGCGTAAGGTCTGTGGTGCCTGTCGCGGCGGCAATCCCCGAACCCGGTGGTGGACACCGGAAGTAAGGGTTTCCGTCAAGCTGAAGAAGGAGTCCTATCGGGTCTTGTTGGCTCGTGGGACTCCTGAGGCAGCTGATGGGTACCGGCGGGCCAAGCGTGCTGCAGCTCGTGTGGTTGCGGAGGCAAAAACTCGGAGCTGGGAGGAGAGGCCATGGAGGAGGACTATCGGACGGCCTCAAAGAGATTCTGGCAAACTGTCCGGCGCCTCAGGAGGGGGAAGCAGTCCTTCACCAACACTGTTTACAGTGCAGGGGGAGAGCTGTTGACCTCGACTGGGGACGTTGTCCGGCGGTGGAAGGAATACTTTGAGGATCTCCTCAATCCCACCGTCACGTCTTCCGAGGAGGAAGCCGAGGCTGGGGACTCGGAGGCGGACTTGTCCATCACCCTGACTGAAGTCACTGAGGTGGTTGGCAAGCTCCTTGGTGGCAAGGCTCCGGGGGTGGACGAGATCTGTCCTGAGTACCTTAAGTCTCTGGTTGTTGCAGGGCTGTCTTGGCTGACAAGCCTCTTCAACATCGCGTGGCGGTCGGGGACAGTACCTCTGGACTGGTAAACCGGGGTGGTGGTCCCTCTGTATAAGAAGGGGGACCGGAGGGTGTGTTCCAACCACAGGGGAATCACACTCCTCAGCCTTCCCGGTAAGGTCTATGCCAGGGTACTGAAGAGGAGAATCCGGCCGATAGTCGAACCTCGGATCCAGGAGGAGCAATGTGGTTTTCGTCCTGGCCGTGGAACACTGGACCAGCTCTACACTCTCCATCGGGTGCTCCAGGGTTCATGGGAGTTTGCCCAACCAGTCCACATGTGCTTTGTGGACTTGGAGAAGGCATTCAACCGTGTCCCTCGTGGTGTCCTGTGGGGGCTGCTCTGGGAGTATGGGGTCCGGGGCCCTTTGCTAAGGGCTGTGTGATCCCTGTATGACCGGAGCAGGAGCTGTGTTCGCATTGCCGGCAGTAAGTCAGACCTGTTCCGGGTGCATGTTGGACTCCGCCAGGGCTGCCCTTTGTCACCGGTTCTGTTCATTGAAGCTGCTGGGATGAAGATCAGCTCTTCCAAGTCCGAGGCCATGGTTCTCAACCAGAAAAAGGTGACTTGCCCTCTCCGGGTGGGTGGGGAGTCTTTGCCTCAAGTGGAGGAGTTCAAGTATCTCGGGTCTTGTTCACGAGTGAGGGAAGGACGGAACGTGAAATTGACAGGTGGATCGGTGCAGCGTCTGCAGTGATGCGGTCGCCGTATCGGACTGTTGTGGTGAAGAGGGAGCTGAGTCGAAAGGCGAAGCTCTCGATTTACCGGTCAGTCTTCGTTCCTACTCTCACCTATGGTCATGAGCTCTGGGTAATGACCGAAAGGACGAAATCGCAGATACAAGCGCTCGAAATGAGTTTCCTTCGCAGGGTGGCTGGGCGCTCCCTTAGAGATAGGGTGAGGAGCTCAGTCACACGGGAGGAGCTCGGAGTAGAGCCGCTGCTCCTCCACGTCGAGAGGAGCCAGCTGAGGTGGCTCGGGCATCTGTTCCGGATGCCTCCTGGGCATCTCCTGGTCGGGAGGTGTTCCGGGCATGTCCCACCGGGAGGAGGCCCCGGGGAAGACCCAGGACACGCTGGAGGGACTATGTCTCTCGGGTTCCCCTGGAGGATCTGGAGAACGTGTCTGGGGTGAAGGAAGTCTGGGAGTCCCTGCTTAGGCTGCTGCCCCCACGACCCGGCCCCGGATAAGCGGAAGAAAATGGATGGATGGATCTATTTATTTTCATTTTCTGTGTATGCATTACTGACTGACTAAACATTCTTTAATTCATAACTTACTGCACTGAGAGAAAGGGAGAGTGTCTGCAGGATATCCAACATGGTCCTGAGCACACGGCCACTCCACAACAGATGAGGGAAACTGAAAAGCAAAAGATGTCATTCATGAACATTAAACATGTTTAATCATTTACCTACAAAAAGCAATACTCACGTTTCAGCAAGTCCAGATAAATATTTGTCTGCCACTCTCCGTATTCTTTTATGTATGTGATTAAAGTTGACCAAGAGAAATTGGGCATGGCGCTCTAGCTCTTCTTCGTGAGATTTGGTTTTTGCCTAAAAATAAGATGCCATGAATTAAGGGTGTAATGGAATTTTTTTTTTTAAATGGTTGAAATTATCTTACTTTTTCTGCCATCATTTGAAGAAAGACCTCAAAAACTTTGTCACTGACAGCAATCACACACTGCATCATACCTGAAAGGTGTGTGCAGTGGTTAACATGGCGTTTTAAAGTTATTCAAATGTTGTGTCTTATAACCCCTACCAGATTTATCCTTCTGAATAGCTCTATCTTCAAAATATCGAAACATGACTTGAAACCGATCAGAGTCCAGAGAACGCAGCATCCTAAAAACAGTATAGTATTATTTGTTTAAAAAATGAATAGGTACATGGACATAGATAGATTGCTTGCCATACCTCATATATTCCAATCTGTAAACCGACAAGAGGTAAGTTGACATGGCGAAGTCCAACTTGTTGATCAGACCAGCCACATCTGGAGGAGGGTCCAGCAGGTTGATGATAGTACTCCGAAGATCATTCAGTTCAGCCTGCAATACATTTTTTCATAAGTTTAAAAATATCTTTTGATGTATTAAATCTTGTATTACATCACATACAGGAGTGACAGTGTCATTCTTCAGTGCAGAATTGTACTGTAGCTCAGAGCGCAGAGGTTCTCCACTTGGAAACGTGAGCAGGGGGGATTTAGTTGCAATCTCACAAACTCCTTCATACCATTCTTCTGGCCACAGGCCTAGGGAACATTACAGTAAAAAACATATTCAACACATTTCTCTAAAATCTCACTTTTCATGAATTTAAATAGTAATTATTGCAAACCTGAACCCTCTACGGCAAAACCCATGACAACAGAGTAGAGCCAGAAGTCTCTGAAGAGCTTTTGCAAACGTGGCTTTGCTTCTTTAATTGGTGGAAGTCTCCTGGTTAGCTGAAACATTACTCAATGACACTTAAATTGCAATGTTTTTCTAGATAATTATTGGTATAGATATGTTCTTCGTGTATGAAAATAACCTAAACAAAAATATTGTTATATTTACATACCACAGCAATAACAGGGATCAAGACTCCAAGATTTCCAGCGCTGCTAGATGCCTACAAAACAAGACAAAACAAGACAAACAAATCTGCTGTTTATATTATTGTTAAAGCATCACCAAGTGGCTGACGTGGCAACACATAATACCAAAACCAACTGCGCTTTTTGGAAAGAAAACAGATATGGAAAAGTTAAAAAAAATAATGTGAAACATACTTATTTAAACATCTCTATTTAAATTGTTGATGTAGTTATCATGCAAGTATTGTGTCTACCTTTAAAGCTGGACCTTTGTCTGAGGCTCTCTCACTTGCTCTTTTGCCTTCCAGGCCAAGTTGAACAAAAAGTTCCAACAGGTTCACAAGTAACTCATCCACCATTTGTTCATTTTGGAGATTTGCTGCTATGTTACCCAGGGCATTTATCACAGCAAGGGAACAATGTCTAACAACACAAAAATAATGTAGTTGTTAATAACAATAAATATCAGAAATACATAGCAATGTAGTTCCCAAAGTGGGAGTTTCTGATACAGACTGAAAGTAATGTCCAGTTGTTTTCAAATTATTATGGAAATAGATTTTGACACTTTTGCTACTCTAAGATATTGGTTATTCTGATGACCTGTTTAAGCTCACCTATATCCATGATCCTTATAGTCCTTGGTAGAATAAACCATGGAACTAGCTTTAACACTGATCTGCTGAAATAAATTCCATACTTCCTGGTAGATGTATTGCTGAAAAAGAAGACAAATTGAATATCTGTAAACAAAGCAATATAAAACTTAATTTTGGTGTCTAATATTTGATATTTACATTGCCTGTGATGACCATGCAGCCCAGTTGGTCAATGATGAGGACATCAAGCTGAGATGGAGGCTGACAGAACTTTTGTTGTAGGATTTGAAGTATGGGCTCCATTACCCTGGGAGTGTCTCGTAAGGCCACAGCAATGTGACCCAAAGCCCTGATGGTGTGATCTGGGATCAAATGAGCATCTCTGGATGATGAAAGAAAAAAAATCTGTCATTCTTTCATCTTTTTTCTGTCAAATTAGTAGTTTCTGTAGGTCAATCCTTACTTATCATTTTCTTGGTAGATGTAAAGACGGTTAGAAAGACTTGCAAGAAATGCTTCTACTATGACATTGTCCCAAGTGAGGCCTGCTTTAAGACACCTAAAAGGCATAAATACGTTCTGCTATTACAACAGTACATGAGAATGTAACTGATCAATATAACTTACCTGCAAATGTTATCTATTGAGATGTCCCTCAACTGTTCATACATAGTAGGCTGGCTCTTCTTGCTTGTACTAGCACTCAGTGTTGACTGAGAATGTTCATTGGTTACATGAATTTTTATTTCACTGCCTCCTATAAACAATATAATCATAAAATTATTACTGAATAAACTATTTATTTTAGCATTAATAGATACCTGTTGTGTACTGGCTGTGGTATTTGTACAACTTCACTAAAACCGGAGAAGGCACCACCAAGAAGTCTCTTAAAGACATGGTGACCGAGTGAGCAACAACAGGAAAGCGCTCACATAGACGGCCAAGACCCTAAATAATAACAAGAAAAAAATCTAAAGTCACTCTCAACACCATATTTAATTCAACAAAAAATAAATATTACAGTAAAACAGAAAACAAAACAAAACAAAAAATACCTGAAGGCAGCAAATGAGTAGGGGCATGTGGGCAATAATGACTTTGCTAGATGTTTTTGACTGAAGCTTCTCAGACAGTTTAGTGCAGAGATTTTCAGCTCCTAGCAATGAAAGACATATGTTTACACCCACAATACAATCCAAAATCAAGTTTATAATGTGATGTTTACCTTGTTCTTCAGTCACGGCCCACACCATCAGGTCCACACAAGCCGCATTGGCCTGACAGCGCAATTTGAGTGGGCTCAGCTCACTTTGCAGATACTCCACATCATGTAATATCCTTTGTAACTCTGACTGGCTGCTGCTAAACTGCTCCAGGACAAAGTCATGAACCTCTTTTACAAAGTCTGTCTGGAGATCTGGAGGGCATAGATACAGATATATGAGAAGCAAACACTAAATAAGAAAATTGAAAAACAAATCAAATAACCTACCCTTTAGATTATACAGAGTGTCCCGTAGCATTTTAAAAATAGCTACATACAGAGGATCACTAAAGGTTTTGTAATATAGCTGAAAATTTGGATTTGCCTACAAACACAAATTAACTCTGTTAAACTTTGTTAACAGAATTCAGCACTGTCATAATGCTTTTAGCATACCTCTAAAAGCTCAGCCAAAGTGTCATCTAGTGATTTTAAAAATGATTCAGACACAAACTGTTCAACCTGTAAAGACAGACAAGCAATAAGCATATTTCTTCTGTTTATCACCAAATGTAAGTATATTTTCTATTCAGTCAAATTGTGATTTCGAACCATGTGAAGCAGCTGCCTCAGTGTATCAATAGGGACATGAAACTCTCCTGTGCTCCTTCCAGTAAACAGAGGTGACACAGAGAAGCTTGAGCTGATAGTGGAGAAGTAATATTCAGGGTCCACAGCGCTGCCATCAGGGAGGTAAGAGCCTGAAAACAAAGGTATGTGAACTATGTCAACTGCTTGTTTTGAATTGTACACAGGGACTATTTTTCTAGTATCTCACCCTCAAAATATTGCACAGAAGGATCAGCAGGGGAGCTGGGTGTAAGACCTGCTCTTTCAGGACTGGCCTACAACAGTATTGTGATTGCTCAATTATTCATGTAACTTTATACAATAATGGTTAATACAATTACACCTACCTGCTGTGAGACACTGGAAACAGAGGAACCTTTACGCTTTAAAGTGTCACTCTGACAAACAGTCAGCAAAGAGCTGGGCATTATTGAACGGAAATCATTAAATGATCTTCTGTGTACAGAGTCACTCTCTTCATTTGTAGGTAACACTGGGGCCACTGGTCGAGGGAATAATTTGGACAGCAATGGCTCATCTGTGTTGCTGTATCTCCCAAAGGCTCGAGCCACCCCAAGGAGAGTTGGCACTGTGTACTTACAGAGGTACTCTGAAGTCATAAGAGAAGACAACTGTTATTAAGTTTGCCATAATGAACAGATCCAAAAGCAAATGAAAATGTGTGTTACCTTTGTCATGAGAATCTGGATTCTTGCAGATGTCTTGTAGCACTTGCATGAGATCCATGATAGCCTCCAAAATCTTGCAAGGAGATTTTATTAAAATTTTATTCATAGATAGTGACAAATGACAGTAACATTATAAACAAAGAAAAATGGTTGGTGATAATTATATGGAAGATACATTGTTTCAAGCAACAACATAGAAACATAAATTTTTAACTAAAGAAGGTTTACCTGTCCACGTAAGGCCTCATCACTCTGGGCCACATCTGAGAGCAGTGTTACAAGACTAAAGCTGAAGTTTTCAGCAACAGGGAGAGTGTCTGCAAAACAAATAGAAAAAACTTAAACATAAACATATTTTCAAGGGACATGCAACAATCTCCATAGCGTGACTTTACCAAGTCCTTTACGTAGGGAGCTTTCCTCAATCCACTGAACTTTGGGAAGGCCTTTCAGTAGCCCCAGAAGGTATGGAACAATGGAATCTTTGTGCTGTTTGAGGAGATTAAGAGTGTGGTGAAAAAAAAGTTGGCAGATAAAAGCAAATAGTTAGGAAAACCCTATGATTACCTGAAGGTTTGATTCAACCAAAAAGACACCTAGTGCAATGACAGCATCTCTCCTCCTCTCATCTAACTGGTAGACTCCACGGAAATCAACAGGACACATGCACTGCAACTTCTGCACCTAAGAAAAGAGCAAAACATTGTAAGCTGTTTAAATGAAGCAGTCTTGAGTATAAGCCGGATTTGCATCACGTGCTTATGAAGACACAGTGGTCATGCATGGCTTCATTATTTATAACAATGAATTTGTCCAGCCTAAATGTGTTTCAGGAATTGAACCAGGACTGACGGATCTGCCCTTATGGCTTTATTGCATTGGGTTTAAAGGGAGGAATTATCTTTTACAGTGTACAAATACAATGTTAGTTTTAAATTGATCTCTGAATTTAATTAAGTAAAAACTACATTCATACCATACTCCATACAACTGTACAACAACTTACCCTTTTGTAACAGATAGCCCTATGTCCTGTCAATCATCAAATCAATTTTTGTACTGTTTTTTTTCCATACAACCTCTTGTATACAGCTGAGATATTTTTATTATTACTTTTTCCCACTTGTACATACGCATTTATATAACTATGCCTTATTGACACCTGTCTATTGTTATCTTTTTTGCTACTTATTTACAATTTATTATCACCATTCGTATTTTTTTTTTACACTTTGTTATTATAATATATTGTGATGTGTGAGCTACTGTGTCAAGTTAATTTCCCTTGTAGATCAATAAACTTTGTCTAAACCTAAGTCGAAGTTTCTATTCTCTAATTCTCTAAGTCTAATTTCTATTTTAAAACATGCGTATCTAGATCTGGGCAAGAATAAGGATGTGTAGACAAATTAACCTACAATGTATTAATAATTATTTACGTCTATGCATGCAGCTTTAAAAAGAGCACTTCAATAAATACCAACAGTAGTTACCCAACTGAGGTATCTGTGGTTACGTTTTACTTAAATACAGTCCTGCCGTCACCTCTACACAGTAACCTTTACAATTAAACTTGTAATTAACTGTTGTGGACCTATAATGGACTAGTTTAAGTAAAAATAAAGGGAGTTTGATTGAGCTGACAATCGTTTCATTTCCTGATGTTGCTGCTCTGGTTTCTTGGGTACAAGGTTAGCCTGAGTTTATGTCTACGTTATTAACAGGTTACAACTGAAAGAGCTTTCTTATAAGCCAGGCATACAAACACACCTTAAACGTGAACGACTGTAAGAATTAGACCAAAGATACGTTAATAAAACCAAACGAGAAGTTAAAGGCAGGCCGAAGGTCTCTAAACAGGTTTTAGCTAGCTAGCTGCGTTACCTTTTCGATTGGAGCTTGTCCATGGGCTGCCAGCGACCGTGCTAAAGATAAAACTGTGTTAAAATAAAACCCTCTGCTTCCTCCTCCATTCAGAGACATGATTAAAAATATCCAAACACAGCTAGGCAAACGGAAGCATCTTTTTCATTTATCCCGTTTGCAGCTCACAACTACGGGAAGCGCACTGTCCAAACCGAACGAAACAAGGTCACAGAAAAAAAAAAAAAAAGCGAAATGCGCAGAATAGACGCAAAAATGCCTTTACTTGAGAGGGGCGCTTAACAGTTTACATTTCACTTAAATTATTTATTTTTTTTTTCAAACTTGTCCACAGACCTAGAATGTCGTAAACAAAAACACTTAAAACATGTACATAAAAAAGTAAATTACATCTTTTCACTGTCAAAATAAAAATAAAAATAAATTACTGAAAAGCCATTAATGAGACAGGACGTTTTTTTTTTTTTTTTTTGTTTTTTTTTTCCATTACTCAATTTCAAACGAACTGTTCATCCAGTTTCACCTGTTTGTCTCTCAGTTGTATAGTTGGGAGCTTATGTTAATGACAAAACAATGATGACAGATAAGTATATTATTTATTTATTTTTGTCAAAATAAATTCTTTAAAGGCACATAATGGAAATTATCCTAGGCTGATAGAATATCTCCATTTACAAGGCAGTATGCATTGAAACAAGGAAAATACATTTTAATTACAAGTTATTGTAAACAGCATGATAAAGCAACAGTTGGCACTAGAGAAACCAAGGCTTGATAACATCTAAATAGTATTACAAAATACCATAATGTAAGGCATAAAATTGAAGCCTTGCAAACACTGGACTTGCTTCTATGGAATGAGGTGGAGGGCACAATTTAAAGTGTGGAAAGAAAGTGGAGTTAAAAGGCTGACTTTTTTCAAATACTGAACAATGAAAAATGTATATCTGTATGGATTTACAGTACATACAACATTCAGTTATCCACAACCTCAAAACACAAAATGTAGGCACTTAAGAGATAATCTATTTAAGTAGCTGAATTTAAAACATATGCAGGTATGCAGCACAAAGAGAAACCACAAGACCAGATCGGTTAAAGTTTAAGAGGGACTAAGGTCACTCTAAATATAATAATAATAATAATAATAATAATAATAATAATAATCATCATCATCATCAAAATCATAGTTGTTGTTGTTGTTATTATTATTATTATTATTATTATTCAGTTTTAAGGCATCTTAAGGCATATAATGCACCTAAAGCCCCTGAAGATAAAGGACAACATGTTATCCATTAGATGTTTTTGATTATTTTTGATTTGATCAGTAAAACATTTTGTTGTAAAAATGGGTTTGCATTGAGATTATAATTTCAATTTTTGAATTAAAATCCTATAGAGTTACAGTCACATTTTTCTGCATTGGCTTTCATTCATTTCATTTCATTCACAAAGTATTTGACACCAATTGCACAAATAGATTTAACACTTTGTTCAAGAGATTTTCATTCCTACTGTAATCAGTATCCTTTTCCCTGAGCCCACACTTCTTCAAGGTCAGCTGATCAACAAGCTTTTCAAGCACATTAAAAGCTCACTCCCTTTATTTGTATATTACAACACAGGTTGGAGGTAGATATTAACCTGGAAGGTGGGTTTCTTTCTGTAGACATTTCAATCTGTCTTCCAAACAATGTTCAGGACTTTGACAACTTCTTCATAAATTATGAAGACTATGGCTACATCCATGCACACACGACCCAGACGAGGGACAGTACCTTTGTAGAACCTGCCAAAAAAAAAAAAAAAAAGGAAAAGAACACTGTAAATTCTCCAGTATAATTGTTAGTTCAGTAACTATTTATTTAGTTCGGGCATTCTTAGGCATCTCAGGGGTCCTTGGGAGCACCATGGTAACGCTGTTACTGGCACCATGGTAGCTGCTGTAGCTTCAGATCATTACCTTTAACGTATCTAAGTCTGTGTCTATGATAGAGCCCCCAACCATCTGGACAATAAGGACACACAGATTTCAGTTCAGCATTCAACACCATAATACCACAGCAACTCATCGGCAAACTTGACAAGATGGGTCTCAGCACATTTCTCTGCAACTGGCTGCTAGTCTTTCTCAGCCAGAGACCACAAGCAGTATATTTTGGCAACAATACATCCAGCCTATCACTCTGAGCACAGGGGGTCCCCAAGGCTGCATGCTCAGTCCTCTGCTCTTCACCTTGCTGACACATGACTGCACAACAACCTACAGCACCAACCACCTTGTCAAGTTAGTGGATGACACAACTCTGGTGGGTCTTATCACCAAGGGTGACGAGACGAGAAAGAGGTTAGACTTTCTGACCACATGGTGCAGAGACAACAACTTCCAGCTGAATGTCAGCAAGGCTAAGGAGATTGTTGTCGACTTCCAGAGAGGGCACACCCAACACCCACCACTAACCATTGATGGTGCTGAGAGAGTGAGCAGCACTAAATTCCTGAGGGTGCACATCAATGAGGACCTCTCCGGGACCACCAACACTGCATCACTGGTGAAGAAAGCCCAGCTGCGCCTCTACTTCCTGCGGAATCTCATGCAGGCAAGTGCCTCACCACCCATCATGACCACATTCTACAGAAGAACCATTAAGAGCGTCCTTTCTTGCTGCATCACTGTGTGGGGTGAAAGCTGCACTGACCATGACAGGAGAGCCCTGTAGTGCATAGTGAACACAGCCAGAAAGATCATTGGTGCACCACTCCCCACCCTGCAAGGCATACAGTACTGTGCAAAAGTTATAGGCAGGTGTGAAAAAATGCTGTAATTATTTTCATCAATCAACAAAATGCAGTGAATGACCAAAACAGAAATCTAAACCAAATCAGTATTTGGGTTGACCACTCTTTGCCTTCAAAAGAGCATCAATTCTTCTAGGTACACTTGCCTACAGTTTTTGAAGGAACTCGGCTGGTAGGTTGTTCCAATCTTCCAACATCTTGAAGAACTAACTGCAGATCTTCTGTGGATGTAGGCTTCCTCACATCCTTCTGTCTCTTCATGTTTGGTTTATTTATTTAATGAGACAGGGACAGTGCACAATATTCATTAACCTTAACAGGAGAGATGCATTGTACCAGGTTATAGCACCAATACTAATTTCCACCTGCAGTCCCTGGGCAGGTTGACATTATAGTTCATAATCATACAGTTCAAACATACAAAGAGAACATCTTTATAATTTTCAGAGCATCATAACAATTCTGTATCATTCACACCCAGCTCTCTCAGCCTCTTAAAAACGTCACCCTTATTAAAAGCATCATTCAGTTCATTCACTCACTCACACTCTCTTCACTCATCAGACACTCATCTGTCCACATTATGGGTGCAGGTTTGGTTTGAGAGGAGCCACTGTTTCACCAGGCATGAGAATGTGCCATAGTTTATACATGTGTTCAGCTCAGTTGGTAACATGTTCCACTGACGGACGGCTGCGCATGAAAAGGCTAAATTTCCAAATGCTGTCCTGCATTTGGGGATCCTACACTCGCCATGCACATCCCAGAAACACTCAATGATGTTGAAGTCAGGGCTCTTTGAGGCCATACCATCACTTCCAGAACTTCTTGTTCTTTTTTACGTTGAAGATAGTTCTTAAGGACTTTGACTGTATGTTTGAGGTCGTTGTCCTGCTGTAGAATAAATTTGGGACCAATCATACACCTCCTTGATGGTACTGCATGATGGATAAGTATCTGGCTGTATTTCTCAGCACTGAGAACACCATTAATCCTGACCAAATCTCTAACTCCATTTGCAGAAATGCAACCCCAAACATTCAAGGAACCTCCACCATGTTTCACTGTTTCTGGAGACACTCATCATTGTACTGTTCTCCAGCCCTTCAATGAACAAACTGCCTTTTGCTACAGCCAAACATTTCAAATTTTGACTCATCAGTCCAGAGCACCTACTGCCATCTTTCTGCAACCCAGTTCCTATGTTTTTGTGCATACTTGAGTCACTTGGCCTTGTTTCTGTGTCGAAAGTATGGCTTTTTAGCTGCAACTCCTCCATGAAGGTCACTTCTGGCCAGAATTCTCTGGACAGTAGATGGGTATACCTGGGTCCCACTGGTTTCTGCCAGTTCTGAGCTGATGGCACTGCTGGACAGCTTCCGATTCCAAAGGTAAATAAGCTTGATGTGTCTTTCATTTGCTGCACCAAGTTTCCATGGCCGACCACTGCGTCTACAATCCTCAAGGTTGCCCGTTTCTTTGAGCTTCTTCAAAAGAGCTTGAACAGCACATTTTGAAACCCCAGTCTGCTTTGAAGTCTTTGTCTATAAGAGACCTGGCTGATGCAATGTAAACTACATTGCGTCTTGTTGTTGTGTTCAGTCTTGCCATAGTGTATGACCTGTGACATGAGATGGTCTTCCACAACCTCACATTGGTAGCAGAGTTTGGCTGTTCCTCACCCAGTTTTACACCTCCTACACAGTTCTTTCTGTTTCCATTTATGACTGTGTTCCAAACCATGTGGCACTGACACTGATGATCATTAGCACCTGTTTGGTATAATTGGTTGATCATACACCTGACTATAATCTTACAAAATGTCTGACTTTTTCTGTACCCCTTGTGTGAATTGATGTTGGTTTGAAGGCAAAAGGTAGTAAGACCAAATATTGATTTGATTTAGGTTTTTCTTTTCTTTGCTCACTTTCCATTTTGTAAATTGATAAAAACAAACAATCATTATTTGTATTTTTGAAAACATTCTTTGTGTACAGCATTTTTTCACACCTACCTAAAGCTTTTGAACAGTACTCTATATACCTCACCCGCAATGCTATCACAATTATGAGTGATTCAAGTCACCCCGCACACAATCTGTTCAGCCTCCTGTCCTCTGGGAGGAGGTACAGGAGCCTCCGTTCCTGCACCACCAGACTCACTAACAGCTTCATCCACCAGGCTGTTAGGATGCTGAACTCTCCCCTCTCAAACCACCAGGCTGCCAGGAAGCTAGGAATCTGGGTATCCCCATAGAAGAACTTGGGACTTTTCTTTTTATTTTATTATTATTTAATTTAGAAGATTGAGAGCGAGAACATCATTTACATTTTTCATATGTTTTGAATTTGAATTTAACATGATTAATTTACATATTTTGGATGATTGTTGATGTAAACTGTTTAACTGTCATTCATACAATGAATATGTGTGTGTGTCATTTCAGTTAGTGATATGATTCAAATGTCCTCATAAATTACCAGATGATAGGATAGATTACCAGAAAGACAGATACAAAGATAACAATGTGTCCCAGTACATCGCACAGCTGCCTGTCTTTGTCAATGAATCCTTTTGTATGAAATTTTCAAGGTATTTAGGGCAACTGCATAATTATGGTGCCACACTGGCAATATGATTTGGGAGTGTAGCTGCTTTTGTGCAGAAATTGTACTATGAATTGAACACACAAATTATAATTTACATGTTATGTAATTGTTTACTTACGCTGCTGGACCTTCATACTTCATTATCTTAACAGCACAGTCCATTGTGCTTTTATATTTGTGTGCTTCAAGTCCCTACAGAAAAAAAAAACACATTACCTATAACAAGACGTTTCATAAACTGTATAATTTAAAAAAATGCTACCCACCTGCATTCTAGTTTTGATTACATCTAGAGGAGTGTTTCCAAAAACACTAGCAGCTCCAGCAACAGCACCAAAAAGTCCAGTAATCAGAGGGTTAATGGCTTTGTTGGAGTCATCACCTGTGTATTTGAAAACACGTAATTAGTAATCTTAGCATATTCTACATTCATTAAAGATAGTTATTCACAAACCTTTATACCAGTTTCTCAGTGACGTCATGACATAAAAACGGATAGCCTGGTTTGAACCCTGCTTTAGCACAGTGGCAGTTAGCCCTTGGTAGGTGCCCTTCAGTCCTTAAAAAGACCCACATAGATCCACATTAGAAATGTTAATGTTTTCATTCATTTGGCGCGAAAATCACATGATCAAAAAAGATATGACAGATACAAAAGTAGATGCAGGCACAGGAAAATACCCTAAAGGGCTTATATTAAAGCCTCTACCTGATAAATGTTGAGAACACAAATGTACATGCATCAATTAAAATTACATATAGGCCTGCCTACACAAAGTACAAATTTCCTTCAATTAAAAGTGATTCAAATAGATAAAAGGATTCAATAAAAAACATTTCTTTAAAAAGAAAGTTTCAAAGTTTTAAAAGTTTCATTATGCTGCATGTAGATAGATGTGAAAATGTATTACATTATTACAAGTAAAAATATAAATGTGAAAGTGACCATTACAATCATAACTGTGAAACATATACAAATCTAAAATATATATAAAAACAGATAAAAGATTAGCATTTTAAATTTCCTTTAATGTTATGTTATTTATTTAGTATTAGATACTACTCTTACCTTCAGTTCTGATAATCTCCCTAACTCCATGAAAAAACCCTCGGTACTTTGGGTTTGCTGAAGTCTGGTCATGTATAAATTTTACCTAACATAACAAGTACAACATATTAATTGATCAGTTAGGAATGAAAATTTTGTTAATGTTATTGGATGATGGTACTTAATTACCTTAACTGTCTCCATAGGACACACAACAAATACAGCCTCTGCAACTCCAGCACCAAGGCCACACATAAATCCCCGCTTGCTGTCTAGTTTCCCACTCTCATCACGCATCTTATTGCTAAGAAACTCAAATACCCCAAACCTAGTTCATTAAAAGAAACACAAATGGTTAATTCAAAGCATTTGGTAATTTCACATAAAATAAATGACAAAGCAGGTGAAAAAAAATTGTACCTAACTGCAGCCTTAGGTATAGATCCATACAGAAGAGAGCTTAGACCTCTGTAAAGACCTCGGACACCATGACTATTCACAGTTTGTTTTACACAATCAACTGTAAAAGAGACACATTTCAAAGCAAAAACAGTATTACCACAAGGTGATAAACTCCAAATAAAAAAGGCTTACTTGTGTGTTTTATATATGTTGGTTAAACTATGGAAATATTTATTTGCAGTAATTTAAATCCTTTATGATAAATACATTGCCCAGGCATTTTGCAATATGTCAAAAATAGACCTTTAACTAACCAATGCCTTTGTATTTTGGGGGATTGGCCTTTTCATCTAGCTGCAGCTGGGTTTTAACATACTCAGTAGGGAAGGTGATACAGATCTCTATTCCTCCGGCAATCCCACCTGAAAAAACACAAGCCCACACAAACTAGTGAGAGAGGGAAAATATTATTTTATAATATCAAAACACATTTAGGGTAGCCCTCAACTTTTTACACCCATCTTTTATGTAAAAAGGGTGTGAATTTACCCAAATTTTATACATTTGTATTAATAACTTTTAACCTTATTTCACATAAAGCATTTTGGGAAGCATTTTAAGATTTAAGGACCACATGTAGTGCTCTATCTTGCCCTCGACCAATTTGGTTTTAATAGTGTGTTTTACTTTGTTAGTGCAATTCTATATACTTGTACTGGAGCGTAAACTGTACACAGTGAAAGAACATGAACATAACAGAACCATTCCACCTTAAAAATACTGTCACTCATCTGCAGTTACACAGCAGACACAGAGCTTGCCGCTGATTGGCTCAGCTGAGTTCAGTATGATTCTGCCTACTGATACTCCCCTTGGCTTGGATCCAACTTAAGGGGGCGTGTTTCTTTGGGGCACAAACTGTTCACCACAAAACATTTTAAAGTGACACATCCATGCAGAATGAGGCTGACTCCGATGTCGCTATATAGTATTTGAAAAGTAAGCTTCAAGACATGCAATGTCTTTAAAATCCCATGCATGAAAGTCCAACAAACATTCACTGTCTGCACTGTGACATGCAGAACAGACCGTTCATGCAGGACAGGACTTACGGACAACAACTTGTAGAATATAAGATAACCGGCACTGGCAGTTTTGGTTAAGACAGGTGCAGTGACAGTGGTAGTTAGGAGTAGGACACACCCAGACAAGCACAACAAGCACAAATTAATCTGGATCTAGAACACAAGCTATAATTTTCCTTAGGTCAGCCCCATTCACGGGTTACCTGAGGTCCTGTAATTGTCTGAAAATCTGATTGTCTGAAATGAAGAATACAAAACCGGTACAAGATGAAAATGTCTGGCTGGGTTCACGAATAAGAAAATCCTATGAGTGAGTAGAGCACATAGTAAGGGGGAAACTCGAAATCCCTTTATTACCCAAGCACAACAGGGGCATTAGACTGAACAATGTAGCATTATCAATTAAGTAACATGTTACTTGATCCATTAATCTTGCCATAAGTTTGAGCATCTGTCAAACATTGACTTGTAAACAGAAGGTTTGGGGTTCATTTACGTCAACACTCTAGAGAATTATCTGAAGATGAGCCTGACAGACCTCTCTGTGAGGTTTGCCCTGGGGCACAGAGGATAGCCTATGTGACCTCTCACATTCTTGTAGCTTGATGAGATTAACAATGTCCTTACCCAATAAATGGCTGGTGTCAAAAATCATATCAATTTTATTGACAAAACAGTAGGATATTCCTTAATCATTAATTACACGTTTACAAGAATGTTGGTTCAAGTGTGCTGAACCTATGACTAAGTTATTAACAGTTATTTAACTTTCTCTGAAGTAAGAGCGGATTTACTAAATTACTTACCTGCCAGGATCGCTTTGCCAGGGTGGGTAAGTTTGGCTTTCCCAGCAGGAGCAGCAGCAGCAGCCAAGGACTGCGGTCTGTGAAACGGACTCACAAATTTAGGATGTCCAGACATGACTGGGATAGACACCGGGGTTTAACTTTGAATCACAACACGGACGATTGTCGTCAAAGATCCGCTGAGCCTGCAGACCGAGTGCAGCAGCAGCCTGCGTGCTTTGTGCGAGAGGAAGCTGCACAAATTCAAAGGCCAGTCCGCTGTGACCATTGGACTTAGTACTGAGCAAAAACTGATAATGAATGTGTACTTTTGACAAGTTGCCTCCTTGCACACTGCTTCACGGAGGAGGATGGCGTAAACTCGAATCAGGGGGCGCCCAGGGAGGGGCTATAGGGGCCTGATACAACATCGCTTCCCCTTGCGCGGAAAACGCCATGTTTGTCATAAAAAATAAAGGTGGAACGGGGTGAAGATATGTATTCCCTGTCAAATACAACAGCAACAATAACAACAACAAAACTATACAGCATTCAAACGTAAAAAATAATCAAACAATAGTTGCAGAATTTTCATTAAAATACAGGTCCAAGGTTCTGATGTTACTTTGTCGTTTCTTCACAGATGGGATAGAGCCAATATTTCAACACACATCGTGTACATACTACACATTATACCAATCAAAGAAAATATGTAAAAAGCTAAGATATACTTTCTTGATATCTTTCCTAATGCCGCGCATGCGCTCTGTGTCTCCTTCATTGTGCCCTATTGCTAAGCTATAGTTAGCCTCCAGTTTGTGCAGCAGCATCAGCACTTGGGACGGTTCAAGCTTTGCACACCCCCATAGAATTTGAATAGGTAAGACACAAATATGGCAAATGTAGTGGCAATATCTTCATGTATTGGACTAAAGTACTGTTTTTTGATTACTGTAAAACATTGGCCGAACTCTTAGCTAGCCTGGCGTGCGATTTAGCAAAAGGCAATTAATGTATTATGTAATGATACCTTGATATACACTTGCAATTTCATTCAAAGGCCGGCCTTTCTTAGCGTTATGCAGAAAAGAATGTGGCAAGGTTTAAAATATTATCAGTTTTGTCTAAAATGCAATAAAATGTATTAACAACTGAAGAAACATTGTAAATATAAGTGAGTGAGCAATGTTTAATGCTAACGGTAGCTAACCAGAGCTAAGTGTCACACCCCCTTACATTTTATTACTTTACTGATTTTAGGTCAAACAAAGCCGGTAAAACAGCATCTGTTTATGATTCTGAAGGAATATCAGAACATTAAATGCATTTGCATTATGTTTGTTTGTTTGTTGACTCGTGAGCAGTGGTGTGGCCTCTTAACATCCTTGACCCAGCCCACCCCCTGCACCCCTTTTGGACCATAACGGGTTATGGTATAATGGGTTTGTTTAAGTTTTCAGTGTTTGCATCATTTCCACGCAGTAGACCGTCAGAAACCACGAAACTCCTCCTGGTCATTGGTTAATAATATTAGTTGGTTTCCAGCTAGCTTTCAAAGAACAGTTTGTTCCATACAGCCAGTTCGATAGTTACTTATTCAACTATCGAGCTGATTTACAGCAAATAATACACTACGATAGTCACTACTGAATGTATTGTCTGCTATCGTTACAGAACAATGGCTGTCCCCCCTTCTTACACAGACCTGGGCAAGGCTGCCAAGGACATATTCAGCAAGGGCTATGGTGAGTGCTTCTATTGCTATTAGGCTACAATCAATTATTAACTGTATTACGACACCATAACCTTTCAGTACTGAATTATAATACATCTTCCTGGGAACTCAAACTTATTTCTATTGATCAGATATTGTTTTATTATACAGGATTTGGGCTTGTGAAGCTGGATCTTAAGACCAAATCACAAAGTGGAGTGGTATGGACATCAACCTTTATTTTCTCCCTAGTAGTTGTAACACACAATTAATGTTGCTTTGCAACTCTCCCCTTTGTCTCCAATTTCACCACAACAATTATATAAATAACTAAGATTGCTAACTTATGCACTTATGGTAAGATACATACTTTAGGTTTGTAGTAAGTATTGTACGCCCAGTTTGTATATAGCAGTTCTGTTTTGACCTACCTTTTCCCAGTATAACTCCTTTTTTTTCCTGTTGCACTTTTCTGGATGCTTGTGCTCTATTGTAGATGGTAAGATTGAAGTTTAAACCAAAAATATTTTAAATTGATTTTTTTGTCATCTGTCATGCCCCACTCCATTCAAGACTTATTAACTTATATTATATATATTATTTTTATATTATCTCTACTTTTCAATGTATTGTCACTTAAAGCATGTATGACTTTCTATGCTGTAGGTTTGGTAATTTTATTCTTCCATTGTTTTTGCAGCACTATTAGTTTTCATGTTACTTAATAAATGTTTCTTACTGATATGTTGCATGAAAACTATGTCTCATGCTCTTTTAACAATCATCCATTTCCCATTTTCCAATTTATTGTGGATAGACAATTTTTTTCCAGATGGAGTGTTAGTTTGATTCTATTTTTGACTTGTTGGTGCTGTACCCTTTAGGAGTTCAACACATCTGGCTCAAGTAACACAGACACAGGGAAGGCTGCAGGGAGCCTGGAGACCAAATATAAGATGAAAGAGCTGGGCCTCAGTGTCAACCAGAAGTGGAACACTGACAATACTCTGGCCACTGAAGTCACTGTTGAGGACCAGGTACATGAGAGCTCATTAAATGCAGGGATTTTAATGATAATTTAGTAAATGTATGTGTGTCTGCCTGCAGCTTGCTCAAGGACTGAAGGTGGCTTTGGATACATCTTTTGTACCAAATACTGGGTGAGTAAAATATATTGTAAACATGAATCACTAAATCAGTGACATTATAAACCATTTCCATATAACAATCCACACAACGTCAATCAAATTTTGTGCAGCAAAAAAAGTGGAAAGCTGAAGACAGGTTACAAGCGTGACTATGTGAACTTGGGTTGTGATGTGGACTTTGAAGGCCCCATCATCCATGCTGCTGCTGTGCTGGGTTATGAGGGCTGGCTTGCTGGCTACCAAATGGCTTTTGACACAGCCAAGTCTAAATTGGCCCAGAATAACTTTGCCTTGGGATTTAAGGCTGGGGACTTCCAGCTTCACACAAATGTGTAAGTAGACTGAGTTACAGCAAACACAGCATAATACTACATTTCATTATCTACTGTACACCAAACAGCTTATAGATAACGAAACCTTTCTCATAGTAATGATGGGACAGAGTTTGGTGGATCCATTTACCAGAAAGTGAACGATGAGCTGGAGACAGCAGTAACTCTGGCCTGGACCGCTGGCAGCAACAACACTCGCTTTGGTATTGCTGCCAAATACAAGCTGGACAAAGATGCATCACTGTCTGTAAGTACACTTTCCTATTTTAGACATATTTAGCGGTTCTATCTATCTCTCCATTTCTATTTAGATAAATCTATATCGATCTATCGAGATAGATCGATATATATCTCGATCTATCTATATCTGTTTATCTTTCTGTTAGATATAGAGATAGATGGATAGTATATTGTCTCAAATACTGAACCCTATTTCTACCTACAGGCCAAAGTAAACAATGCCAGTTTGATTGGAATAGGCTACACTCAGAGCCTTAGGCCTGGTAAGTTTAAAGCCATCTTCCAAAATGTGACAATGAATTAAACATACTTAAAAATGTCAACTCTTCTAATCAACTAAATTACAGGTGTTAAAGTAACTCTCTCTGCCCTGATTGATGGAAAGAACTTCAATGCTGGCGGACACAAAGTTGGCATGGGTTTTGAGCTTGAGGCATAAGACAACTTGAATTGTTCAACGAAGAAGTAAAAAATCACAGCTCACTTCTCCCCTGTCCAGTTTTCTGCAGCCTGTTGTTTCTGGATGCCCCTTGGCACTTTCCTGCACATACCATGAGCTGTGCCTAACCAGCTCAGACCATATTTGAAAGTAGTAAAAGTATATGCAGGAGTTATTTCTCATCTAAAAGCTGACAATACATATGTACTGTATTGTGACGGGACAATATTTATTTCTACATAGGTCTTAGAACAAGTAGTAATTTGTGTAGCTCATTAAAGAGTGTGTATTTAGTTGTTCCTCCCTACCCTAAAGCATGTGAGAATGAAAATATGAAGGCAAGTGTAAAGGATATTTGCTTGGTAAAAATGGTGCTGCGTGTCTGTTTTCTACTTTGTTGTAGCTTTTAGATCCATTTAAATGCTCTGTTACATCACGTCAGCACACAACAGTTTTCTATGGGTTGTTGAATATTTGAATTGCTTTGTTATTTATACATTGTGTCCATGGCTTTAAAAGAATATTAAAAGCTGTTTAGTAATTATATGTCCTGATATGGCTGGTGAAGTTTGTGTTATGGAACCTAATAGCTTACACAGTTGGGTCTTTTTTTTTTTTGACTGTTGTTTTCATCAGATTTATTCCTGTTAATTGTATGAAGACTTTAGTTTTAGTTTAGTGGCTCTGGTGCATTTTAACTTGACCAGCTGTCTCCATAAATGCTCCATAATTGTATAATTGCATATTTTGTTTAAAGTCAAAATACTTGATGGCATCATGTTATCACTCTCATTTGTTCAGTGTTACACTTTATTTTTCCAGAATATACATGGCAAATTCAATGTCATTTAGACACAGTACCTCATTTTTTCCAATGTCAACTAAGAAACTAATAAAATGTCTAGAAAATATCATGTTTGGCCTCAGTTTTATTTCCAAATGTATAACTATTTTAATTGAGCAATTTTATTTATATTTGGAAATGTACTCATTTAGAAATACTGGCACGTTCACAGTCTTAATATCACCTACAGACCACTCATATAGCTAGAACCATCTTTGTGATTATATTTTAGTTTGGTTAAATTGTGATTCAGAATTCTCGTGTTTGTTGTGTGCTCAAAAACACACTCTTCAAAAAAAAATAAAAAACTAACTCAAATAACGAAAATTCTTGAGAGGTGCATATATATACAAATATCTAATTATAATTTCTCTTAAAATTTCTGGAAAAAGTATTATTTTTTTGTAGATTTGTATATTTTGACAAAATTTTAGGCCATGGGGTAAAATGGGTGTGTGTTTTCATACTTGCACAAGTTTACATGAAAAAATAAAATATATGTAAACTTCCAGTTCAAGCAGGATCACTTATGGCACACCTGTCTTAATACTAAACAAATGCAAATAAAACATTCCAGTGTTTACCATACAATATCAATGTTTATGTCCAGTTAAGCTTATTTTTTGCTGTTTTTACACTTAATCATTCATTCATTCATCACTCTCTTAAAAAGGGCAGAAGTTTCAGGTTATAGGTTTTTGTAAATCAGGTTTCTTCTCCATGAAAACCAATCCCCTCACCTCTTTTAAAGGGAAATGTTTTAATTGTGCCATTCGAGTTTTGTAATTTTAAGTCCTTCTCATGTTTTATGTCTTCATTGGTGAAAGAATTCTAGGCATTTCCTTAGAGCATTCACATTTTATAGTAGGTTGACTTTTGCCACCACCTGCTTGCAGCCTGTCTGGGAGTATTCATGTCCCCCTACAACAGGATAATATTCTATCTCTCCTGCCAGCCGCTCTATGTTGGCATGGTCTGGATAGAAGCCTTCTCGAGTAATTTCCTCCAGAAAGCAGTCCATTACATGAACCTTTTCCAGAAGGCCCAGAGGTAAAATGTCTGCCTCTGCCCACAGGGGGTGCAGTATGTCCAGAGTGTTGCGTAGAATTGGGGTCAGCTCCTTAATCAGGTAGTCATGACCAGAGACTCTTACAGAGTCACTCGATGAGTTGTGAAGTAAATGCTTTGTAATTTGCTCATGGCCAAGGTTGCTCAGAAATAGGTAGATCACATTCAGATACTCATTCGATTGCTTTGTGGCCATAAGCTGCCACAGTGCATCCAATATCTCTTGATGCATGTACTCGACTTCATCAAAAATCAATAATGGGATCTTTTCCTCCTCCTCTGCTCGCTGCACCATCTGAGAGATCAGACCACACAGGTTCTGAGCACACTGGACTGCATCTGCCTCCTGGGGACAGTGGTGAAGGACGTAGTACTGAAGCACTAAAGCCTCCCCAACCACTGATCGAAAGTGTCCAGCCAGGAGGCGACCTAGGAGGCTTTTACCCACCCCACTGGGCCCATGCACAGACACAACCAGAGGCTTGTTGTGAACATAGGTGGACAGATAGTCCTGTAGGTGAGACATGAGACCCTCCACTGCCCCCTGCTGCCCAAACACCTCCCTACGCAATGTCTTTTCCAGGCCCTCCAGGTCATATTTGAGAACATGATCATCAAGATTTTCTATGGCATTGTACACCTGAAAATGACAAAAAAGTACAATTTAATAATTGATGTCAACAGAAACGGTTTAAAAAACAAATATATACCTGAAGAAAGACAATGGCGAGCAGTAGATACAGGCAGTGTTTGGCCCGGCTGCGCTCCTGTTTGGGTGGGACCCTGCGTCCTCCACTATTGGGAAACAGCACCCTTTTCTTTCGTCTCCGCTTTTTCTTCTGATGAATAGTGTTATCCAGTGAAGAGTAGGCAGAGGCGTTCAGGGCATCAAAGGTAAAGATTTTAGGGCTGGTCCTGACCGGGGCCCCTATTTGAGTCCCTGCTGCTGTAAGGCTCAGGGCAAGGTCTTGTCTGCGTTTCTTCATTGCCTGGTACTTCTGTTTGATGCGTATAACAGCACTCAGAGAGGATGAGAAGCTGGACAAACTGGGTACATGTCTGTCCCTGTGTCTGTCATCTCTGTCCACTTCTAATTCACTGTTTGTGTCTTCATCAAAGTCTCCAGTCTGGGAGGCTGATGCACTGCTGTCCTGGTCACTCATCTATAAACAGAACATTTTATTATATATATTTTAGCACTACAAATTACAGCCTCTTATAACTGTATAGTATATCAGCATTGCTTCACAACTTTAGAGTTTACACCTCTGTAAAAAGTTTGAGAAAACTCTAGAATGTGTAGTATCTGTGTAAAGAGAATGTCTGTGTGACGGTTGCTTCATGTGTGTGAAATAGTTTTAGACGCTTTCCTCTTGCTTTTAGGTGAAAATCAAACCACAAAATGTCAGAACTTTAACAAATTAACTACAAATGAGATGGATATTCTATATGACCCACAGAATCACAGAAACATAATGTAGGCATAGAAAAACAGTATGAAAACCAAACATTTCCATGACATTATAAAGGCACAAAGAGATTTTTATTCTACAGACACACCTTATGGGTGTACCTTTATAAATAATTCTCATTGTGTTAACAGTATAAAAAAAGAAATATTTCCAGCTATATTTTCAGACTAATCTGGCTTTTATAGTTCTTTGTGTGTGAACATGCATAAAAGGGGAAAAGTAGTAGCCTGTCTGCTTGTTACAATTTATAGGCTGAATGTCATATAAATAAAATAAAGGTGCACAACCAGATGCTACCTGCTTGTCTCCATGGGGGATGTTATTGCTTTGACTGGAATGTCTCACAGTAGACCTGAAATTAAACTTATCTGTCTTTATGAGGACAAACAGCAGTCAGATCTATGGGGAGATGGCCCTGCGTCCATTAAAGAATACATGTTTTTCTATTTATTTTTCAGCAATATGCACATCCAAGTAATACAAACATTAAAAAAGCCGGGCCCCTAATATCTTAGAAACAATACGGAAATAAAGTTTAGGTGAAAGGAAACATGTCATGTTTTTACTCGATAAAAGTGTCTTTCCTTCAACCTTCTAGCCTTCACCATACAAGAATTTAGAAACAAAACATTTGTTGGCAGCTGCGGTGTTCTCATAGACATGATAGCATTATGTTAAATCGTGATACTGCTGATTATTATTATTATTATTTTTTTTAATTAAAGTTCAGATTTTGAAGTTGTACGCTGCCGTAGTACAGTGCTGTTCAAAAGTACACCCACTTGAAACTGTAATGTGCATGTAAAGAAGGAAGCCAAAACGAAGCAAACAAAGGACGAAAAGGGAAATCGAATGCTTACCTTGGATGTGCTTTAGTCGCGGAAGAGAAGCGTAACTTTAATCCATTTCATTTTTTTTATGAACAGGAACAAAAAGACAATGTGCAGGTCTACAGCTGCAGGGCTAACTCGGGAAGAGCGCTCTTATCTGGTGATCTTAGCTCTAAAAATCCTTCACTCAACCATTCACCACACTAGCCCCTCCTCTCTCTTCCTCTTTTCTCATTTGCCTATTTTATTTCAGCAGCGTTACAATACACTGAGACTCAAAATGAAACATACTTTCGTGCAGTTGAACAATGATTCAGTTTCAGTTTTCAGACTTTAAACTTTGAAATACAATAGATTTTAATTTTTTAAAAGTACTGGCAAAATATGAACGTACATACTAATAGTACAGACTTATTACAAAGATATATATAGCCAATAGGTGTGGCAAAATTTTGCATAAAGAACATGGGGTTACAGCGTGAAAAAGTTGTCTTGCTGCATCTTGCACGTGATAAAGTAGTTTCGTATACAGTTTACTTTAAACAAGCTGCTGAATATAAACTGTTCATTTGGTGTGTAGGATGGAGTCAAAAAAATAAAGCATGACTTCAGCAGTGAATCAGTTATTCTGCTTGTATTATAGTTATTAGATTCACACAAAGGGCCAGATAAAACACAAATATCTTGTCTTAGAAATGTGAGTATAATTGTTTTTCTTGTCTTAAAACACCTTTCACAAACATATTTGACATCAGACTAAACAACGGTTTGCAAGAAAATAAAATCTTACGTGTATATGCGTGTTGTTTTGAGTGTATACTGTGCATGCAGAGGCCATAAGGGTAACGGTAACATCTAGTATTTTGAAAAGAGGAGGGTGTTACTGCAGTATTTTGTACAACACATGCAAAGTTGTGTAAAACTAAACCAATGAGTTTCAGAATTTTGAGTTTGAAGAATTATACAAGTATGCAACGTATAGACGCAACAAAATATCCTCATATTTGGGGGAAAAAATGTAATTTTAAAATATTTATGGCAACATAATTTTTAAATGAAAGCTATATAATCCAGTTTTTACAGCTTTTCTGTAATAAATGCTCACACAAAAAACATTTACAAATAGAACACTTAAGCAAATAAGAAAACTTTGATCATATAAATAATGTATTTATATATATTTGTATAAAGCTAAGTATAAATTACACTGCTGATGTGTTTGAAAACTAGAAGCGAATCCAACAATTTATCAATAGCAGCAGTAATCACCAAGAATTGTGAGGAGGCAGAATTTGAACAAATAGTGCACAGTCATTTGCATGTTTTCAGCTGTTGTCTAGCATGTTCCAGTCCTACTATTACTTCCTCTTCCGGCCTCGACCTCTCCTGCCTCTACAGGAGGGGCCTGCTCCATCTGGGCTTATAGCACTGTCTAAAGGACTGGCCCCGATGTTGATTTGTCCTTCTTGGATTTCACTACGTGCTTCAGGGGGAAGGTGCTCAATCTGTTGTTGAGTTTCCAAATAAAACATCACGTCTCTGAGCTGCTCCTGCAACTCAGCTATGGTTGCCTCTTTACACTCCACTGAAAAACATGACAGATCTATTATGACACACATTACTGGGGCATTGCTTATTGGATTTACTTATTGCAGTGTCAAGTACAATCTGATGTGTATACTGTCACCCACTACCCCTAAACAAAAATTAACAACTGAAGTTAAGAATGTAACAACCTTTGGTTTTATATGTAGATTTATTTTTACACAGAGGGGTTCTGTACACATCAAACTTTTATTATTGTGCATCAAGGAACTTTCCGGGAGGGGAGTCTAGTTGCTTATCTCCATATAGTACACACCCATATACCATAGGGATGATACAGAATATATCTTTGCTGTGAGCAGAGTCACTTCTCTGTTGAACTGTAATTTACCTGCTTGTCTAAGTGGGGATGCTTTAATGCCATATACGTTAAATCTTTTATTCCTTCAGCTATAAAAATTTTAAAAAAGGAAAGCAAATTTGCTGATGTATCCCCCAATGCAATGTATGGTGTATGTTGTATGTGGGTCAATCCATATGGTATCAGTTGCCCTCCTCTACGAGCCATCTCAGATATGGCTGAAAAAAATTCTAAGAATTTCTAAAATTACCAAAATTAAAGAATCTCACATTTTAGCTCAGTCTCTTCAGTCGTTCCTGAGTTATGACCCGTTGAAATTTTGGGGTTATGCTCACTTTTTCAGACACCTTAATTTATAAGCATGTTTGAGAGACCATAACTTCATAGAAACTAGAGCTAGGAAGCTGAAAATTTGTATTATTGTAGATTCTTGGTCATAGATTCTAGATTTTTTTTATTTATTTTTTTTGAGGTCCAAGATCTATTTACTCCAAGCAAATATGTATAAACTCACTGTTGAACCTGAATATTTGAGAGAATGACCATTTCTGACAACAATCTCACACTTTTCTGAGCTTTCATGTGGGTGGTGTAGAGCCCCAAATATGGTCACAGAACAAATGTGACCTTTTTGGCCCCTTCTTTGGACCCTTGGTTCCCCATGTGGGCACAGTTAGATGTTGTTAAAATTTTTACCAGAGAAACTCTGGCATATTCTGATTAGTTTAAACTAATAAAAACATCTACTATTAACTTTGTTCATTTGAAACGGAATTTTTGAAAATGAGCTCTCACAAGTCATTTTTGGTGGAGCTTAGATACTTTTCCACTTGCTAGAAAGGTTCAATTACCTTTAATAGAGTGAAACACTATTTGCTTGTTAAGGGAAGACAATTGGAGATTATTTGTGGCTACATTGTTTGTGACACAGTAAAAGGCTCGGCTGCAAGGAACACTCTTCAGGCAACTGACAGCAATCAAATATTGACCGCACTCCAGATGTTTGAGTGGGCTTCACAAAACAAAGAATGTAAAGTTTTTCTTTACAAGCTCTGAAGACTTTATAAACCATGAACTTACTTGGAAACTTGAAGAGTGCTACAGCAAGACAAACACTGTGAATGGTACTAGATCACACCAGTTTCGTTCCGGTGTCAAATGGTAAATTAGAAAAGAGGAGAATATCTCAAGATCATTTATGTACTGAAGTGTCATTATATGAAATACAAAATGAGATTGTGCCAAACATCTCTCTGTACCAGCCAGGTCAATACATTGCATGTATTTATGACAACAGGTGGTTCATTGGGAATGTTTCAGAGCGTTCAGATGAACATGGTGATGTCTATGTCTATGTCATCTGGCCTCCTGAACGTCGGCAGAACCATGCTGGGTCCCATTTCAGCACATAATCTATTGTATTAAGGTACCAGATGTTCAGAGAAGTAGAGCACAAAATTATAGCCTTGACACTGCAGATTATGACAGGATCCAAACATTACTTCTGAAGTTCATTAGTAGTTAGGAACACTTAGTATGTAACATACCAATACAGATGATCTGCATGTAGGTGGCAAAGGCACCAAAATGGGCAGATTTGTCCATTATGTTGGTATTTTCTGCTGAGATTGTTTTTCACACTGAATTTTTAAAATGTAATTTCTAGCAGTTGAACAAATAACAGACCAGATTATTGTATTTTGGTAACTTCTGTGTCAGCATCTAATTTTTTCTTGTTAATGTTACTGCCTTATTGTAATATTTTTGTGCAAAAATAATAGACATGGTTATATTGAAACCCATGGTTATGGAATCAGAGACTTTTTGATTTGACAGGCAATGAGTATTCCAATTGTAATTTGCCTTTAATCAGTTTCCATCGATACTATCTTACTTATACACCATGAAAAGCTGTTTCTTTGTGAGATAACAAATTATCTTCCTCAAATAAAAAAAAAGAATAAATAGTACAAACAAACCTTTTTTCATAATTATGTACAAAGTTAATAGCTGAATTTTCTCAAAGGATTAATGACACTTTTCCAAGCAATGTACCACAAATAATCCCCAACAGTCTTCCCTTATAACAAGAAAATAGTGTTTAAGCCTAATAAAGATAACTGAACCTTTCTAACAGGTGGAAAAGCACCTAAGCTCCACCAAAAATGACCTGTGAGAGCTCATTTTCAAAATTCCATTTGAAATGAAGGAAGTTAATAGCAGATGTTTTTATTACTTTAAACTAATCAGAATATGCCAAAGTTTCTCTGGTAAATTTTTTTTATCAACATCTAACTCTGCCCACATGGGGAACCAATGGTCCAAAGAAGGGGCCAAAAAGGTCACATTTGTTCTGTGACCATATTTGGGGCTCTACACCACCCACATGAAAACTCAGAAAAGTGTGAGATTGTTGTCAGAAATGGTCATTCTCTCAAATATTGAGGTTCAACAGTTAGTTTGTAAATATCTGCTTGGAGTAAATAGATCTTGGACCTCAAAAATGGAAAAAAAAAAAAAAAAAAAAAAAAAAAAAAAAAAAAGGCGGCAACCAAATGTGAGATTTTAGGGGTCCACAGCACCCCCCTTTAATACTCTATATTTGACAACAGATTTAGCATCTAGCATCTACCAAGAATCTACAATAATCAAAATTGTCAGCTTCCTAGCTCCATTTCTTATGAAGCTATGATCTCTCAAACATGCTTATATATTAAAGCTTCCGAAAAAGTGAGCATGGCCCCAAAATTTCAACGGGCCACTACTCAGAAACGACTGAAAGGATTGAGCTAAAATTTGAGATTCTTTCAGTTGGTGATTTTAGAAAGTTTTACAATTTTTTCAGCCAAATCTGATGTGGCTCATAGCGGAGATTCCTTGAAAACGGCTGATTTCATATGGACTGACCCATGTACATGATTTTATTTATGGTTTGTGCTTGACCAGAGATCTGCAAACTGAATTGCTCTTTAGGATTCATAATAAAAGGTATTGTTTTTGCTTTGCCTGAAACAATCATCAATCATCTCAATGGACTCAAGCAGTTAAAGGACCCTCCAACAGGAAACCCTCTACCCTTTTTCTAAAGATGCTCAATTTTTGAAAAAAACAATGTCTGGCTTCGATTTTTTATATGAAGGTCCATGTCTTATAAAAACATACAACATTTGTATCACCTAAAATAGACATCACAGGCATGGAGTTCTTTTTTTGGAAAACACATATCTGAGATTAAATCAGTATGCATATTACATTTGGATTCTTGCACATGTTTACTCACCACTCTCTTTGGCTTTTCGCTCTTCTTCAACTAGTTGTGACTGTAGCTGAGTCTGATTGGCTCTCAAGCAGCGGTTCATCTCCTGTTCCTCCTTCAGCTCTTGGCTTAGTTTTACCACTTTGCTATTAAGCTGGGTGCACCTGGACAGACAGGAGTGTGCAGCACATAAAGTTCAAACTAGAGGTACATACATAATACACTGTATAAATTGCTGATATTTTCCAAACATTGTTCTGAATTAATTTTAGGGTTCAATCTTTGAGGATAAAAGTTTACAACCTTTTGCCTTTGGAGAAGACAAAATTATCAAGTTGAACTGAGAAGCTGCATAAGAAAACTATATTTAAACCTACTTTTTCTCCATGGCCTGTTTCTCTTTAGAGAGCTCTCCTAACCGTCGCTCCAAGTTATCACAGCGCTCCAAGGTCTCCTTAAATTTGGACTTCATGTTGTTTATCTACAAAATTGTAAGTTTGTAAAATTACAAAGTTTCTTGAAGAATTACAAATACCTATCACATACATAAGTGTACTGTGGATTATAGTTGCCAGTACCTCCTCTGCAGTCTCTTTTTCCAGATGAGTAATTTTATTCTCCCAGTAAATTCTTTGTGACTCCAGCTGACTAGTCAGAAGGTATGAATACTGCAAATAATAAGTCATTGTTAGACATGCACACTGCTGCAAGTAAGGATGGGTTTATAAGCTTGTGTAGCTAGGATTACTTCAAGTTGAAGTGCATCAATTTTCTCATCATGACAGGTATCTCCTTCACATTCATACTGTACCATCTTGCCATCAGTCTTACTGGCCACTAGGCGGTGCACATAGTTATCTGCGTAAGAACAAACACTGAAGATATCAACTAGCAGACATGATTTTCAATGAACAGACCTACACTTAGCTTTAACTGAGGTTATTCAATACACTTAATTCATGTAAAAACTGAAATACTATGAATCAGTGTTATCACTTAACTTCACATTTTTCATGTACTTCCACACCAAATGCTGACAGTACCTCCAGCATAGTCCCATACTCTGTGGTTGGTGAGCTGCATAGCATATGTATGCTGTGTTTCTTCAAAGTGTTTGTAAGCGTGACGACTAACGTAACGGCCACAACCAATATGGCCACAGATCAAACAAATCCATAGGTTCTACAACAAAGAAACAAGTGAAGAGAAAAGTACAGACAACAGAACATTTTAAATGAATAGGTAGTTACCTCTTGTACTCCACACTCAAAGCACTTGTTCTCTTCCACTGGCTCTGGTGTTTGGCAATACCTGCATACTGGACACCTAAGAGAAAACAATAGGCATCTATTGTCCAGATTTGCAATAAGAACAGACCAGAAACAAGCAGCATTTTTACAACAGCAGCAAATGACAAGCTGCTAAACACTAATGGCTACTTGAAAAGCAATGTGCCATTTCTCATTCATCTACTTACGAAACATCTTCCCAGCGCTGAAGACACTGACTATGAAAGCTGTGGTTACACAGTGTTGTGAGGACACCATTCACAGACTCGTCCATTCTCTCCAGGCACACTGTGCACTTAGGCAGCTCAGTCAATTCCATCACTGGCAGGCTGGCCCCCTGGATTACAGAAAAATTAAGGAAGCAAATTGTATACATGCATGTTGTCAATGTTAAAAAATACAACTACTTACATTCTCAGATTTAAAAACCTCTGCTCTCTCCACATAGACCAGCTGACACACCGCATCTTCTATGGAGTTGAACTGTCGACCATTACAAGCAGTGTAAAAACTGTCAGCATCAGCCTGTTTAACATAAAAGTTAGTTTTTTCTCAGCTTTCCAGTTTTAATCAATCAGTTCATTAAGAAACTTTTGCACAAATACACAATTTAGTAGAATCACAGGGACACAGTGAAAATATGGCTGCTGAATTATGGAAAAAAAAATTAAGTCAGATGGTAATTGATAGCAGGATTATTTGTACCTTGTCTAGTATGAATATAGTGTGCGCATATTCTGTCTATCCCAGGACAGCTGTGGCTACAGAAGGGAATTAATTAACAACTACAGAGTAGCTCTTAGAGTGGCTTTGTGGAGTTGGTAAGGCATTATTAGCAAAAAATGGTACTGATAAAATGATAATAATTGGATGTTTGGTATTTCTTTTCAAAAACAGTTACCCTTTGATTTTCTTCCAAAAATGAAATGTTCAAGAAAGAAAAACAGCCTTACCCATCAGCACATACCATCAGTCATCTTCCTAGTTAAGACTATAGTAGGTATATTACAAAACCTACCTGTGAACAAAACTTAATCAAAACCATGTATTGGTTTGGTGTAGAATCTCGAATAATCTTCATGTGCTCCATGACATCATTAAAAGGAGCTAAAAGCTTCATAAGATCATGGCTGGTCATAGTTGCAGGCACAGTAAGGATGCACACCATGGCACTACGTCTGACATTTTCAGTCAGAGATGTCATCTTGCTGCAAGAAGAAAATGTTGTGTTAAACTTTTAATGTACAAAAGATAATTTGATTGTGTGACTCACTTTGTTTTGTAAAGATGCATAATGCCATGAACAATCTCAACAGAGGGGTTTCCACTGAAGAAGGAAATCTGATCTGGTAGCTGTTTGGAGGGTGAGTCTGGTGCCATGGTTGGAGTGACAGTGTCCACTTCTGATTTTACAGCTGCACTTTCACTGCTGTCATCGGCTGAGCAACCACACTCTTCTCCCCCGCCTTTATCTAGAGCAACACAGAGAAAGCCACCAATTTAATTAAAAAACATACAAATGACTTTACAAATCAAAATCTACTTTATTTCTATGGCACATTCTATAAAAAAAACTGTTTCCAAAGTGCTGCACATATACAGATACCTTTTGTTGTTTTTAATGATATTAAAAAACAACAGCTGGTATAAATGCTCAATTTAACCTTGCCAGACCGAAAACACTAAAACCAGTTAAGTCAAATTAAAGTAAACCCATAAAATAGTGATAAATAAAATCAAGAAATTTAAATAAAAATACAATAAAAAATTAATAAAACACACAAAAGACCACACAACTCACAAAGTGTTAAAAGCCAAAGAATAAAAACATGTCTTAAGACAAGACTTTAAACACTCCACTGTAGGAGCTGTTCAGGCCACAGAAATCCCCCCTGTCCCTTGTGGTTTGTCCCCCACCCCCCATCTCCCGTGTGGTGGTTTTGCTTGTTGTCCAACAAAGGCTTGTTCAAATGATTAAAAAAGGGCTATGGATAAAATCACAAATGATGAAAGTACTTGTTTGTCAGATTTATAATCACTGTCAATTGTAACAACAAGGTTGGTGATGTCTGTTTTACATGCTGTTAAAGTGAATCGAGGTCAGTGTGAGAGTTTGTATTGCCAAACACAATAACAGTTTTGCCCTCATTCAGACTAAAAAAAGTTGTGGGTCAACCAAGCCTTGACACAACTAAGATAGTGAAAGAGAGGTGTTTTTGACAAAAATGGTATTGAATATGTTGCTTTTTAAAAGATTTCACTCATACAAGCTTAACTACCAATTAATTAAGTTTCAGTCTGGTGAGTCCTTACCTGGGCTCGGTTCAAAGGTTTCTATGACCATGTCACCCATGGCTCTGCTGCCTATATGCTGGTGTAATATAGCCGTTCGTTCTAGATCCGTCTTTCCACTAAGCGCCAGTTTGGCTATGCCCAAAGCTTTTTCCTCTTGTTCTTCTTCTGACATGCTCCCGGCTGCTGTCACAAGATAATAGCATCTCACCGCACAACATCTTTGTAATTCACATACAAACCAGTATTGCTTCTTTGAACACTTACCGGCAGAGTATTGGAAGCCCCGTGGAAAATGAGACTGTTCGGCTACTTCCAGTCTAATAACAACCAGGGATACACTCATGTGTAATAACAGAACCGAGCGACTAACACTAGCAAACAACAAATCAACAAACACCAAGCTAACAACAGCTAGCTCTTAAATACTTTTACACACTACCCAACAGAAATATACACGGTTTAGTTCATTACAACTATTTTCTCTGACCGCAGCAATTATCCGTTTTAGTGTTAATTGATCTCTAGACATAAAGTCAATGTTTTCAAAAAAGTGTGTGCTACCCATGGAAGGTGCTAATGCTAACTTCTTCTACTTCTTCTTCGTCGTTTTGTCTTATTGCAGGCGGCAACTAATGTTTAGGTGCGTTTCCGCCACCTACTGTGCTAAAGTTTGGGCATATTCAACTACTATTATCTAAGTGGACAATGTTTTTATTTTTATTTTTTTTACAAGATCCGTTTCCCTTAAAAAATTTAAATAAGAACTTAAAATTATTTTGTTAACCATTTGTATATGTATACCTATCTTTGGAAGATGCTATCCAAGATATTAACTTAGGTAACCTTTAAACATAGAACAATAATATTCTTATTATAGATCCATTCTTTTATACCGTAACTTTACACCGTAATGTCTTCTTCGCAGAAAACGTCTACATTACACTGGCCTCTAAGGGTATCGGACACTATCACACGAGACCCTTTGCAGCTGGCAGCAGAATAGAGCTTAATGAGAAACAATTAACAAATGCATTTATGTGATTATTTAATAAGCGATTATTATATAGGCTATACTTGGCATTTTTAATTAGGGCAAATCTTGATTTTTTTAAGATTTACTGGACAATAGGTGTTACTCCATTTTTCACCTGAAATTATATTACATCTTCACTTCAAATTTCAGTTCCAAGGATACTTGCTTTATTAATTTCAGAAGCAAGAAAATAAACAGAACCAGTAGAACCAGATTTTTGTTAATATTACTTAAAATTGTACACAGACCTAATATAAATCTATAACTACTGCATCTGATATCATTTATTAAGCAGTAGAAATAATGATAGCCCATTGACGGGTTTCAGATGGCAAATGGAAATTTCTGTAATACAGTAAGTTCTTAGGTCTAGTCAATAGTGAACATTTTCCGGTTTCACATTTGTGGATTTACCTTTGGGATATTCCATTACAAAGTGAAATGTAATGAACAGGAAAAACTTCCACCTGTGAGTATGACGTCACAATCTGAACACATTTTCGGGCTTAGCATTTTAAAGGGACAGTAAGTTGTCCCAAAGAAAGTTTTATTAAAATTCTTTATTTATATGGATGATTGTATTTTTACACAATGCAAACGAGGGGAAAAGGTCACCATTTAGCACATTTTACATTACACTCAATTTTTCAATAAAAATATTTGCACAACAAAAATAGTAAAAACACAATCCCCACTGTGCCAGTAGTCATCCATCAGTGCTTCTTGTTTATATCAAAACAACAGAACATTACTGCTTGCATTTCCAAGTAAACAAAATTGGACATTATCTGAAACAGAAGCTGATGACTTTAGTCCACTACTTTGGTTAAAACTTTGCAGAGTTTGTCTTTGCACAAGAATAAAAGTATTAAAAAATGTATAAACTAATTATCCAACTGGAAATCAAACCTAGGCTTCTGTGAACATTATCTTCTGCAGCTTTATTTACAATCAGGTCCGATACATAACAAAGAGTTTACCAAGCAGGTATTTTACTCTTAATGAAGAATTGCCTGTATACCCTTTGAGATCTGTGTGTAATCAATGGTGTCAACTGATTTTGAGCGCCGCAATAACTTGTGTTCTCTACATATGGCTATTCAAACAATGTCAAAATGTGACTTCTAGAAGTGGTTGTACATATTACAATAGTCACAGATTTCATGGTTGCAGCTTAGAAAATAATCATAAATTGAGTGAAAAAGTTGCACATTCATTTAACCATACATAATATGATACAGATCAGTCCATTGATCACAAAATCCTAATGAGTGGTCTTACTGTTTTTTTTCAAAGCACATCAACTTAACTCTCTTAATAGAGCAAGATAATATGCATGGCATGTGTATTTTAGTTAAGTTTTTGATTTCAAATATTGAGTGACTAAAGAATGCACAAAAAATTAGGGAAGTAGACTAGAAGGAATAGCAAAATTTCAATTCTTTTGACACGCATACGGCATTGAGGTCTGTAAGGACAAAAGAAGTGCAGCAGCAAAGCTGTAAGCCAAATTTAAATAGAATGTCCTCATGTGAACCACACATTTTATTGGAGTGACACAAAAAATTAGAGGGACATGAAACATAACATGAGTGTATACTGCTGAATTGTGCAAGGGTACAATAATATGATTAATTTGCCTAAAATTTACATCCTAGGGTCACATCAATATTTCTCTACTAATAAAGTCTGTAATGGTAATTACAATTGTTTTAACATGTTGGTTGTATTTTCCCAGTTCATCATTGTGTAGAAGTGAAAAATGTTTTGGCTTGTGAATTCTCAGACCCCGGAGGAAAAAGCAGAATAGGAAATGGATCAGCATAGACTTTAGTTTGACCAACACAGCATATGGCCTGACAGCAGATGATGTTGTAGGGTTTTCAAATAGTTAGGACAGTCAGTGATTCATGATGAATTTCAGACCTTAAGATTCTTTACAGTTTCTGCCCTCTTTTTGAGTAAATCCCCCACTTCTTGTAGTGAACGAAGGTAACTACTTTGTACTTTGTCCATAGCAGACTTTGTAAACGATTCTTCCTCCTAAAAGAGCAAAAACAATAAAAAAAAACCAACATGCCATTTGTATTATATCCTACAAGAAACAAACACTGTATACAGTATAAAGTGTCATGTGCACTAGTATAAACAGTAATCTAATACAGCCTTCATCCTGTTTGCTCACCTGTGAGTATCCCTCTAAGTTCAAACTGGCAAGTTTAAAGGATGTGATGTTTAATTCTTGTCCTCTAACATGCTCTGTAGCCTGGGTAAGCAAATCCAGCAAGCTCCCTGTTAACTCCTGGAATCCGCAAACAACTGCTGGCTACAACATGCCCAAAAATCAATTACAATATTATACATCATCTTAATACATTATGCAAAAATTTATAAGTGATGGTTAAAAGAAAACTGCACCAGAGCAGTGCCGACATCCTTTTTCTTCTTTTTCTTTTTCTGTAGACTTGTCTTTAGTGGTCGAAGAATCTTGGCACAGTAGCTTGCCACCCATAGCACAACACTCATGGTCTAAAGAGTAACCAGAATATGACATTTGCACCACAAAAAAATTAATACCATTAAAGAGGCCTTACCTCTACAAAGAAAACTAGATTTTCTAATAGAGGTGGTCTAGTTTTTAATACGCTCATTTTAATTTCCAATAAATCCCCCTTACATTTATTTAGCATTTCTGTGGACAAAAAAGGTGAAAAAGTCTTCTAAGTCCTGACATTGAGACATACTGTAAAAAGAACCACATCTTATCAAAATTTAAGCCTACCCATAAAGATGGCATTTACCTTGAAGTTGAACTGTTAAAGACTGGAAACCATTACAAATCTGTGCTTGAAGCTCTGTGGATTCATCTACATCAAGAAAGAGTTCAAAAAAATAAATGTTTTCCCTGCAGCTTTGGTACAATGTAGTGTATGTTTTACTTACCAAGGCCAGCAGACTCTAGCTGCTGTAAACTAACAGCGAGCTGGAGAGCAGCTGACTGGCACTGACAGCTTCCACTAGACAGAGCTGCAGTCAGTCGAGTAGAGGGTGGTCCCAACAGCGGAAACTGCAAAAAGAAAACAATTCTTTATTTAGCATATCATAGCTAAGACTAAGTGGTTTGGTTTGGACAACTTGCTTGTATGTTTTTTTCAGCCAACTGAATTGCTGATTGTAGTGTCTGGTTGAGTCGAGACAGCAGGGCACTCATTGTTGAGGTTTTATCCCCAATACCATTTTCACTGGTCAGTGCAGAGTTTTTTGAGGACTGTGCGTGTCCAAGGGTTGCTAAGGAGCCTATAAGGCGAAGAGTTAATGAGCGTATCTTCAGCCAAACAGACTCTTCCTCTAGCGACTGGTGCCGGTTCTCCCCACTTAACTGTCTGTTGAATAAAAATACAATTAAAAAATAAAGAGTGGTTGATTCAATGTTGGTGACAAGACGCTTGCTCCTCCAACTTGCTTTTCCTGTGCTTTACAAAGATGTATAGTCTGAAATCGTCTCCTCTCCTCAAGCAATGTTTAGGGGCTTCTACACTTGAGACACCAGGCCAAGATAAAGGAGAGGTAAGAAATTAGTAGGGCTGGGCACTTGGCACGAGTCAAAAAAAAAAAAAAAAAAAAAAGAATATTTATTTCCCCCATCTTGGATAATAATTTACCAGGACAGGTCATAACAGACCATGTGATTAATTTGTAAATAATTTGTTTCGCTGTTGCTGTAGAGGAGAAAAGGAAGATGTTTTTGTTGGTCAAAAAGGAGGTCTGGTTACATTGACCACATGCCCAAAGCACAAGTGACCTATTCTTCATATCAGGGCAGAGAGACAAACTAAATCACAACCTAGTTAAAAAAGGAAAGACATACTGATCCTTAGGGTCCCAACAGGTAAATACTGTAAGGTCTCGGTTGTCCCTTAAACTGTTCCATGGGATATCGTCTTCTTCTGCAGTCAAAGACATGGCCTTCACACTCTCCTCCAGGCTTAACACACTTGCACAAAAAACACAAACCATTAGGAAAAAAAACACTTTGCACTAACTTCATCTGTAGAGTAATATCTTACATGTCAGCCTCCAAGATAAGATCCAGCAACATCCTCTCTGTACGGATTTGAGCAAAGTGCAGTGATTGGTTTAACCTGTTCCTGAGGGCAATGAACTCTGGGATCTTCTCAAAAGCGCCATACTTATAAGCCTGGATAATATATTCTGAGGTCTGAAAAGTGAGGAAAAAAAACAACATTCAGATCTGTAGAACAAGTTGACTAGGTTGTGCCATTTAATGTCTGGATTAGATGAAACAATACTTGTGAGTGAGAACAGCATGTGTTGCAATCTAAAATGTGCAAAGGTTTTGAGCCTTCATGAGGTATGTATATTCAGTGGCTAAAAGAGCATTTGATGTTTTACCAGTTTATTTCTAAAAGGTGCTACTGACATAATTTCACAAGACAATGCTTAAAAAGTCCACCCATAGACTAGGGCTGTCCTCAAAGTATTGATATAGCAAGATATCATGAAGAAATTTTATGAAATGTGTGCATTGATTTTATCAAAATTATACACTTTCTACTTTTTAAAGTAGAATGAATTACTTACATCTTTCTGGTTAGAGTGGAAAAACCTGAGGGAGAAGTTACAAGCCTGGGAAGCAGCAGCAAACTGACCCAAAGACTCAGCATAGCGTGTCAAAAGATACCTGAAAAACAGATTTTAGCGACCAAAGACATTCCAGCAGACTGTTCAAACAGAGAATACTCCAAAGTGAACAGCGTAGTTGTGTTACCCTATTGTGTCATGCTGTACGTGTTTGGCATCCAGGCTGGAGTATAGGTCTACAACAGGTTCAAAAGCGCCCAAGCGGCAGTAAAGAAGCAGTAGCAGTAACTTGAACTGTGCATTAGAGGAACTGTGAGAGAGGCCCTCATGAAGAAGCCCCAAACAGTGCCACATCATGTTTTCATCTCCTAAAAAAGGATTAGAGGATTAAGGATGGTGTACCCACATTCTAGTACCGTTTAAAACGCTCATACCAGTCTCAATCCATAGATCTATGTAGACATGAGCTGCCATGAGACAATACATATCAGAAAACTGCAGTTCTGTTTTCAGAGCATTGTTCCCTGTTTGAATGTAGATTTATGCATTATTAAAATAAACAGCTCTGTGTATTTTTAAGGAAACAGTTTTTGAGACAAACAGCTTACCAAATATTAGTCCATGGTGATAACGAGCTTTTAGCTCCAAGGTGAGCTTCAGTTTACTATCCACATCTAGAGAGTGATGCAGGCCGAGTGCACGACTTAACTGACAAAGGCACAGATGCCTCTGAAGAGCTTTGGTATCCTCCGGAAATGCGTACCCTTCTGCAGGTTCCCCTAATGGAACAGCTTCACTCAAGCAATTAATAAACTTAAAGAAAAAAAAAAGTTAAGTTAAGTACAAAGGAGGAATGAAGATTTCATTTTAGCAGTACTAATTTAAAATGGAAAGAAAAAAAACAGTATGTTTCACCTGAACATGTTGCTCAGGGGCTAAGAGATGTAGATATATTTTCAAATCTGTGATGCAACAAGGTTTGTCCCCAAACTTTGCAAAAAACTGCACCATCAATTCTAACGGATCACCTATTGAAAGCAAAAATTACATATTAAGAAACTATCAAATATATTTACTATAGGGAGATACTGACTAAAAGTTGTACCAATTAAACTTTCATCCGAGGAGCCGCGTTCTCTTAGTCTGTGAAGTAGCTCTAGACGAGCCAAATAGGGGCCTCTCAAGGCACGGGACTCTTTTCCATCCTCACCTTCAATTCTCTCCTCCACAAACCTCGCTACTTCAGTCACAGTGTGATGAACCGGACCCTCAGAGCAGCTGTCAGGAGCGAACATCGTACGTAATTCGAGTCTCATGCAATAACAAATAAGGACTGAAAAGCAAGCTATCCTTAAAAAACGTAAAACGTAAGTACATACTGTTCCCCTTCCTCAGGTGGACACCACGACTGGTCCAATATGTGGAAAAGAGAAGTGAAGTAAAAGCCATAATATTGCCATTCATCGGGGCTAGCAGGAGAACACATATGTGAAAACCCTTAACTACTGTCATACATGAACATATTTAAATGCACGTGTATTCACTTACTTTTTGAGTAACAGCTTATGTGCTAGGGCATTGCACTCAGGCCAATGTTGCAGTCGCTGGTAGAGCATCATACACTTATTCTCTCGGCTCTGAAATTCACTGGTCAGTTTTTCTAAAAAAAAAAATAAAATAAAATAAATAAATAAATTAAAAATAAATTAAAAAACAACTGATATTTTCATATAAAATTAAGTTGACAGCGGTGCGTAAGATAAGCCAACAAACCACAACTAATTTTATGGGAGGAATATCCATTTGGTTCAGTGCTCATGAGTAATGTTATATTATTTATGTAATCCATTTATATATTTATATCATATATTTACCATTAATTAGCAGCCAGTGAAGGCAGTATTAACCAGAACATGCCTTTGTATATGGTTCAGTGGCTGTATATTTTCTGATAAAATTGCATACCTCCAAGTGGTCCTTTAATAACTTTAAGGGCCTCCTCAAACTTTCCCAAACGCTCCAGAATCATAAAATACAACTGGACCTTCAAAAGAACAGTGTTAATTTTTTCAATAAATATAAAATATAAATAAAATTACCTCTGCTTCAGCTTCAATCTTCTCTTCTTTGACCATTTTCTCCACCATGCGTTCAGCAAGAGGCAAGAACATGGTAAGCGCCAACTTTTCATCCTCAGCTGATATGGCCTAAAGAAAAAAATATTACTTGGGGACAAATTTGTATTACACTATAAATAGCGTTAAAGAATAGATAATGGGAAATCTTACCTGCATAACCAAACTCATGACGGACCAAAAGTAATAAGGATTTTTAGGGACAATTTTATATAGGGCCATTCCTGCCTGTGAAAGAAGCAAAATGCATAAAAAACACAATCAATGCACTTTAATAGTCAAATGGCAGATGTTAGCTTGTCTTACCTGTTGCATCTTTTTGTACTCTCCAACTCGTGCATAAGCCATGAAGAGGTGAGAATGATACTCCTCACTGAGAGGAACCTTTTTTACTGCAGCTTCATACAACTTGGTAACCAACTCAGCTATGCACAAAAAACATTAATGTTTAACCTAAATGTGTTGTAAAATAGCAATATCAGGAAGAAAACTGTAAATGTACATACGTCTATGCATCTCCCTGTACAAGATAGTCAGCGCCTGAAGTGAGTTATCATCAGTGGGCTCAAGTGTGGCTACTTCTTGGGCTAGAGTGAAAGCTTCATCTTGCTTTCCAGTTCTTTGCAGTCCAATAGCTTTGAGGACCTACAATAAAATGGCATTGGTCTGAAAAATTATAGCATGGACCCACCTATTTAGAAAGAAAGCTATATTAAAAAAAACATACTGTCTGCAGTAACGTTGTATAAATCATAAACTTACAACCAAATCTTTTAATAACAGAAATCTGTACAGATAGCTCCAAAGGTTTAGCCTGTATCAGTTAACAGAGTGAAAAATCCAGCATAGTGTGTATATATCACCAGAACATAGTTGCAAAGTTAGAAACTGAAAGTTAAATGCCTTTTAAACTCAAATTCAGATTATTTTTTGATGACTTTGCCTTGATTGGACTGGGAGTCTTCATGGAAAAAATACTTGACAATAATATTCATAATGTACCCACCTTTGCACAATGTAGTTCTTTGTGCTTCTTAAGCAATTTGTCCGCTTGTTGAATTGCCATTTTATTATTGCCATTGTCAAGATAATCTGAAAAAAAATGAAAATAAACAGTAAAAACTGAAACAACTAAAGTTATGTGTTGGCTACGTAAAAAAAATTAAAATAATAATAATCACCAGAATCCCATTCGAAATCCTCATTCACTTCCGAATGCAAAAAATGTAAAGCTGTACATTGACTTAGGGACCCCATTGTTATTCTAAATATTGCACTGACAGCTGCATGCTATCAAATTAGCGAGCTAATAGCTAGCTAGCTCAAAGCATTGTCTGAGAATAAATAGAACCTAGATGGAGTGGCAGTCAAATCCCCAGCAAAGATCTAAAGTAGGTGTTATATTAAAAAGGTCGGCCAAAATCTTAACACAGTCGGTTAAACGTGGAATATGTTATTTTACACTACTGATTAGTGTCAATGGAGCTAGCAGGCATTGATCGGTTCAGCAAGCTAGCTGTCAAATAGCAAACGAAAAGTCACAATGACGAAAATTATGAGACTTTCGAATATATACGCCTGTTTACACAGATCACAGAGACCTGTCTATAAATACACACGTTTCGTAGGAGTATCTTACTGTTGCCTCCAATCTCTTGTCAAAGGCACACGGTTGAGGTGCACTGTCATTGGACACTTAAGCCAGCGCAGTCCGAGGTTGGAGACTGAGAGCGGCCGCGCGCGCTACTCTCCTCCAGTTCCAATGCATTATTTTTATTGCATACCAATGGCTACTCTGTGATTGCTGATATCCTTTTAATAATCCCCAGACTGTTAGACTTACCGTAAATGGGTCTGGTCTGAGCCGTCTGTCGTTTGGGTCTTGCACATGGCCTCTCGCCGCCATGGTAGAGTTAAGTTAACCTGCCGCTGATGGTTTACGCATGCGCAAACCCACCAGCTCGAGGAACGCACGTGCAGTGTCGACCTCTAACGGCCTGAGTAACGTGCGTGCGTACGGACACTTTTAGTTCGTTGTTGGAACATAGATTTTAAAAAGCAGATGACTATGTAAACAAGTTTTACTCAATAAAAAAAAGCAATAACGGTATTCCTTTTAAAATGGTACACTGACATTTAATTTCCCACTGTCGATGGAAGTACTAGCTAGCCTAGCCGACACAATTTGGTTACATGGCCTGCCAATCAATCAACCACGAACATCCATAGAATATCTGTTTGTGCTTTCACCTCTAATCATTATTTGATATACACTAAACAAGCACAATCACATTGTTGCTCATTGTATTATCATTGACATAAATAGATTATCATTATTATTGTATTTAATTAGTTCATCAAATAAAATAAGTTCTGCCAAACACGGAAATCTTCATGGTCATTTGGGCTGAAGAAGTTTCTCCATCAACAGTAGTTTAAATTATGTTATGATGCAATGTATTCCTGATTTGCCAAACAACTCCAAATAAACTTCATATTGTGGAAAAGTAATGTATGGAATTTATTAACATTAAATACCAGTGACATAATGGGTTCATGTCATGCTAGTACATGTGTAAAACATGTATGTCTCTGCAGTTCAATTATGACATTGGTCTCCATCAAAAAGCTGTACATTCATAAGCATGGATGAGGTACAGTAAACCATGGCATAAAAACAATGAACAATATGCATACTCATTCTATATAATGTAATTAATAGCATACTGTGCATTGCATTTACCTATAACACTACAGTAATGAGAAAGTGTTCACAAGTAACTATGACTATGTAATTCAAGTAAGTGGTATTTACACCTAACCTTTGGGCCTAGTAAAAAGTACACTTATTAAATCTGCCTAATGTAAACCGTACAGGTTACATGAAAAAAAAAAAAAAGACATCTGTTTCATACCTGATTATAAACAAATGTCTAACACCACACTCACACTAATCTGTGCCATGATTATAAAAATCATTGCATTCCTTAAGGGTTTGAATGAAGCTAATACCAAAACAAAAAATTGAATTTTGCCTGAAAGCAGTGAAGCAAAATATACAGATTACTTTCAAATCACTGTAAGAATACAGTATAACTCACTTTACAAAGTTATTTATACCTTAACTAAGTTTAGATGGATAACATTTTCTAAAAGTTAAGGTATTGAAATGCTATTTTAATTAGTATACAGGGTGAAAACCAAAATACTACAACACAAACATCCATAACTGCTAAATCATTGCACATCTGCCTTATCTGTAGCCAATAGCCCTGTTAGTTCAGAGAAGATTTTAAAGCCAGATGAATGGACACAACAATGCACACACTCTCAGCCTCAATTGTTGTAGTAAAATACAAAAGCTTTTGTGAAGGCTGCAAGGGCTTCAAATAAAGCCCTGTGAAAAAGGACATGCAGCATCAGAATGAGGCAAAGTCTACTGGCTGATCATGAGTGTGAGAACAGGGAAGTTCACAGAATGACAATACTTAGAATAAAAAGTTGAGTTTCATCCCAACCAAAATAAAGACACACTTTAACACAACTTAACAGATTCCTCAAAGGCCACTTGACCTTCTCTTCAACCGACAAATGAATCAGTGTCATTGAAGAGTCATGCAATGACTGTTAATGAGGAGTCGTTATCTACATGCGCTTGTGAAAAAGTTACACGCATGTGACCGTGTGGGAAAGTGTGTGTGGAGTAAGTATGAGCTAAAAGTCCTATGCATGAAAACTTGTATTAAAGATTACTGAGACAGAACTCTTTCTTTAAATTAAAAGAAAGAATTGTACAATATGCATTTTACCTTAAAATGGACAGAGAAAACATGATGACAACATGGATGATGACATTTATCCTGGTTTAAAAACACATTTAGTGGAAAGATAAGGTTTAAAACTATATTTTACAGGGAGGGTGTGAATAGAATAATTTCTAAACTTCATATAATACTACCTTTATGGGGACTTGTGTAGAGCTAAAAATAACATCCTGACTGTTAAATTAAAGGCGTGACTTTCTAAGTCTGACACAAATAAAGATCAACAAAGCCCATTGTAATAATAATATTAACAATAATAATAATAATAATGAACTAACAATACATATTTCAGGCAATTTGCGTTCAGTGCAAAGAACTTTTTTCTTATTTATAAACATGTATATTTGTCTAAGAGTGGGAGGCATGTGATTGTGGTAGTATCTGTACAGTACTCATAACCAATGTGTCAAACACCCTAATGAATCAAAGGAGACAAGAAGAGTGTTGTGAAGCCCTTCTGCATCAGCGTGGACGTGTCTCTGAGAACATCATGCCGGGTTTTCGTTGTTTTGCCTCATTGCTCATGAGCAGCACTGGTGCCTCGAATCGGACCTGTTTTACGCAGCTATAAGAAAGACCAAACAAAAATCATGGTTTGGAATGAACGGAATCTTATATTTTTGTGCATTACAGACTAAATGATTCCATGCAAATGAAATAACAAATTGAACAGCATTGAAAAGCACTTTCCAGGTAAAGGAGAGCAGTCAATATTGTTAATGTGTTATTGTGAAAGAGGGTTAATTGACAAGGGCAACAAAAAAGTAAAATGATTTGAACATAAAGATGGCAGCTGTGATGCAGAGGTGAGATTGCTGAGCAAATGAAAGAGAAAGGTCCATGCAGTGCCACTAGTTATACTTTATAGACTTACTCAGCCTGCTTCTAGAGTTTGAACTACTGGACCTTTAATCATCTGTTGCAGAGGTGCCTCTCACTTCTCCTTTTTGACGCATCTAATGAAATTTGGGAGCAAGTAATAATATTCTGTAAATGTGCTCATTGGCCAGATGTTACATTACATCAATTACAATCCATTACAGAGGAAAACATACTGTAAAAATGTCCAAATCATTGGTTAAATGTACAGCAATAGCAACTGGTACCTCTTCAAGTTCTTTCTGAGTCTCCTCTTCCATTCGCCGGATGTCCTCCATAGTCAAACCCACCCATTTGTCAATCCAGCAGAATAGTTGACGATGGAAGTTGGTGAAAATACGCTTTTCTTGCTGGAAAATTTAAAGAAAACTATCCTTATTTTCCAGTTGCACATATATGATATAAAGGATGCAATTAATGTTACCCTATGAATGAAGTTTTCCACCTTCGTTTGCAGACCCCACCATCTAAATTTGACAGTGACTAGTTTGTATGCACACATGTGAGGACAATCTTCCTTTAACTCATTCTGGGAAAAAAAAAAAAAAAAGATTTTTATATATTTATATATATATATATATATATATATATACATACACACACACACACACAAAAATATAAAAACTTTTTTTTTTTACCTTCCATTCTGGTCCAAGGGGTCCTCTGCCTGTCTTGGCAGAGTGGAAAATAGTAGGATCTTCCTCTTGTTTATAATCCTAAAAAAAGAAAAACTCAAGTGTAACCTGATCATCAATCAGAGCACACCTAATTTGTTATGGAAATCTTATTGTCCCAAAAGAACAAGCAGCACTAACAAAATAACAATTTTAAGAGCTCTTTTAAACCAGATGACCATATTTTAGGCACCGCTCACAAATGCCTAAAAATCAACCAACACACCCCCACCCTCAATACAAGACACCAAGAGCGCAAATCAGATTTGTTGGAAACAGTAGTACCTATCTGGAGCAGATGGACATTAAGATTAGGCAGAGTTCAACACTGATCCACTTAAGTCATTATTAACAGAATGAGACACAAAGACTCATGGTAGTGGTACAAGAGTGAAAACATGTTATTGGTAAGAATAATTTGATGTTTTAATTAATGCATAAACATACAAATCCAGGCAAATACTTTCTAATAAATAATTTAACAATTTTTAATGCCCATCTTCTTTGAACTGCTTTCTAGTTATGTAACAATAGGATTGAAATATTATTTAAATATTAATAGAAATTTGACACATTCATTCAATTTAATACTGCTCTAATCATTGTATTCACTTGTCCCTCTACTTCAAATAATTAATTGAAATTCAATTCTAATTCAAATCTAAAACTTACCGCTGTGGCTACTTCTTCATTATTTGCAATATCAATTGGGACCACCTCTACAGTCCCCCATGTCTGTTCATCTAAATTGTGAACCTGCAACAAATACATCAGAAAACAATAACAACAACTTAGACCTGTTAACTTAAATGAGTGAAAGTGGCCTATGAATGTTGTGGTTAAATACTTGCATTTTCTAAAGTTCCCATGTCTGGCTTGTGCCATGTTTCAATCTTTATCATGAAGTCATCTTTCATGTACTCATTCTAAAAAAAAAAAAAAAAAAAAAAAAAAGGTAAATTTAAATCCTACCAATTGATGAAAAAAGGTATTTATTTAAGGATAGACAACTACAGACATCATCAATATAAAGACACTCACCGTAACAACTAGAGAGAGAAAAAAAAAAAAACACACACAAAATTAGGTCACAAAAAGGCACATTTTTTCTTTGTTCACATATGATAAATTCAGCACATAAACAAAAAAATAAGCCTTACTGGTGCGACAGTATGGATAGGCATTCCACGCTTTTTCGTGAAAAACTAATGCACCTTCTGGTGCAATCATCTTTACATAAGCTGGTACTTTACTGAAAAGAAAGAAAATTATACATTAACTTTATTAGAACAGAAATATATTTTGTTTGTCAGTTACTTTCTAAAAGTGTGCTTTTATGACAAGTTAGTTCATTACACACAATCATATTAAGTTGTTTACATGTATAAAAATTATACAAAAAAGTAACATAAAATTGTGTAAGCTTTCAGTGTAAACACACCTTTTTAAATGATAAATTTTATGTGTATACTGTCCCTTTTCTCCATCCTCTTCATAGGGTTCATTCTTGAGCACCTCAATGCCTTCTCCTCCTCCAGTTTCATTTTTGCTGGCCTCGGCTACAGAATATAGCTGTCCCACTTGATACTTGCAAGAATAAAAAATAAACATGACTCCACATATATTTCAAAGAAAAAATAAAACTGATCTCACATAAGGGAAATGTTCCTATTTTTCAACATCAGTTCACTTTCTTAACTGATGTTATTCTCGAAATACATTTATCACAAATCTTGATCAATTGCTATAAAATAGAGCATTTAAATTAAAACACTAGTACTGTATCATATGACTCATATGTTATCTATGACATGTACTTCACAACATAATAGTCATTATGAAGTCCTAATACCCACCTCTTCCACAGAGACTGGTAACAGCACACGGCTACGAGTCAGTCGAGGTGCAACAGAAACAAAGAAACACAATCACAATATTAACGATTAAAGATCTGTGCGACGCTGGTTCTCATGTATTCGTATCTTAAATCTGACAAAATGCAAGGGAGAGCAGAACTATTTTACAGAGATGGACAAAATAGATTATTGTTTCACATATAAAATGGATGCAAATAGGGGTGGAACTGGGAAGTATATAGAAACATTGATAATATGGATGTATGCAATTTATAATATCAAGTACTACAGTCTAATATGTAAAGAAATTAATAAAATCAAATTTGCCATGTTATTTCTGCACTACTTAATTTTGAAGTTCATTTTGAGCATAATTCAACATGCCTTTAATTAGTTTTAGTTTAAAAAAAAAAAAACAAAAAACAAAAATTTCTTATGAAATTATACTGTCTGAATATTTTCATTGGGGTGATCAAAACATGTATCCAGATATTCTCTTGTCATCCATATGTCAAGTAAGTATGTCATTTTCTCAAAAATACAAGTGCCATAATTTCCTCCATAAACAACAAAATATACTGTTTTATTCGGTATTTAAAAAAAAAAAAAAGGCTAATCTAGTGGTTTAGATTTGTACAAACATGCGCTGAAATGTGATTGCAGTATTAGTTTGTTAGTTCATATTTCAGTCTTATTTCCAATTCTGCTAGACGCGTTGAAATGTTAACTTTGAACAGAAACCAGTTATTAAACCGTACATCCAATCTTAACAGCAATTATTGTCAGGAAAATGACAATTACATATTTTTGCCGAATCTTTCAGCCCTGCTTAGAGAGTAATGAAGTTTAAATAAAGTATCCCACTTTACTCTGCACGATTGACTCGTGAAGCTACGAGTAACCTACACAAATCTCACAAAAAGCCCACATTTCAAAACGCTGATGTAACTTACAGTGCAAGTGTTATTATAGGATTAGCAATGAATTTACAATCATATTTGAAAATATGCCCTTTTAATGCATGAACTGTGGACAGAGCTCTCGTTGGCAGAAAACTAGCAACTAGCCGGCTGCTACAGCTAGCGTTAATGTTAAATCCGTGGGAGAAGAAACCTTAATCTGTCACTCAGGGGACTAAAGCTTACGCGACTTTGGAGATACAACAAGCGGCCCACTGGGTAGGGTCGTGCATGTTTACGCAAGGCTAATCGATAAAGGCGCAATTTATACACATAACGCATATTAGTGAGTAATACATTTTATAAGTTTCAGTTTCATTAAGAAGCTAATTAATGTTAGCTAGAGCTAGCATCGCATTAAAAGACCGGTGTATGGTGTGTTCCGTTAACCACGTCCTGATCCGCCCAAGTTAAATCGGGCTTTTGTGGTCAGCAGGAAAAGGGGGGGCACGTGAAACACACCAAAACAGGCTAACAGCTATAATATCATTTTGAGTTAACATTTGCTTGAACATAAGATTGACTAAAGGGGACTAAAAGAGAATTAAAAAAGACACTTCAGACTCACTATTCCTTGATGAGCACCATCTTCGTCACCCCGCCTGCGGCTGCGCACTAGCGTCAACCAGCCCCTGCCAGAGGAGCTGCGCCACGGCTGGACCACGGGTAGAAGGCAGGCAGGCAGGCGAGATTAGAGCTCAGTGCACAGCCTGACCACTTGTAATAGTCCAGTTTGTTGTGAACGAATAATCGAATGTTTAAACTTCAAACATAGGAAGTTTTACTTGACTTTGGTTGCCTAGGATCCTGAGTAAGTTAGTCACATTATAAAATTAAATATGAGTCAAAGACTTTCTTGGTTCATTATTTATTAATAAAATCTGATTATTAGAAAACACCATATAAAATACACTCATACCTATAGACATTTATGAATAGTTAGCAAATAAAATGTGAATATCAAGTTATTTTAATGAGTAGCCTAAATTTAAATAGGCATAAATGTCTCAAAATGTACACAGAATAACTCTTAACATAAGAAACCTGTCCATTCTTTTCAGTAGGTATTGCTAAACAGCCAATGTTTGGTAATTAAAAGTAAAGAGTAAAAAGATTTTAAAAAGGGGAAAAGATTAGTCTAATCTGGAACTCAGCATTTGGAAGAAGGAAAGAAATTTCCAGGTGAAAAAAACTTGTATCCAAAACCATGTCTGTCTTTAGAGTTTGTTGACAAATTTGATGCAGAGGGAGAGTTTGCCTCTTGCCTTTGGTGACCATTATGTCTGCTGTGATTTTCCAGCTCACCAGGCCTTTCTGTACGTTTACTAGACTGGTGCTGAGGAGAGAGATTAAGTAAACCTAAAACATCTTTTTGAACCATACTCATTTTCTTATTTCCACCTTGGAGTAAACTAGCGGGACAGGGTACGTCATGTTTCTGAGCAGCATGGGCCCAAAAGTTTCTCAAGTTGTGAAATGTTTTATTATCCTGAGTGGACTGTTTTTGGTCAGAGGTCTTGCAAGGACTGGAAGAAGTAATAATGGAGCCACTGGGGGAATAGGAAAGAGTTGGGGATGGGGAAGAGTCTGCAGGAGAGCTGCAGATGTTACTGCTGGATTGAGAGAGTGCTGAGGAGGCACTTTCACAAAAGGAGTTTGGGTATTGTAGCTGAGCCAGTGTATGCACATTTGAGGAAGGACTAGACTTTTTTAGGCGAGAAACAGACGAGGAAGGAGATGAATTATCAGAATTGACTTTCTGCAATGATGAGGAGCGGGGCAGTAGTTTTGGTCGGGGTGGAGGTGTTGATACAGCAGCAAACTGACGGGACAGATGACCGGGCGGAGAGAGAGGGGATGAGGTTTTTGTACTAGCTCTGCTTGGAGGTCTGCTAAATGCACTTGTCTCAGAGGGTTGAAACTGTTTCTTAGAGTTCAATACTGGAGTTGCAGGGGTTGACAAAGGAAGTGGCTTGTTTTCCTGTGACCCCTTTATGCTCCTACAATTGGCTGACTGCAGAATCTCTACAGCCTGCATATGGCTCTGTGTCTCCTCTAAGATTTTCTTGGCTAGTTCCTGGGGGTCCAGTGCCCCCGTGGGTCCTGTCCTCTCCTCTTGGGACTTCACAGTGCTGTCTGTTTCAGTACTGGACTGGTCTGACTCAGAACTGCTTGCTTTCCCATTTCCATTCTTCACTGGAGAGAAGCTGGCCAAAACACAACAAAATTATAATGTTAAACAGATATGTAAATTGGATTTTTACTACCTATTAATATGATATAATATGACTGAAAATTATTTAACACAAGATTTACATGAATATATTAGCACAGAAAACTATAGTTATGGGACAGCAGAATGCCATAGTCATTAGCATCAATAAAATGGTTTGATTAATTATATAGTATATAGAGTATTAATTATATAGTATATATAGTATATTCCAATCCTGGGATGGAGAATGCATGTTCCTCTATAGCATAATTACATTTAAAAAATCTATATTTAGCATTGACATAGCTGGAGATAAAACACCCAATCACCTTTTTGTTTATCTGTAATTGTTCCTGTTAGCATTACACTTACTTGCTCTGTCTGAACTTTGGGCTTGTTGTAACTTTTAGTGCTGTTGCTTTAATAGGAGAAGTGGGTGTGCTAACACTTCCCTTTGATGAAACTGTGATGGGATATCCATGTCCAGAAGCTGCTCCTCTACCAGCTGAGCCTCGGGCATGTTTGTGTCCAGCAGGTAATGGCAGTGTATCACAATCTGTTCCACTGTGTCCTAAAGGCTCACTGCTTATAATGGAGTATCCCTGGTACTCTTCATCTTCTCCTTCTCCCAACATCGCTCCACTATGATTGGTCTGTCGCCCCCTGGCCAGAGCACCTGCATGTCGAGGTGAAGAGTAGAGGCCAGCTCCTTTGTTCTGGTCTGGAGGGTTTGAGCGCTGACTGATGATGTCACTTCCTGCAGGCTCTGGACGGGACAGAAAACTGAGGGAGGAGGCGAGTGAACTGAGACTGTAAACAGAGATGGCATCACAGGAGAGACTGTCTGGACACACAGGGCTTAAGAAAGAAGACTGTGCTGAGTAAGAGCCATATGATGCAGGAAGAGAGTGTGGCTGAGATGTGGACTGTGACGATGACAGGGATTCTAAAGAAGAGGAACTGTCCATGCTTAGTCGCTTAGGAAGTTCTGTTGAGTCTAAAAAAAAAAAAAAATCACTTAAATGTCTATAAAGAAATAAAAGATGTATAATTACAATGCGATTCTTACCAAATAGTGCCAGAAGTGACTGCAGGGCAAAATGCATACAGCGCCTACTAGCCTGCTTTCCAGTCTTTAAAACTACTTGTTCCTGACCCACCTCACAAAGATCAAACCCTAAAATAAGAAATGTGCTTTAGTCACCCATTACATATTCTGTATACATGGATTTATATAACACATATTAAAGACTAGAAATTAGTGTTAAATGTATTTATTTACCTAGAGCGGCTAGAAACTCATGGCAACCAGGGAGCCTCCAGAGCTGCACACTTATTGAGACTTGAATAGGGGCTAGAGAAAAGTCTTGGTCTTTGTCAGGTGACTGCAGCTGAACCAGTACTTGGTGTAACTAAACAAAATTGAGAATAATTAAATTTTGAAAACACATGAACCTTACATGTGCTTTAAAAATAACTTTGTATAATACAATTCCAAGGTGCATCTCCCTTTCAGACCACACGCTCATATATACATTTTGGTGAAGCTTGAAATGTTCTTTTTGATTTTATTGTTTCTCTTTTCATACACGGTTTAACTAATTTCTTCATTTAAGGTTGTTTCAACACCAGTCTGACCTCAATAAACATTTAGAGCATACATCAACAGCACATATTAAAGTGCCAGTGCAAAGCAACATATAGAAATGAAATAATATGCTTTGATAATATTCATAATATACCTTACAAACAAGTTGTTCTCCAGCTTCTCTCACTGTTACCAGTTTGCACAGCGCCTGAAGAGCAGTAGGCGGAAGACCTAGACATGCACAAACAGACTAGTTTTATTTTACAGAAAATATAATGAGACATATATAATGACAGACAGTACTGTGCAAAAGTTTTAGACAGGTGTGAAAAAATGCTGTACACAAAGAATGCTTTCAAAAATATAAGTAATGATTGTTTTTATCAGTTTACAAAATATAAAAGTGAGCGAACAAAAGAAAAATCTAAATCAAATCAATATTTGGTCTTAATTCCTTTTGCCTTCAAACCAACATCATTTCATACAAAGGGGTACAAAGTCAGGGATTTTGTAGGATTATAGTCAGGTGTATGATCAACTAGTTATACCAAACAGGTGCTAATGATCATCAATGTCACACGTAGGTTAGAACACAGTGATTAACTTAAACAGAAAGAGCTGTGTAGGAGGTGTAAAACTGGGTGAGGAAAAGCCAAACTCTGCTACCAAGGTGAGGTTGTGGAAGACCATCTCATGTCTCATGTCATACATCATGGCATGAATGAGCACAGCAACAAGACACAATGGAGTTATACTGCATCAGCAAGGTCTTTCCCAGACAAAGATTTCAAAGCAGACTGGGGTTTCAAGATGTGCTGTTCAAGCTTTTTTGAAGAAGCTCAAAGAAACAGGCAACGTTGAGGATCGTAGACGCAGTGGTCGGCCAAGGAAACTTAGTGCAGCAGATGAAAGACACATGAAGTTTATTAACCTTTGGAATCGGAAGCTGTCCAGCAGTGCCATCAGCTCAGAACTGGCAGAAACCAGTGGGACTCAGCTACACCCATCTACTGTCCAGAGAGGTCTGGCCAGAAGTGGCCTTGGGTTGCAGAAAAATGGCAGCAGGTGCTCCTGACTGATGAGTCAAAATTTTAAATATCTGGCTGTAGCAGAAGGCAGTTTGTTCATCAAAGGGCTGGAGAGTGGTACATTGATGAATATCTGCAGAAAACAGTGAAGCATGGTGTAGATTCCTAGAACATTTGTAGCTGCATTTCTGCAAATGGAGTTGGAGATTTGGTCAGGATTAATAGTGTTGAAAAAAAATCCCATGTTCATATTTAGTTTGCTGTAGTGGTGTCTTTATTGGTTGGAAGTTCCATGTTGTAAGCAGGCGGATGGTTGAGCTTCTGACACACATGGTGTCTGTGGAGCAAGTTGACCACGAGCAAAGGTATAGCAAGCATTTTATACACAAAGAGATGGGTAAAGTATGCAGATTAATATTCAAAGGAATTTCACAGCAATGACAAAGCACCCTCATAAACCCCTCTTGGTAAAACGGTGGTCATAGTTTCAAAGGGTTAGCATATCAGGTACAGCTGAGATAACGAAGGATATCAGCAGGGAGCAACAGGTGAAAACCCCAGGGGCCTTTGATGGTATCATGGGTAAAGTTTTTAAGTGTAAAACACATATGTATTCATTAACCAGAATGAAAACTAACTCCAGAGTATAATTACTTTTCTTCAATAATGATGTTCTCAATGCTGAGAAATACAGGCAGATATGTATCCATCATGCAATACCATCAGGGAGGTGTATGACTGACCCAAGATTTATTCTGCGCAGGACGACCCCAAACATACAGCCAAAGTCATTAAGAACTATCTTCAGTGTAAAGAACAAGAAGCTCTGGAAGTGATGGTATGACCCCCACAGCCCCTGACCTGAATACCATCGAGTGTGTCTGGGATTACATGAAGAGACAGAAGGATGTGAGGAAGCCTACATCCATAGAAGATCTGCGATTAGTTCTTCAAAATGTTTGGAACAACCTACCAGCCAAGTTCCTTCAAAAACTGTATACCTAGAAGAATTGATGCTCTTTTGAAGGCAAAGGGTGGTCACAACAAATATTGATTTGATTTAGATTTACACTTAATTAACACTTCCATATTTCCATTTTTGATGAATGCATTCCTAGTTTACAACATTTTTCACACCTGCCTATAACCTCTGCACAATAGAAAATATAAATATAAATATAAATATAAATATAAATATAAATATAAATATAAATATAAATATAAATATAAATGACCATAGTTTTGTGTGGTTCAGAGGGATGTAGTCAAGGCGGGGGGTAATTGTTGTCAAGGTGACTGCCCTAACTATAAAACACTGCGGGAAACAGACAAGTTCCCTCATGAATATTAAAGAGCCGTACACAGGTAGTAACATTCCACATGTTAACACACACAAATTGCACGAATTCACTCTTGCACAGCCCTGCACCGAACCGACTCATACAGAAACGGTTCAGCATGAATACGTGTACCGTTACCCCCTTAATATATATGTAACTCTTTGTACCAAGTAGAGACTGAAGAGTATTGCTACACTGTTGGAGGCGGTCCCCAGGGTCTGAAGTTGGGAAGAAAACAGCTGCAGGGAGACCAGCTCCTCCAGAGAAATCCAATCGGAAACCCACAGCAGATAATAATGCCTGCCACCCAGGCACTCCTCCCACCTAACATGGACACAGAGATATGAATAAGTACAAAATGTAGACAATATCAACATATGGTACAGTCATACATTTAGTATTACCTTATTTTCAACACTCTGTTGTGAGGTGTACATGGGATTACACTGTCCACTATGAATACGCTGCAAAGATTTCTCAACCTGATAAAAAAGAAATGAAACAATATTTACTACAATACACGATTTAGTTTTAATACTTTTATGATCAACTAATGATGTGTTTTACCAAGTGCAACATTACTCTAAGGGCATCTCTGGCTTTTTCTGGATATTGGAGGATTTCTGTCAGTGACTGACCAACCAAAGACATGGTACTGTTAATCTTGACATCACTACCAATCAGAACATACCCTAAAACAGAGAGTGGATTTAGTAAAATGTGACAACCAAATGTACACTGTGTTTGAAGGGGCTCACCTGCCCAGTTGGATGGATGCGAGAAGTGTTTGCTGCTCTGCAGAGCCTTCATAGCTTCTGTCAAGGCAGCACTGGCTTTGGTCCCATTCATAAGTGTGGCATAAAATCTGTGCATAAAAAGTTTGGAGGCAGCTGTTGGCACAGGCCATAGAGAGACACACACACACTGCACCCCAGCAGCCAGGAATGCTCGGGTTAGTCCCACTACACCATCAGCTGTGACCTTGCCACTAGACTCTGGAAACAACCTGATAACAGACCACATGATTATGCAATGAAAATATATAAAATAATTAAGAAATAAAACAAATATTTGTACATAAATAAATACATATGACAATACCTTAAAACTACCAATTTTACATTTAGACAGAGGCCCAATATGTCTGCAGCAGTGAGGAGAAAGTCCTGAAGAGGTGGGCTATAACATGCACTCTCAACTTCACAAATACTTGCTCCATCATCACTAATTACATCAGCTTTCCTCTTGAGACACTCTGGGCTGCTCTGACTCTGTGTGACACTTCCATTCTGCCTAGAAGATGTTGAGGCCCCATTAAATGATACACTTGTGGTTGTCCTAGTAATTTTCTCTGCACCAACATGCTCCTGAAAGGGAGCAAGGACCAGGGCAGCAAGCTTCCATGATATATGTGTAGCAAAATGGACACATTCAGCCTGGCTTAAAACTTTAAGAACATGTTCCTTTGTGGCATCAGTTCCAGTCAGGGGGTGACAACCAAGCTGATCTCCTAGCCACAGAGCTTCTTCCTGGGCTGAAGGTAAGGGTCCCCATAGCCATCGATCCATCACTCTCGGAGGAACATGTGGTGCTCCCACCACTGCTGCCACTGATCCATCCGAACAAAGTAAAGTTCCACCACCACGAGAAGGAAGAATCTTAAAACATGATATATTGTAATATAATACATTGTCTATTTTCAACATAAATGTTTGTTTATGAAGATCAGGTATAAAGGTACCTTCACAGTGTCTTCTAAACTGGTTAATGATGGCACAGCAATAAGACTGAACCTTTCATAAAGGTACTCGTTAGAGGAACTGCCTTTGAGCAAAGCAAATGGAATCAGGTATAATTCTCCCTCAAGCACCAAGACCAACTGTCTGTGTCTTCCCACAGGCCCACTATTATGCATCAAACCCTACAGAAACAAGACATGTAAAGCCAGAGGCATAGAACCAGCTATGTTTACACTTGTTCTTTACATACCACTTCCATTGGAGCAATAAGCAAATCATAAAGTGCCCGCAGTGGGGGTTTGCCAATGTTTGATGGGCGAAGAGGAGGAGACAAGAACCCTTCTTTCACTGGAGACACTGTAGCACTGTATAAACTTGTCATGCTCTGCCAACTTCTATTACAGGTAAAAGGTAACATTGTCAGATTAAAAGATGTAACTCACAGACAGTAATCTTTAGACAATAAATCATTCAGAAACCTGTTAAAAAGGTGGTTTCTGGATACCATGCGGAGGTAGCCAGTTGGATCTGTAGATGTGAGTTTACTGTTAACCTCATCAAACTGTTGCTCCAGGAGCTCTCCTGCTTCACTCTCAGTCTCGCTGTTGGAGCACACTCTGCCATTAAAAAACATTTGCAACAATAATGTAAATTTGTCAAAAATCTCATCACAACATTGTGACTACAATTCACAAAACAAGTTAAAACACTTGCTAAGTAACTACACACAAACTATAGAACACATTCATAGTGTGTGTAGAAAATGCTTGACCAAAATATAACTACCTGCTATAAAGCCCGTCCACTCCTAAAGCTTCTCTGGCATTGGTGATGTACTGCTCTAAAGTAAATGGGCCTACACCAGCACAAAATCCTTGAGGACCACCATCTCCATCCTGGTACTCAGCCTCTCCAAGGTATATCTCATGAAATTTTACAATGCCTGTAAGTATAACAATTGAGTATATAGAGTACAAAATACAGTATTAGTATAGATTTTAGAAATATGAATTGGCTGTACCTGTCCCCGGAGAGATAAGCCAGCTGTACAAAAAGCCTCCTGCCAGAGAATAGTAGAGAACCATTGCCTTCTGACTATTCACTATATCCAGGAGGTGCTCAAGGGTGACTGGTGTGTACGGGTCAGTCCCTGGCACCTGCTGATTTCCTTTCTGACGTTCCACTAATAAATCAGCAAAAGCTCGTGTGCGGCCACGCTCTGCTATGGCCAGAGCCTCATCGTGACGCCCTATGGCACATCATTACAAAACATCATTATTGCAGGAAGCTTTGAGAAGATTCTTTAGAGGTATGCTTTCAATATTCAATAATTGAACACAAGGAAAACATTATAACAATCAGACCATTGCACAGTAAAGGGGATAAATAATGTAAAATCAACTTCTATTTGTTTTTTACCATATTATAATGGTGTTCCCTCATCATTAAGTTAATTAGAGTTTTGACTGATTCATGCATGTTTTAGTAATACTACATTGCCTTGCATTTGAGGCTCAGAAAGTTGCAGTTATGGCAATTGCTAAAAAAAATCCAATGTTGATTTAATTTCTATTCTGTTATGTGTTTCTTTCACATGTTGGAATGGCAAATAAAGAACCATGTACAGGTAGGGAAAATCTTCTTTTGAAATGTCACTATGAAAAGACAGGTCTTCTTAGTAGCATGCCAGTTTAGACCAATATTACTGTTTGCAATGAACAAAATGTTAACTAGAGATACGTATATGTTATAGTTTCATACTAAACAGCCACAAAAAAGCATAAAATTGCTATACATGTAAAAAAAAACAACAACCCTAAACTCAGTTTACCCATACTGACGAGAACTCTTTGAAGAGCCTGGTAAGAGCTGGTTTGCAGATCAAACAAAGACAGTTTGTAGTCCATACTGTGTTGTGTCTCATGGCGGATTGTCTCAAACAGGACTGATGCTCTATATAACTGAAACAACAAAGCAGAATGTCAGTACAAACACATGCACTGTTTTCTAAACTAAATTTCCCTTAAGACTATTAATCTACTTATTTTTTGTTAAAGCTCATTTGTAATCTGCGTTATTTTATCATTTAGTTAACATATTTCTTGTTCAGGACTGACCACTAGATGACACTACACACTACAAAAATAAGTGATATCTTGACATACCTTAACATCAAATACACAATGGAACAATACGCATCAATGTACTGATGTTTACTTTTTAATTTCTTCATCATGTAGCTTGTTCTCAAATGTAAAACTACAGGCACTATACAAGAGGCCAATAATTGGTTTTAGATAACCATCACCTGTCCAGATTGGGAGAATTTACAAACCTGATGCTGAGCCTCCTCTAGGTTCCCACTGGCCCATAACGACAGACCCAAGTGGTGACGTATCTTGGCTTCTTCTTCTCTGCGTCCAAGCTGCTCAGATAGACGAAGACCTAATATAAACATGAGAAACAAGTTTAAGCAAGTTGTTTTCCAGTTTTTTTTTCTTCACATGTACCGGTCTACTGTCTATTTCACTGCTCAGTCACATGTATTGAATCTCTCCTCTGTAGTGTTGTTACTGAGAACCCTGGAAAATAAAACCCAGCTAACAAATGCCCATATTTTCACACGTCTTTGATGTTTACAAACTTGAGCAGAATTAGTTCCAACAATGATGTAGCTGTAGAAAGATGAAAGGCATATGCAAAATCTAAATCTTTTTTATCTTGATTATTGACAATGAGCAACCTCCACCACTCTCTCACCTAAGAAATTATCCTTACATTATGATCCTTAAATTATTTTAAAACTAAGTGACTGACTGACTGACTAACTAACCAACTAACAACTATACTGGACTGGTGTTACGGCTCGCGGCCTGTCTCCGGCTCCGCATCGCCTGGCGCTTCCCGTTTGTATTACCGCTTGTATCTTCCGTATTTGCATGTCCTGTGTGGTGCCTGCTATCTGACTGGTGGGCCGTGGTTCCGATGCTGTGGGCTGGCTCCGACACCCCTTGTGCTGTGGTTGGAGGATTGACGTCCCGTTCCTCCAATCCCTTCCTTCCACATCCTTCCACATCAATCACCTCGACCAATAAAAGTGCTGTGTGCCTGTCCCTCCTGGCGGCTGGATGGCAGTTTCAGTTCGCCCCTCACATTTGTAGACGTTTGCCCTTTGATATTGTAAAGTGTGTTTGTTACTATAATTTTAAGTTTTGCCAGTTTGGCTCGGCCCTTGGGCAGTGTTTTTTGTTACTGTTAACTACCTTAGTTTATGAGTGGTTTAGTAACTTTGGGGAATTCGGAATTATCAAATGTGAAACATTTCTTTTTTTTGTTATTGTACTTACCTACACCACTTTATAAAACCCGTTTACGCTACATCATATCTGGTTTGTGTTACTTTCCTTTGCCCCTAGCACTGGGTTGTAACAACTGGTTAATTATATTTCCAGTTAGGAAATATGCAAAATTTTACAGAACTGTACCACATTTGAGGAGGGTTCACAGCCTCATTCTGTGCCACTGCTTGTTTCACCAGCCTTGTCTTATTGTATTCTCACAAAATAAAAAATAAAAAAAACTTAAAGAATATAGTATTATAGTATTATAAGATAATGAAGTAAGGAATACTGTCAAACAAACAATGAACAGAAAGATGCCTACCTTCTTGGAGATACATGACAGCCTGTGAATAGTTTTGCAGAGCATGGTGTGTCCTTCCCAGACTACCATAGGCAATTGTTTTGGCTGTCAGATCATTGGCCTGTGCAGCAACACTTAGGTGCTGCTCCTGGAAAAACACTGCCCTCTCAAAGTTTCCCAAAGCTTCATATGTGAGTCCCAGGTTTCCATATGCTCGCCCTTGACTCCTTATACAACCATTTTGTTCAGCAATATCCAGAGCCCTTTGATGCCACTGCAGTAGAAGAGCACTACATCTCAGACTATGGGCATAAAGCTGGACATAAAACATAAAACTGCACAAACCTGTAGTGCTGTCTCATTGTCTGCCATCATCAGATAGACATCTCCAAGAGCATCACTGGCCTCTGCTTCAAGGGATTTATCCTGAAACAAGTTTTAAAAGGTTTGCTAGCTCATATTATCTGTGTATTTAAAATAGTTTGATAAAATATTACAAGGTCATTATCACACCTACCCCTGCAGATCGTGCTATAGCGAGCTGATGTTCCAAACAGGAAAGCGCCTGTTCATAGTTTCCCAACTGACTGTGTAAAGTCCCCAGCTCACCATACGCATGAGCCTTACCTCCTCCCTCTCCACCAAGCTCATGTGCCACCACCAGACGCTTCTCAAAACACACCAGAGCCTGCTGCAAACTGCCCATAGACCTGAGTAACATAGTAAACAACATGCAGTTTAGAAAAATTTATAAAATAGATTAATGTTGCTTCATTCCAGCATGTAAATAAATAAGACACCAACTCCTGGACAAAATATTTTTCAAAGCAGTTATTGTAAAACGTTATACAAGTTATTTTGGTAATAACATTTTCTAAACATCATGCATATTTAAATAAGAAGATAATAGTATCTCTGTGTCCTGACCTGTGAGCATTGCCTAGTCCTCTGTAGGCCTTCTCCTGGTCTTTGACGTGGTTGAGGCTCTGAGCCACTGTCAGGTACTTCTCATAGTACAGAGTAGCTTCCTCGTAGTCTCCTAAAGCACTGTAGCAATCTGCCAGGTTCCCGTAGGCTCTGCCTCTGTCTAACATACTTTCTGTCCCACTCAGCTGCTGCAGCATGGCTAGCTGCTGCTCAAAATAACCTATAGCCTCCTCAAACACCCCCATGTTCATTTTGGTGATGCCCATGTTACCATGAACCTGGGCTTCTAACCGGGCATCTCTGAGCTGTTGGGCCAAGCCCAGTTGAGTTTGGTAACATTGAAAAGTTGTGGTATAATCTCCCAGGGCCATATGAACTGCTGCCAGGTGTCCAAGAGCATGGCACTCCCCCTGCTGGTCATTTAGATCTTTGAGGACAGTCAGTTCTTGACTATGAAAGGACAAAGCATCATCCAGCTGGCGGAGATGCCTAAAATAGATGAAAAAGGGGAGAGACAGTTTTAAATTAATGTGACAATGAGTTCTAGGAGGTTTGTTTTATTTTCTTGAAACCTGTGAACTAAGCCCAGAGAGGAGTAAGCATCAGCTTCCATTTTCAGGTCTTTGACCTTCTGTGCAAGGCTCAACTGCTGCTGGTAAAACTTCACTGCACCAGCAGGATCCCCACGACTCACACACACATCACCAAGGTTACCAAAGGCCCTAAACACAGCCTATTAGGAAAGGACAGTCATTAACTCTCTATAATATTTAGACAATATAAAACTGAGTAAAGACTTGAGTGCACCTGTGAGTTTTCCAAGGCTTGGGCTAGTGACAACAAGTATCGTTGGCACTCCTCTGCTTTATTGTACTCTCCCAGTGCTTTGTGTGCAAGTCCAAGGTTACAATACGCTTTCGCCTGTGATAATTTGTCATGAAGGTCTTTTGCCAAGGCGAGGTCCTGCTCATAATACCTGAAACATTGAAAGGCACAAGTAAAAACCTTTTCCCAGGCAGACTTTACATAACAATAAAGAACACAAAGTTGTAGTTTTTTCAGACCTGACAGCATCCCTGTATTGACCAAGGCAGTAATGAGCATAACCAAGGTTGTGGCACACCTTCCCTTCTACTTCAAGATCCTGTAAACTAGGAGCCAAAACGAGATACTGCTGGTAATATGGCAGGGCCTGAGCATATTCTCCTCTCCAGCTGTGAAAGTTGCCTAGATTTACTGCAAGAATGAGCGAAAATACTTAATACTTGAATATAACATGGTAATTTTATGTACATTTTGATGATAGTTTTGCAAGTTGTTGAACATACCAAGTGCTCTTGTCTCACTCTGAGTGTCCCTTAGCTCTCGTGCAATAGTTAAATGGTGAAGGTAGTGCTGTAAAGCTCGGTCATGAGCGCCCAATGCCTGGTAGGCTACAGCCAGGTTACCATGAGTAGAGGCCTGTGACTGACGGTCATTAACCTGAAATACAAGGAATAACATGTGGCTCTGTATGTTTCATAGATTCAAAAAGTGAGGACAGTGTTGCCACCTCAAGTGATATCTGCAGCTCCTGACGATGGTAACGTACGGCCTGGTCATACAGACCCATGGCGTGATATGCATTACCCATGTTCCCATAAGCTCGTCCTTGTGCAGCATAGTCCCCCAGCTCCTCAGCCACAGACAGGTGGGCTTTGTGAAACTTCATTGCTGTTTCAAACTCCCCCTTCATCTGATGTATAATTCCTTGAAGAAAATACAATACAATTAACAATAATTAACTTGCAGTAAATTTAAAGGTCTTAGTGATTATTTAATATGATAATGTCCATAGATTATAGCATATACATAGATTTAAGCAGGATAAGACAAAACACTTTCTGTAAGACAATATCTTTTTACGCTGATGGAAAGAAGAGAAAAATTAGAAGAAGAGAAGCTTTATGTAGTGTTATATTGGGCTTTCATTTTGGTGTGTCTGAATGTGAAGTTGCATTACATGGCAAGAAGGTAGGGGCTGATAGGAAAAGCTCTGTTCCTTCCTTGGGTTCTCACTGTTAAGAGGATTACAAAGGTGAGTGGTGTTTGCTGAGGTCAAACACTGCACAGGTGACAAAGGTGTGGACTTGTGTCATACACTTTACATGAACAGCAGTCAGAGAAACACTGTTGTGGCATTTGGCTGCAAATTAGTCTAGTCTAGTCTCAAAGAAGCTGGGCGTCAAAAGTGAGGATTAGATGCACATAGAAATTGCTAAGATCTGGTGACACTGGATTATTCTGAAACTGCACAAACAGTACATAAGTAAGTATGTTTTTATTTATATAGCACTTTTCACAGACATTTGTCACAAAGAAGCTTTTCCAGAGCATTATTCATTCACTCCATACCCAGTGATGGTAAGCTACTATTGTAGCCACAGCTGCCCTGGGGCAGACTGACAGAAGTGCAGCTGTACCATCAATCATGTACCATAATCAGTACTATCGGCCCCTCTGACCACCATCATCACTCATACACACACCACTTTCATACAAGGCAATGTGGGTGCAGTGCCTTGCCTAAGGACACAACAACAGTTTTTGCAACTGGCACCCCACTGTGGCACCTGATTTCCCAGTGGTCTCCCATCCAACGATTAATCAGGCCCAGCATTGCTTAGCTTCTGAGATCAGACGGTATCAGGCTATAAACAAGCCGGTATGGCGACAGATACATCTCCAAACACCCTTCACCCAATGAACTCAATGTCAGTTAGCAACTGTGTAGCACTTTCCAGTTACAAAAAGACTGAAAATAAGTAAAATATAGATTTAAAGTAAAGTGAAGTAATAATATATCTCTTTTAGATCTCACATGCGATCTAAACTAACTAAAACCACTGATCACTTTATGTATTTAAAGTCATATCTTTATGTATAATGTATAATTGTCCTTGCAATTCCAATTGTTTTTTTAATTAGATTAAGCCATGATCATGTTACAGGTGTAATGAAGAAAAAAATAATTGCCCATTCAGCATGAGGTCAGATTCACAGGAGCTTGGATATCACTGTGATCGCAGAAACCAGAACCTGCTTAATAAAACATTAATGATGAGTGGCCAAAGAGACTACATGTGTAAGAGGAGCTTGGACAGCTCTTGTACAGTGTAGTTTAAGGACCATATATGATTTGTCAGACATAATAATGTCCAAATTGTGGTTAATTGAAGACATAAATAGCAAGGCTTTCATTTTTCCATAATGAATAAGATGAAGTTGGTCAGACCAGATGATTGTTTGTGTGTTTGTGTTTGTGTTTGTGTGTGTGTGTGTGTGTGTGTGTATGCGTGTGTGCGCGCGCGTGTGCATATGAATGAGATCGTGCATATAACTGTATGTGTGGGCTCAGACAGTTGTGGGGGTAGGGCAGTTGTTTGGAAAGGCATGAGGAATTGTTTTAATGACTGTAAAACACTTTGTGTTACATATTTATATGAAAAGCACTTAAAATACATGAAGTTTGATATGCAGTAATATATGATAACAATTTCCCTGACCTTTTAATTAAATTAACTTTGTTTGCCAATACTATGCAAGATGATTCTTGGAGACTTTTTTTCTAATTAGTTCCACCTTTGCCATGATGTGTGATCAGCTTAGAAGTGGAGAATATTCTTGAACAAACTCAGCCTTGCTTGAAAACAACAAATAACTTTACCGAGATTGGAAGATGCTCTGCCCTGAGCTGATCTGTCTGCTAACTCTTCTGCAATTTCAAGTTGTCGCTGGTGGTGTTTAAGCGCCCTCTCCAAATCCTATGGAGTAGTTCAGTTTTAGGTTATACAAAAATTTTTATTTTAAACTAGACTTTATTTACTATACCAACTTGCATGCAGCGGGCAGCATGTCCCAGACCAGCATAGGCTCTCATCTCGATTGATTTGTCCCCCAGTTCTCGTGCCAGCTCTAAAACACGAGTATGGTATGATATGGCCTTGTCAAAATCTCGTTGTGAGTGGTAGGCACTGCCCAGGTTGCTGTATGCACGTGCTTCTTCACTTTTGTTTTGTAATGTCTGAAATCAGAATTTTTTTTTTTAGAAATGTGAATACATATTAGCAAGCAATTTAAAAATAATAATTTCACTTTTATTAGATGTAGTACTCTGCTAGCATTATTCCCCTTAAATATCTTCATATATTATTACATCTTGGATGTTTCATAATGTTTCTTTAACAATAGAATGTACTACATAGGCTTTTATATAATGATTATTTACTTTTTTTCTTATCAAAATACTAAACTACAACAATGATGAAGAAATAGATACATATTCAATGAACAGTCTAAAGCTAACTCCTCAATCGCAATGGCACCTTTGCAATGTCTAAGTGCTGTTGGTGGCACTGAACAGCATTAATGAAGTCTCCCAGGGCGGTGTAGACTGCGCCCATATTTCCGAGCTGACGAGCTTCCGAGGTTTGGCACTGCATTTGTTGCGCTAACAGCACACACTGCTTATGGCTGGCCAGAGCATTGGGGTAGTCACCAATAGCTGTATATACATGACCAAGACTACACAGGGCATCAGAGGCAGCCTGCAAGATTAAAAAAAAAAAATAGAGTCATCATTACTCTAATAATACAAAACTGTATGATTAGAAAAGCTCATGTGCAATGTTAATTTCAATATTTAGAGCAAACAAATTGAGAGGTGAAGCAGGCTATAATAAGCTGAAACTATTCATGCCATTTCTATTTATTATATTGCAATTAATCCTCCTATTCGAATGTAATAGGATTTCATTTGTTTATTTTGTCAATAACAAAGCTCTAGCAGAAAATGGCTTTTGAGTTTTTCTGTGAAGTGTAAACACACCCAGAAATGTATGCTCAATAGCCAAACACACACATAGCAGGTGATATGGCTTTGGGGGCATGACAGTTTTTGAGATGCCTGAGTCTGTGCAGTGTGCACCTGTGGAGATGATGACCAATAATCATCTGTCACCAGAATAAACATTTGTCTCTGTCTGTCCTTGTGTGTTTATTCATTCTACACTCAATTGAGGGCCCCACACACGAACTAGGAATGTATATCCATAGAAATCATATGTGTTTCAAGCCTTATATGAAGAAGTTCAAGTACAAAATTATCAAAACACAAGACACAGTGTTAACATAAAACTGAATGACTCTTGTGATAGGTAATTGTGAATAACAAGTCAAAATCTAAATGTTGTCCTCCGCCGAGGATATGAAATTGATATCAGTCTTGACTTTTTAAATAGTAAAAACAAATTTTAATCCACACTGAAACTCTACATGTGCTAATATGTTTCTGTTGTTATGGTTATACTATGTGGCATGATAAAAGCAATACCGATATGGATTGCAAACTGAAAGAGCAAATAACACTTAAACTATTTAAATAGTCAGTACATGCTTACATACTTCTCTGTCCTTGAGTTTCATAGCCAGCACTAGCTGATGTCTGTGGTTTGCCAGTGCTTCTCTATAGCTGCCTTTAGAGAATAAAGCAGAACCCAGATTCCCATGAGCTCGGCATTCACCTGACTGGTCACCTGTGAACAAGAGCAAACATGTGGAACTGAATTATTTCTATTCATGCAACCTGGTTCTCATTTATCAAATATGCATGGACCAGTCAACAGGCTATATGCTCATTTGAATCATTATGGAAAGAACCACCACACAATGTCCTTTAACACTGCTCAGCTTTTGCAGCAAGTTTCCAGTCTGCTTGGATATACAGTGAGCCAATATAAGTGCATAGAAATAGTGTTTTAGTAAAAAAGTGTATCTTCATTAAATACAGATTTATTAGAAAATGGACCAAAGAAACCAACCTATTCTTGAATAAACCTTACTCTTCCATCCCAGTAAGGTTTATTAACAGCATAAACATAAGCTCACCTAAAGTTTTAGTGACCTCCAGGTCATGCTGCATGTATGTCATACTTTTCTCTTTGTTGTTTAGAGACCAGTAGGCAGAGCTCAGTGCTGAAAAGACAGATCCACGCAGTTTCAGTGAGCAGGTGCCGATCTTCAGTGCTGCCTCAAGAACCACAATTGAAGCCCCATGAAAACCATGACTTAGCAGCTCCTGGCCAATGACAGACACAACCACAAACGTGCTCTTGTCCAACTTCATCTTCTGTAACTGCTGATAGGTGGGCTTCAGTGTGTCTGTGAGCGAGAAAATGTAAAGAGTCGTTGTAAGTATTTTTAGGGGATGCACATTTTCTATAGCTGTTTGTCGAGCCTTAACTATAGGGTTTGAATCATTTTAATAGTTGTTATTTGATATTCCAATACCAATAGATTATTAGAAGACAGCTCTTAAACATGAGACATAGTTCATGAAGTGCTGTAATAACACCATAAGCAATCAGTGTCTACTAAACTGCTGACAGAACATCTTCTTCAAGTGAAATAGAAGTGACACAAAAACAAAGAAACACCTTTGCTCTGCTTTCAGCAAAAAAGTACTTTGAGAAGACCAAATAAATTTGTATGGATTCTCAGTACAAATGCAATCTGATCTTACCTCTGAGTGGTGACTTCATGGCAGCCTCCACCATGCCGACTAGCAGTTGGAGACTCTTTGGGTCCTGGGCCAAGCCAGAGGCAAAAGCTGCCAGTGCATCAGCATGACGACCCAGGTACTGTAGGGCAACCCCCTGGCGAAAGTAGGCCTGCCAAAAAGTAAATCAAGATAATCATATTATTTAACAAACTCAAGGATTTATTGTTTATCGCAACACAGATATACCAAAGGTCTTCTGAAAATAATGCAGTGCTGGTTAGACTTAGCCAGACTTTATTAAATCACAGTAGTTCACAAATTACAACAAAAATATAAGGGGAATAAAACTATATATACATATAGCCTGATATTTACTCATATAATCATATTTTTACCAGTATTTGAAAAAAAAAAAAATATATATATATATATATATATATATATATATATATATATAATCAGTTCCATTTATTTATATATAAACACAAATGTTGTCCGTGTCTTCACTGTCATTGTCACTGTCAGCATTTTTGTGTTTGACCATGTTTATTTGTTACACGACATAGCGATATGGCACCTGTTATAGGAGCGTCTGGAACAGCGAACAGATCAAGTGGTTGAGCGCGTTCATGCGCTGGCAGTAAAGCGCAACGTTTGTTACTTCATACAAGGTCTTGATGGGAACATGTGGGGGATACATTTGGATTATTTTTCAATGGAGAAATAATACGCCACGATAAAGAAGGTTTAACGTGACAGTACAGCTCTGGCAGTTTTGCTTCTCTCTATGGGAGTGAATGGAAGCGAGAGGAGGACACGCCCCCCATGCTTCCAGGTGTGGCCCCGCCTTTACCAGTTACGCTGATCACCAGACAATCCGGGCAGGGGACTCAGCGCTGCGGTGCGCAGCATCCGGCGTCAATGGGTTAAGACGGCTCAGTTTTATTTAAAGTAGTTTTATTTCATGGACTAAAAGCAAAAATCTAATTATAATTAATTTCTTCATGGCCTGTCCTGCAGGCCAGGTTTTATTTCCCCCGGGGAAAACGTGGGAGAAGACGGTCCCGGACCCTGAATTCCCGCAGAGACACGGAGACACAGGCTGTGTCCCAATTCAAAGGGCTGCAGCCTCCGAAGGCTGTGAAGGCTGGGTCCTTCGTCGGCCGCGAAGGCTGCAGCCCTTGAACTGGCCTCCGCGGACCGCCAGGGGGTTGCGGAAATGGGACAGGTCTAGACCTCGGAGCCGCTCCCCTGTCGCCTAGCAACCGAGGGACGCTGCTAGCGCTAATGCTAACACGCTCCGCGCAGATTACGCACACGGATCAGTAAAAACAATACGCACAGGTCATCAAACTGTCGGATTTTGTGACCAAATTATTTTAATAATTCGCATCCAAATCTTATGGCCAAAACCGAAAATATGTTTGTATGTTTAACTTTTGCAAAACAAAACGGCTATATTTAAGGGATACATTTTAAATAGACTAAATTATCTTAAAAAAAAAAAAAAAAAAACTGTAATGAGATATGCATTACTAAATATTATCATTATTAAGGATTTTTATATTGACCAGGGATTACATTTATACAGTCAGTTTGTAAAGAAAGAAAGACATCTCTCCTGAGAAAAGATGATTTATTAAACAATCCAAGGAACTTCTGGAAATACTTTATCATAATATGAAGTAAAATGTTAAACCCATTACACACACTCTGCATTAACAAGTTAGTACAAACAGCTGTATGTCAGTAAATCTCATTGTGTTCCCTTTTTGCTGAACCATGTGACAATCAAAAATGAACAAATTATCTTTTAGCCAGATATGATCATGTGGAATACCACAGCTTATCTGCAGTACAATAGTACATGCAATTAGTTACTATCAAAAGAGACACCAAATAAATGGCACATTTCACCATAAATCAAATGTCAGTACAGACTGAAAAACGTTCAGAAAAACTTATGAGCAGATGTTTTCATTTCTGTCTGTTCAGATCATATGAGACTCTGGACATGGACAGTGGAGACATGGACAGTGGAGACATGGACAGTGGAGACATGGACAGTGGAGACATGGACAGTGGAGACAGTGGACAGTTGGACCACTCAGTCTGATGTATCTCTCGTCTTCTGGAGGAGGAAGAGCAGAATGGTTGTTGCGTCTGATTGATTCAAAGTTCTGTCCTGTAGAGTGAAAACCTGTAATGACACACACATTAAGAAAACTACAAAACTATTAGAGTAAAATAAGTTTGACAGAGCATGCAGGCTCAACACCTGGACTCCCTCCACACTATTTACATTTATTATTATTTATCTATACTGGAGGCTGCAGATGAGAAAAGAAAATTCGTAATGTAAAACAGATTTCTCATTGTTATAACATTAGATGTGACAGACCTAACAGACACAGTCAGGTCGTATCTACACCAGTGTCTGCACAAATCTGTTAAATGAGCCTCATGTCCATCATAAATCTGACCTGTCCAGGCAGGATTATTTACTCTTCACTTTACAAACATGCACGAATTGTTAAAAGCAGATAATGTATTCCCTGAATGAAACACACACGTTGGAGGCTTATATTATGTGATTTACAAGTAAATATGAGCTTTGATAGAGTCAGACTGAGTCTTTTTTCAGTTGAATGTATGAAATAATGGGTGTTTTCATCTTAACTCCGAGCTACACTGACCAACTGTTTACATGTTTACACTGTCCGTGAAAACGTGGAGTTTTCTCCTCGTAGCTTCTTTAAATCACTCTGTGGGCTTCTTTTCCCCTAACAGTAAAAACATGATGAGTGTTTGATGGAAATGTGTCCAAATATGAAAGTTTGAGTGGACTTTTCATCGCATTAGCTGCACATTACTAGGCAAACTTTAGCTCAAAACTCCGCGGTTCACGCAGTTAAAAACAAACATATTTGACAGTTTTGTGGGAGTTATGGTCATATTTTACATTTACAGTTGTGTTAGTAATGATTTCCTAAAGTTAAAAGTGTTACTCACATGTTTTTCTCCGCTCTCGGGACCGGCTTTTTGCTCCGTGTTTTCGAACATCTGACTGCCGCCGCGCGGTGCATGCTGGGATACTGAAGGCTGCGAAGGATACTCGGATGTGTCCTCCGTTCGCGGCCCCATCTCCATGGAAACGAGGCCGGTTTTAGGGCTGCATTTGAAGGCTGCATGACATAAAAATGAAATGGGACAGGCCTTCTTTCACCGGAAGTGACGTATGCGGCCTTAAAACCAGCCTTCGGAGGCTGCAGCCCTCGAATTGGGACACAGCCCTAGACTAAACTACACACACAACAAAATGGCAGACTGGCCACCAAGGCCAGCAGCCCCGAACAGGTGCTGGCAATCTCTTTAAATAGGGGGCGGTGGCTGCAGGTGAGGTGGGCGTGGACTTGCCAAATCCAATCACAGACCAGGGCTCGTGCAGCAGGAATCAAGAGAACTCTGCAGAAATATTGGAACTAAGGCCTGGGGCCGTAACACTTAAGTATTTATGCTGTGGAAGACATTAGGTCTGGGAAGAAGAGCTGCATGGACATGAGGGCCAGCCACCTGTATGTCCACCTCCACTTAGCAGCAAATCACATTCACACACAGTGTGGTATTTTGCATCAATGGTAGCTATGACACGATCATTATATGGTAAGTGTAGATTATCATTATTTGCAAGCAAGGAGTAACTGCCTTCCCAATAGATGAAGCCTAGAGAAGATTAAACTCCAGACTGCAGAGGCTCTGGAGGAGCTATAAACACTAATAATGACAGAGAATAATAGCCTGAAATGAGCTAATCAAAATATTTCAAATGTCAATTAAGTAGCCTCAGTTCTGTCATCAATTTAGGGTTGTCTAAAGTCTCAAAAACTGATACTAATAGATGCTTAAATTAGAAACTAGATTCTCATTAGAGGTATCAATAGTAAAACAAATAGGACAAAACTGAACCTTTCCTGAATAGCTTTAAAATGATCTTGAGCTGTATCAGGACAAGTATAAGAGCACATAGGCTAGTTTACGCACATTGACCACTAGGGAACCTACCTGGACCACTGAGGGATTACACAGATATAAGGTCACATGGTAATTTAAAATAGAGTACTATGATTTAAAATCACATTTCATTGTTCAAATAAAGAGTGTTTTTTTTATTATGATCGTGGTATTGGAATCTGTATCAAGTATCGCGGATATCACTTAAAATCAAGGTGGAAATTTTTGTATCATGACAACACTACTATACCACCCTGCCCTATTAGTCTGACACTGACACAGGCATAATTTGACAATATTTTGTGGGTGTGTCAGGCATGTTTATTTTCTTATTCAAACTGTGACTGTGAAACCATGTGTACACAATTTAAAAATATAGCCCACTAAAAATATAGCTCACTGAATGATGTTTGAATGAATGAATGCTTTATGTTGGGCTGCTCTGTAGATCCAACCTTTGTGAGTATGTTTAGACCTAGTACCGACCTGACTTAATCCCATTTTTCGTGGTGTGGTACTCAAACCTGGTACTTGGAAAAGTTTGAGAACCCCTGATTATTAATGTTTAGATAGATTGAGGTATACTTTATTGTCTCTGTATCTAAATTTGTACTGTGTATTTGAGCCATCATTCAATGCCCCTTGAGTAACCTGTCACGAGCAGTGGAATTCATAAGTAGCTCTAATTTAGATTAACAAACAAAAACTGTATTTTTATGGCACTTTTTCCAGAAAAACAAAAGGAAAAATATCTTGAGAGAAGCATGCACAATTATGAGACAACTTATGATGTGTTCTCCTGTAGAGAAAACCTACATTTGTAATCAAAGCCAATTCAGCTCACTAACTTGGGAAACATTAGGAAGATAATATTAGCCAGACAAGCATAATTATCATGTCAGACAAGTTGTAATCATAGTAAGGCAGACATTAACTCAGTTTGACAATGCGCAAGTGAATAAATGGCACACTCTGTGACCCCCCTCTAAGTGTTATCCTGCTCAGGTGCAGCCATGAGAGAAGGGACGGTGGCAAGAGTCTGCTTTTGTAGCTCAGCCCCACATCAGCCCATTACCTGAGTGCCCTGTCTACAGCTCACAGAGGAGTATAGTTCAGACAAACACCAGCACCTGTGCCAGTCTGAAAAGAAATCCTGCA